GAGAGAAGGAAATTAAGAACTAAACTGAACTGAACTTATTGAAGCTGAACTGAATTGAACTGAAAATAATGTGAAGAGAACATGCCCTAAAAATAGATGAAACTATGAAAGTAATTAATAGGAATGTCCATACGTAGCATATGCATATAATGGCATATATATACTACGTAATTGTGTACGCATGTATGCATATAGTACATGGAGCTAGAGAGTATGCTGTTTCCTATGAAGATGATCCGCCTAGATTGTGAGAAAAATCGCCTTCAGACATAGGAAGATTAATGAAAACAGAGGGATTACATACAACAAAGTTGAACCTTAAAATTAATATACCTACGAAACGTGCAAGGAAATTAAAGCAAATTATGTGCTCCGTTTGCTCTAGTAGCATTTTTCTTTCCAACTATGCCAAAAGCTAAGAAGATTGTTATGTAAGTGAGTATTAAGGGTCTAATTTGTTCACATTTATTTTATTTATTTCAGGTCTAATAAGTTCAGTTCAGGTAAAATAAGTTATGATAAGGGTTACTAAGTTCAAATTACAACTAAAATAAGTTTTAATAAGTTCAGTTAAGTTCAAATCGATAAGTTCATATAACTATATAAGTTTAGTTAGGTTCAAATCGATAAGTTCATATAATTAAGTTTAGTTAATTTCAGATAAAATCAGATAAGTGAAAATCAGGTGAATACATACTCGAAAATGAATAGGATAAATAATGAATCTTTCCTATTTCAATCTATTTTTCCTTTTCAATCCTTTTATATACTTCGTATAAATATTTATCTCTCCTGGCCTTCTTAACCTTTCCCCTTCTCCTCAAATTCTCTCAGCCAAACACACTATATATATTAAATTACTTCAAGTCGTAGCTTAGATACTTCGTACATGATTTCTACACCAAAATACTACCACATCATAGTATATAATTTATTTTCTATTTTGATCGTAAATTATATTTGATGCAATAAGTGATATATTGATATACAATGATGTAATAATATGCCTAAAAGTACAGTTCATAAAGAATTATGAAGCTAAGTACTTAACCTAATATTAGTAGTACAAATCATATAGAATGAAGTACATGCTAAACCTAATAATTGGTTGTCATGTCATTTATATTCTATCATCCATCAATGAACAAAAAGTAGAAAGACTATTATAGATGAATGTTCAAGAAACAGTGCTGTAATAATGATGGATCGGACCTCATATCAAACCTATGAAGATAAGATAGATTTAATATATGGCTTATATGGGCAAACATGGCCCTAGATATTTGATAGGTTTAATCATTATCACTTAACTTGATAGATATTTTTGTCCTCAAATAGTTTGTCTAACAATTTTATTTTTGGGTGTTCTAACCATTTCACCCTTTGGGCTAATTCAGATTTAGGGTTCAGTTCATTTTAGGTGATTAGATTCAAGTCTCCTCCTAATTGTTGTTAGGGGGATCAAATAATACATACGCGGTCATCAATCATCATATCCCTACCAAGTGCATCTCAGCTCATTCACCACATCACCAACTTATCAATTGGTAGTTTAATTAATTTGTCTAACAATATAACATGTTCCACACATGATATATATACATACACGTACATACATTTAATTTCTGATAATAAAGAGAAGTACTCTGCCGATGAGTCAACATCTCACGAGTCAGCCTCTCCAGCTACATTATTGATTAACATAGTCTAATTATAAGAAAATTCCGACTCTTCAAAAACATGTAGTTGATGAAGCTCGAACATGTGAAATTCAAAGCCATCAATTTAAGATTTTGTTAATACTTGCATAATCATACATACATACAAATGACATACAATTATATAAAATCACAATCAATCAGATAAAAAGCGTTGTGTTGGTTATCATGACTACTCCACGCATGCATGCATGTTACATTATCTTATAAATGAAATGCCATGTGGGTCTCTCTAATTGGCACATTGTCTCCTCATCATGCATAAGTATACATGCTGGATGATTTAAATATCACAAATAATATAAGATGGTGAATTACTGGAAGATTTTAGAGGATAGAAAAAAGAGATAGATTAAAAAAAATGGAAGTACTTTTCTAATTATAGTATACGTACATATGGCAATAGTTAGACCACAGTAAGTGCTATATATCTATCTGCAAATTATTATGAGAATCACCAACTGGTTTTTAGATGACTGATGAGTGATGACCCAAGTCGTTGATTGGGTGAATGGGTGGTGTCCAACTATACCAGCTAGCAAATCCTTTGGTTACGCCCACAAGACCACAATATGTCGATATGGTCCATGCAAGGTAAGTTGCCCTAGTATTGTTGGGATATCGGGTTTGGGTAACTTTGTCGATGCTAACTAGTGTCAATAATGTTGTCGTGATCATCTAAAGATTGATTTAGATATGAATATATACATGCTTCTCTTTAGGCAGTACAGACTAATTTTTGTATTGAAATAAATTAAACTTGTTTTTTGTAGTGCTTGGTTTGTGTACATGATGATCAAGATATTATTCATGGTAAAACTAGTAAGTCTAGCCCTAAAAAATTGTTGGACTCAAAATAATGTACCCCCTTATTCTTCTTGTATTTAAAACTTAATTTATATTGTTAATGATCATTTGGATTGATGAATATTAATAGTTATTGACAATAGATACGACAAGTTTGACAATATCATAATTGAACCATGTACCAAATAGCTAATTACCTGATATGATGAGTACAATTTGAAGTCTTAAACTATACTGATCTAACGAATGATGTATTTTTGACATCTTCAAAGAAAACTTTAACTTTTCATCTAATGTTGAACTCAAAAAATGATTGGATAGCTAGATTTAGAGATTAAAGTGTACATAATGTTATATACAGAAATAATAGATAATTATTTATCCTCTATATCTACATGGTTTCATTATATATATTTGGTAAACGTTTCATTATATTAAAAATTATGAATCCCTAAACTTAAACTAGAATTTAATTAAAATGTTTGAATAACATTTTGAAAAGGACTAAAAAAAGAAAAGAAAAACCTTTCCATGTTGATGTTGCACATTAGTCATTGGCTTACGTTGTGAGCTTGTGATCACTCTTGATAATAAAAAGTCTATCTCAAAGTTAACAATCATAGAATACAATCATCCTAAAAAAAAAACCTCAACTCACAAAGTTTTTTTTTTTTTTTTTTTTTTTTTTTTTTTGAACTAGGGTAGTAGACTAGTAGGGTACATAGTACTATTGATCTATACATAATTACATATATCTCGTTATCGATCAGCTTGGCAAAGTTAAACCTAATAATGTAATTATCATCTTTCGTAATTACTTTCGCATAATAAATACTAAGCGGCTAGCAAGCTAAGTTGCTTATAACTCTACGTACAATTGTACAAATCTGTCAATTTTTTGTAGTGAGTAAATAGTAATAACCAATTCAAATGCATAGACTTGCCATTAATAGTCTTGTCTTCGTTTATAGCTGTTGCCTGCTGCCTAAGTCACAATCTTGACTACGTACCACGTACCATCACCATGTTTTTTTTTTTTTTTTTTTTTAGATAATTATTACATATTACTTCATGAATCATGAGATATTTTCGTGATTCTTGAGATATCTATCTACGTCAAAGAGACCAACCTGCGTTATACTTCTTTCGTTTTAATAAACTTGAATGACTACACTTTATTTTTGAATTATGAAACTAGCTACTCACCAATGTCAATTATATTCAATAATTATCGTTTATGATTTATACGTCAGGAAATAAATATATTTAAACATTATATCTGACAATCTTCAAAGGATGTAACCACTGTATATTGAAACGGAGAGAGTAATACGTAGAAGATCATCCAGAAGTCAAGATTACAAGTTTGACTTTTAGACGTACAAGCTTTATCATGGATCAATAAACATCAACATAGCAGTTATAGTGGTGTACTTAGCGATCTTGCATTTAATGCCGCCAACAATATCCAAAATTGTCAACGAATCTTGGTAATTGTCACGATCATATCATATCTTCTTAATGTTATAAGCTCCGTATAGGTATAAGTCATACTATATGCATGTGCAACTGTATTAGTTAGTTCGATGTACTGAATTTTCTTGTTCTTAGCTTGAAATTGCATGCTAAAAAAACGTATACATATATATTGCTTGATTAGAAAACTATGTTGAAGTTGTATTTATTTATTCTTTATTTAGATGCAGCGCATTCATAATCAACCTAAATTAGGTGAAACACCATCTTTTTGAGATTTGATCAAACTATATGAACCATTAAATTGATACTTCTTTTGCTCACTTATTGTACGATTGGCTTTGAGAGCATGGAGCCATACGTTGTTAGAGCTTGACTTGCACATGGGATAAACGATTGAGGATAACTCGAGAAAATCCGCAATGTATCATAGTTTAGGTATGCAAAATATTTTTCTTCCCCACAGACGACGGTTGTACTAGATGACAATTTTGTAATCCTCTCCCAACCTTTGAATATTAAAATGATTGAGATAGTTAGGTTCAACATATCATGTAATGATGTTAAACACTTACTATATTGTATTCGAAATTTCAGGTTGGCTTGGATGGTGGCCCTTTTTAGTAAGGGCTCATTTAGCACACGAGTAAAATGAATAGTCTATCCATGTTATCAACTTATCATGGGGATGCCCCACTTTCTCATAGTGAGAAACAAGAAACAAATTTTGTTTCTCACATGCCTTTTTCGTAAATAAACCAACAAAAAGAAGTATATACGTAGTATTTTGAAAATATTTTATGGAAATGATGAATTTAACAATATATAATACTTTTCAGAAAAAAAAAAAAGAAGATATAATACAACCATGTTTTTTTATAGCTCAACACACTACTTATCATAGCTCAACAAGGGCAAATAACTGTATGCAAATTGGATTGGCCCACTTCTAAGAGGCCCAAACTTGTAGCTCTAAAAAAAGCTTTACCCATTACCCAAGAAAGCAGGCCCAAAGTCTTGTTCTTCTTTTCTTGTTCCCCAAACTTTCTGAAAAATTCTGTACTCTGCTAAGAGAGAGAAAGTAGAGAGAGAAAGCTATGGAGTTTGTACTAGAACATGGCAAGAAATCTCACTCCGACTGCTCCACTTTAATACTGGTAAGCTCAATTCAACTTTAATACTCCACAATTCACATTAATTTCTTGATTAATTCATCATTCTAATTAGTAATTAGTGTATTAGGTTAACCAATTTTGCTGAAATTGAAATTGTTGATTTTCCCTAATTCTTACGTTTAATTTTTCTGTTTTGTTGGTAATTCTGGGTTGAACTGTATTAGCCATCTTTATCAATAGGAAATGTGGGGCAATTAGCAGTGGATTTGTTGATATCATCAACTGGTTCTGAGAAAATCGGGTATTTGGATGATCCGAATATCCTTCCTTGTGTTGGTAATGACGCTTTTGGCCCTCTTCCTCATGGAGACCTTGCTCTTCCCCTTGAAGGTCTCTCTCTTCCTAATTCCTAACTTTTTCTTTCATGAAAGTATTGTACATTGTTTGTTTATGGGTTCTTAATTGTTATGGATTTCTAATATTGACTCATTAAGTTAGTTGGGTTAAGGTTGCGCACATCTAATACTCACTCCGTTTCAAAATGATGTTCCTGTTTGGTAAATTGATGCAAATTTTTACCCATCTTTGACCACAAATATCTTTAATCTCATACTAGCAAAAGTTATAAAAGTTGGATATTAATACTCTACTGACGAATCAAACTAGATCCCACATGACTATATTTGTTCTTATAGATTAAGAGAAATATAAAAGATTCTATCTTTTTTAGAAAAGTCAAAGATTTCAAACAAGAATATCATTGTGGAACGAAGGGAGTACCAGTTACTATATCATGGGCAGGGCCTTTTCTATAAAATTAAGGGTAATGTTGAAATCCATGTTGTAGATGCTAGAATGTCAATGTGATCATATTCTAGTTTGTTATACTCGATCGAATTCGGAACTATCTAATGATGATATTCTTGTTTGCAGTGTATGATTCAGTTTCGAGTAAATTGACTTATGTTCAACAAAGATCTCCAGTAGTTAAGGTAAAATTATAAATCTTGTATATGCTATACCATGATTCTGAATGTTATATGCTTCAATTTGATGATCTTAAAAAGTCTAAACATGTAATCTAATTGATTAGGTTGACTAGTATTTTAAACGAAAATTAGTAAGTTTGATTACTAGTATACTGAATAGTGCGCAAGTGAAGTAGTTGATGCAAGAATCTTTGTTCCTGTTATGTTCAATAAATTATTGTCAATAATGTTCCAGCATTCGTGGATTGGGGGGGGGGGGCTTTTCTTGCTCCCAACCTGACTCATTGTTGCCCAACTTAGGATCACCTGTCGTTTTGTAATGTCGAAGTAGTTAATTTTACAAGATATTCTTTGGCTTTCTACTTTCCAATTACTTTTGGGTGTCATGAGATCAAATAGTTTCTACCAATACAGTCATCCTTGACTCCTAGATTGGCAAGTGTCTAATTTTGTGTAGGATTCCTTGGTGGTTGGTAATCTTATTTTCTTATAGAAAAATTCTGTTATTCTGATATATTTTGTCTTTTAGGGGATGATGGTTCAATTTGCCCAAAATTTGGCTGAAATTGCCGTTGCTGCTGGAATGAACCATGTTATTGTACTTTCTAGCTTGGACTTTGGGCGGTGGAAAAAGGTCGATATGTCCAGGTATCTTAGCCTTTGTTCTTAGGTCTTTAACTTGCATTCAAAGAGGATATAGGTTCAGCTATCATGAATTGCAATCAAAGTTCCAACCAACTTTAATCAACCATGTAGTTTTCTCTGTGTAGTTTTTTAACAAGTGTCTGAAGCATTCTGAATAGTTCAGCTGGCCATTTTGCCTTTTGTTATTGAAATAAATTATGTGGAATGCGGGAGTGAACGGTAGCATTTAATTTGATTTATTTTGTTGATTCTTCAGTGGAATGCCTATTCATTACCTCTCAAGCACCAATGCGGATGGAAGTGATGATGATTGTGAAAAGCTTGGATGGAAACGACTGCAAGAGTACACTCCTTCTCAAGGGCGATGGCAGTATCTTAGCACAGTTGCTGAAGGCAATATCGTTGAGGAAAATTCTGTTCCTTTTGATGATGATCTAGAAAAAGATGAAGATTATTATGCCAGTTTGCCTTTCGCAGCACTATTTTCTTGCTTTAAGGTAAAGGTTATGCAAGACATTTATATAGCAAGGCTAGCTTCAGAGAACAGTTTTTGTAGATGTTCGCAACTCAATGCTGCTTCATTGCTTATATCTATTGTGTGTTTTCGTTTGGAACTGTGTATTACTTGCAAAATCTGTTATGTTGCAAATATAAACTAGAATTTGTGTTTTTATTTTATAGGAGATACTAATATTTTTCTTACTGTGCCGTGGAACCCAATTATTACTGATCTACAAGTTGCCTTTTTTTTTTCTGGTCAGGCGAGAGGTTTGAAAGTGACTTGCTTGCTCTGTTACTGTTCTGAAGGAGATAACATATGTGATTCCTTTAATCTTGCTGAGGCTGCATGCAAAATTTCAGGACTGCGCCCTAGTGATTGCCACTGTAAGATGTTTCACATTACTTTGTAGTAATTTCTTAATTGCTTTCTGTGAATTACCAGAGTAGTTAGAGTGAACATGTTTAGTGTGAATGGTAAGCTACTAATGTCAAGTGGTAAGTTGGTAATTGGAGCATATGGCTTTTGTCCTTCCGGTACATCCTAATCCTTTCTACTCTGCCCTTTTTCATCTTAGTTTTGCATAGATACTATTTGCATACTTCTAGATATTTTTTTTCTCTGCGACTATTTCCAAGTGTTAGCACCAATCAAATGTTCTGCTTAGAGAATTATCTCCTTTGGAGTGAGGACTGAGGAGCTCAAGCATTCATATCTAGTTGTAGATATTATCCTATCTTGATCAACTACTAAAGCCGGCAAGCCCTATAGTCCTTCTCTTTCCTGAGCTTAGATTGCATTTGACTAGCTGTATTATTGCACAATTCGACTATGGTATATGCAAAGTCTGCTATTGTGTTGGTAATGAAATATCTATCCGCAGCTTTTGTTGTGTTGCACAGTGGAAGACAGTTTAAAGTTGCAAATATTTTTGTAGGAAGCTGTATTTGTTCTGTCTAAGTTTGCCCCCTTTTGGAGTTCCGGTTGAGGATAGGAATGGAACTCTTTGTATCAGGTCTCTAGCTGAAGCTTTATAAAATGTCAGAATAAAGTCTTGTTCAACTTTACTTCTCACCTGAATTCTTCTGCCAAATTACTATTCTCAGAATATGAACAGAATTATTTGTATTCGGTTCCTTGATGATGCTGGGACATAATGTCAGAATAAAGCTCTGTCCCAGACCTCCCAGTTCTTTTTCTAATTCGTTGGCCAAATTACAAATCAAGAGTTCGACTGATAATTTAAACAAATGATAGCTATATGATTAAGATCTGTCAGTAAGAGTGGTAAATGCTATACAGTCCCTTCTATCTGAGGTATTGATATTTTGTGGGGAACTCACCTCATTCTACAAGTTATATTCTTCTATTGAAGAAAAGTGTGGTTTACATTGCCGTCGCTAATTAACACAAACTTTTTATTTTTCACACACCCTCTCTCTCTCTCTCTCTCTCTGAGTTACACATGGTGGCTCTGTTCAACTTAACTGTAGCTAAATCTGGCCATGGTTGTGTTGAACATGGCACTTTTTTGGTTTTTCTTGCTGAGTGTGGCAGAACAGTGATGAAATATTTACTGTGCTGCCGCTGCTCTCTCTGCCATTCACGCTTTCCTGTAATTTTTTCAATGGTACTAGCTGATGGACAGCCGATGGTGATGATGGTTAGATAAGTGCACATTCTTGGGTTGTAATGATGATGAGTGTGACAGGCTAGTGGGTGGCAGCACTGGTAGAGCTGCCTATGTGGCTGTGTGATGCTTCTGGTGACATAGCAGTGGGTTTTGTTGATGTCGATGGTCTATGGCCTGGAAATTATGAATTTTGTTACTACTCAAGGAATTTTAACCCATGGAGTAGGGTCTGCATTTGGGAGAGAGTGGGGTTGGGTTATTAGTAATAGAACTGAAAGATAATTTATTCAATCAAAAGTTAAATAATAGACTGGGGGTTAAATAATAGGCTTGTAATATGTAAATCTATGTTCTTCTCTGATTCTCTATTAAATGTTAACGCCATTACATCAATGTAATATTCACCTTGACTACTAGAACTTGAAACATTTTCACTTGCTCTATCTTTACAAAAAACCACTAATATTAGTAACTCATTATTACTACTATGTAATATCCTTATGTGGTAAAATGTTGCTGCAAGTGGTTCAAAACCAATCTCTTCTCTACTTCTGACCAGTTAAGATTATAATTCATTTTGGCCTGGCCAATGTTGCTACCCAATGTGGCTTGGAATCTTTGTCGAACCACGTGCTTATTGATTTGTAAACCTTTTTCTCTTTTTGTTGTATACAGCGGGTGAAGATAGAGGGTGGATCACCCCACTTTCATGGAAGAGTGTGTATGGACCACCTCCAGATATGGAGATGTTCTAGGCTGATTGAAGCTGGAAAGCGTAGGACATTTAATACATGTTGAACCCTATGTTTATTAGTTTACAAATCCAAGTACAAGAAAACATGAGTCAGAAGATCCAGCTGCAAAGGAGTTGAATTCACAACAAAGCTTCTGTGGCTGAGGTTGTTTCATTAGGTACTCTTCCTTAATCACCATGTGAATTGGAATTGTATGGTACAGTATTAGTCCTTAATTACAGTTTACAGCTCTGCCTCTGCTCTTTATGTATCGGTTTTGATTGTTAACATAGTAGGCATATTTCTTTGTTTCTTCTCAATCCATTAGTATACTTTCTGGGTTGTAGAGTTGATTTCGTTTGGTTTATTCAGGTTTCTTTTATGCTTTGCTTATAGTCCTGATCATGCATTTTTTGTAGCATTATGTGAATACTGGACTTAATATTAACAAACAATAGCAATGGTTGTGGAGAATTATAAAATAACATTGTTGGGGTAATGCAGCATTGTGTATAAGACTTTAAGGTCCTTGAATTATGCTAATTAAAAAGAGTGGAAAAGTTCAAAAGCAATATATAAATGTTAATTAAATTCTTCAAACTATGTTTCAATATTTATTTTAAGCTTTTAAGAGGACTTTCTTTTTTAATGTTGACTTATCATTTTTTAATATTGACTCTACTGTTAATAATACCAATTTGTTCTTACTTGTTAGTACATGCAACCCACGATTCAATCAAGGCCTTAACCACTAGTTCAGAACGTTCTGTATTAAAGAAATTATACAGGGCTTAATATGTGTATGGTCAGCCCCAACATATGCTATATAATAGGTGTCCTAATGCTACAATTGTATTAACTTGCCCCTTCTCTCACAATGTCATCTGTATCAGTCTCCTCTTCTCTCCTCTCATTATCACCATCTTCGGATCTTCCTCTATGTGAGATCCCTGGAAGTTATGGGCTGCCCTTCTTTGGAGCCATTAAAGACCGGTGGGACTTTTTTTACCTCCAAGGGCGAGACCAATTTTTCAGGTCTCGCATGGAGAGTTACAATTCCACAATTTTTCGAGCTAACATGCCTCCTGGTCCTTGGATATCCCCTGACCCACGGGTCATTGTTCTTCTAGATGCCAACAGCTTTTCAGTTCTCTTTGATAATTCCAAGGTTGAAAAACGAGATGTTTTTACTGGAACTTACATGCCTTCCACCTCCTACACTGGGGGTTATCGTGTATGCCCCTATTTGGATCCAAGTGAGCCTGAGCATGGATCCCTCAAGGCCCTGTTGTTCTCTTTCCTTGCCTCAAAGCATGAAGAGTTTATCCCACTCTTTCAGAGCTGTATGAAAGGTCTGTTCAATGGTCTTGAGGATCAGCTGAGAGATACAGGCCGGGTCAAGTTCGAGCAGCTCAATGATGTACTATCTCTTGAGTTTGTTTTCAGGCTGTTTTGTGATGGCAAGAGTCCTTCAGACACCAAATTAGAGTCCAATGGGCCGATCACGATCAAGAAGTGGCTAATTGGCCAAATAGGACCTGTGGCTTCATTGGGATTACCCAAGTTATTATTTCCAATCGAAGATTTTTTAATGCATTCAGTTAGACTACCTTTTCTGTTGGTGAAAGGTGATTATAGAAAGCTGTATGATGCATTTTACTCCTCAGCAAAATCATTCTTGGACAAAGCAGAGGGTTTTGGTTTAAGTAGAGAGGAGGCATGCCATAACTTAGTTTTCATAGCTGGATTTAATTCATTTGGGGGATTTACAATATGGTTTCCGTTAATGATGAAATGGGTTGCATCCGCTGGGGAGAGCCTGCATCGTGAGCTGGCTGATGAGATTAGGACCACTGTGAAGTCTGAGGGTGGAGTCACTCTGAATGCCATCAACAAGATGGCCTTGACCAAGTCAGTGGTTTACGAGGCTCTAAGGATTGAACCTCCTGTCCCATACCAGTATGGGCGGGCTAAGGATGATTTGGTGGTTCAAAGCCATGATGCTTCATATGAGATCAAGAAAGGGGAAATGATCTTTGGGTTCCAGCCGTTTGCTACAAAAGATCCAAAGATCTTTGATGATCCTGAGAAGTTTGTAGCGAATAGATTCGTAGGGGAGGAAGGAGAAAGGCTGCTAAAGTACGTGATATGGTCAAATGGAAGAGGGATTGATGATCCGACGGTAGATGATAAGCAGTGCGCAGGTAAGAATCTGGTGGAACTTTTGTCTAAAGTTTTCCTAGTGGAATTCTTTTTGCAGTATGATACATTTTCTGTTGATGCTTCTAAAACCACTCTGACTTTCTTGTCTTTGAAGAAAGCCACCAGCACTTGATGTTTGAGAAAAACAACAATGATACCTTCTAGTCATTTTTCTTTTCAATCATTTTTTTTGTTTGTGCTTTTTTTTTTTTGTTTTTTTATTTATTTTATTTGAAGTTATGCATGGATTAGTTTACTGCATTTTGCATAAAAAAGCTAGCAGAACAAGTAAATAGTCATGAAATGCAATTGTATTTTTTTTCAAATAGGTTATCTTACATGTTTCCGAGGTCTTGTAAGTTTGTAATTTTGATTTTGCTTATGAATAATTTTGAGGTTCTCTAATCATATAAGTATACAGTGTACACTTTTCAAATAAGAATCTGTAATACACAGTATGTCAAAGCTAGACTCGTCTAGGTGGTGGCTTTCCCTCGTCCTTCCTCTCCACCTCCAAGGGTTTAATATGCAATTTTGGTTGAGTTAATCCGCAAGTGGTCCTTGCACCATTAGATGTTGTCTAATGGTAGATGTCTGTTCTTCTGCTTGAGTTTTGACAGATTTTGTTCTATTTATCGTAACATTTTCCAAGTTTCCGTTGGTGTTTTAAGTTGATGGTTTATGTAATAATGGGAGGTTTTTAGGAACGTCTTCTTGATGTCTTCCTACTAGTTGTATTGCCTTTATACAATGTTACAAACTTGAATTTGAAGGACGTCTGATTCATTGCATTTCTTACTTTGTAATCCCCCCCTCTTCTCTCTTTCCCTTCAACATTATAAAAACTCACATATTGTACGGAGTAGGGAGAGGTTATGGCTGGACAACAGTTGGTTAGCCGACTGTGGAATGACTGGACCTTTAATACACAGTTGGGTGATTCTAACATTAAGTGCATCAGGAAGAGGATTAAAACACGCGAAATTAATTGGAACCTCTATTATTCACTTGACTACATCTAAAGCTAGGTGCACCCAAATCTTAATACATACTTCGTATAATGATATTAGCTGAAAACAGTAATATCTTGGATGGTAGGTGGTAAGTTTTTCTGCGTAAAATTTTCTGATTTTACACTTCTCGTTGTTCTTCCTTTAAGCAATGTAATCTTTATATTGTCCCTTCAACGGATTTGTATGATACAGTAAGTTGTTAAGACTATATTAGCAACTAGTTGGCTCTGATGTGCTCTATTCTTCATATGATATTTGTGCTATATATTAGCTATTTTTGAATTTTCCTACCACCCTCCTCAAGATCTCAACAATGTCATCTCCATATGTGTATTCTTCTCATCTTAAAAATGAGAGCGCTCAGCTTTTTGTGTCACCATTGCCAGACCTTCCCCTTCGTGAAATCCCTGGGAGTTATGGTGTGCCCTTCTTTGGAGCCATTAAGGATCGGTGGGACTACTTTTATGTCCAGGGAGAAGACCAATTCTTTAGGTATCGAATGGAAAAATACAACTCCACGGTCTTTAGAGTTAACATGCCTCCCGGTCCTTGGATATCTCATGACTCGCGAGTTATTGCTCTTCTGGATGGCAAGAGTTTCCCTATCCTATTTGATACTTCTAAGGTTGAAAAACGCGATGTGTTTACAGGAACCTACATGCCTTCCACCTCCTTCACCGGAGGTTATCGTGTGTGCTCCTACTTGGACCCAAGTGAGCCTGCACATGGCTCTCTTAAGTCCTTATTACTTTCTTTCCTCACCTCAAAGCATGAGGAGATTGTCCCCCTTTATCAAAGTAATCTAAAAGGCATGTTCGAAGAGCTAGAGGATCAATTGAGGGGCAAAGGCCGGGCAGAGTTTGGGCCATTGAATGATGCTTTATCGCTTGAGTTTGTTTTTAGATTGTTTTGTGAGGGTAAGAACCCTTCGGAAACCAAGTTGGAGTCCAAGGGACCTAGCATGTTTAGAAAGTGGATAACTTTCCAATTAGCACCCTTGAACACATTGGGTTTACCCAAGTTGTTAGCCCCGATTGAAGATTTCATATTGCATTCTATTAGGCTACCTTTCTTTCTAGTAAAAGGTGATTATAAAAAGTTTTATGACGCGTTTTACTCCTCTGCAACATCATTTCTAGACAAAGCTGAAAGCTTTGGTATGAGTAGAGAAGAGGCCTGCCATAATTTAATTTTTATGGCTGGATTTAATGCATTTGGGGGGTTTATAAAGTGTTTTCCATCTTTGATCAAATGGGTTGCATCCGGAGGAGAGACCCTACATCGCGAGCTAGCTAAGGAAATCAGGGCTGCTGTGAAGTGTGAGGGTGGAGTCACCTTGAATGCCATCAACAAGATGGCGTTAACCAAGTCAGTGGTCTATGAGGCTCTAAGGATTGAGCCTCCTGTACCATACCAATATGGGCGAGCTAAGGATGATTTGGTGATTCAAACTCATGATGCTATGTTTAAGATCAAGAAAGGGGAGATGATATTTGGATATCAACCCTATGCTACAAAAGATTCAAAGATATTTAATGATCCTGAGAAGTTTATAGGGAGTAGATTTGTCGGAGAGAAAGGAGAAACATTGTTGAAGTACGTGTTATGGTCGAATGGAAGGGGAATCGATGAACCAACTATGCATAATAAGCAATGCCCTGGTAAGAACTTGGTGGAGCTCTTGCCTAGAGTTTTCTTGGCGGAATTCTTCTTACGGTATGATACATTTTTAGTTGAAATCGGCACCTTGTTGTCGAATACCACCGTGACCTTCTTGTCCTTGAAGAAAGCCAAGAGAAGCCCTTGATATAGGGATAAACGGATAACCTTACTAAAACATATTATGGATGTGATTTATGGTGTGATGATTAATGTAAAGTTATGTGTGATTGACAATTACCATTTTATGCAAAAATAAAGGGCATAAGGCAATAAATGTATAGCCTGATTGAATTTGAATATACTTACAAAGTTACAAGTATAACTATATCTTCTCTCTATCCAGTGGCGGAGCCAGGATTTATAATTCGGGGGGACAAATTTCAGATGTTTAATAAAATCGACAAAAAAATTTAAGAAAAAAAGATGATCACATAAATTTGCTTAATATATATTTTTTTTTATGGACAAGACAATTATTCTTATATGGCAAAAGAGGAGTTTTTATAAGTTTCATTGCATATTAAGAAAATTATCAACAAAAAAATATTTTTTTGTTGGTGAACCCCAATTGTAAGTTATGTGATCCCCGATAATCGAAAAATACGATTTATCGAAAAATACGATTTATCGAATAACAATATGAAAATAGATATAAAGGGATTTGGGTTACATTCCGAAAAAAAAAATAAACACAACTTTATTTGACTAATGAAATTATTAAAGTGTGTTATGTAAAATTAAAATTAGAAATTTAGTTCCAAACACTATAAGATATGTAGTTGAATAGCAAATTATTAATTATCATCTTTTATCATTGTGATATAGTTGTTCATGTAATGTATATAAACGCATTTACTGTGTTTTTTTTATACTACGAAAATCAATTTTTTTTTTTTTTTTGAAAATGGGGGGACAGTTGTCCCCCCACGTCCCTATAGTGGCTCTCTATCTCTCCGAAAAAATTTCTTTATGCTTTGAATTCCATGGTTTGAATATACTTACAAAGTTACAAGTGAAAAAGTAATGTACTTACAAACTTACAAGTATAACTATATCTTCTCTCTATCTCTCCAAAAAAATTTCTTTATACTTTGAATTCCATGGTTTTCAATGATTTTTTTACTACATACATATATATTTTCAAAATGATAAGAGGAAATATAGTGGGATTAGACTCATTAAGTCATTAGAGGGGCTTTGTTGCTTAAAAATATGGAAATTTGACAACAACCATCTACTATTGTTTTCGTTTTAGAATTACCATTTATAATGATTTTTGTTTTACCACCAATTATTTTTTAAAACATTAAATTTTTCTTCAATCCTCATGTTTAATTGCATTTTTTTTAAAACATTAAATTTTCCTTCAATCTTCATTGTGCCTTCTTCTCCTTCAATCCTCATGTTTAATTGCATTTTTTTTAAACAAGCATTGAAATTGGGCTAGGGAAAAACATTTGGTAGTAGATTTAATATAATTTAAGTTCACACAAAGATAATCAAGGTAAGTCATTAAACTATGTATCAATTATAATTTGTTGTTCTTTCTTGATGGTTTATCCCATATTCGGGAAATTTTTGAAATTAAGGTTTCTAACTTAAGTGTAATTTTACACTGATTAACTTCATATTGAATATATATGCTCAACTTATGATAATAGAAGTAACTCATAATTTAGAAAAAAATAATGGAAATTATGAAAACCCCAAAATGTCATATAAACCTAATTCTTTATAACAATAATTAGTGATAATTACTTAACAATAGTGTCAAATTTTATACTAGTCAAAGACCTAATACATGAAATTGGTGCTAATTAGCCCCAAATTTGTAAATTAATAACTAAAGAAATTTTCCAATTACAATTTAAAACCCTAAATGATGAACTTCATATTATTTGAACCCTCAACCTCTTATAAGAAGGACCATAATTGCAAATCAGAAGGTCTAATTAAAAAAGGAAAAAAAAACACCAAAAATATCAAATACATACCGTCACAAGGTTTATAAATTAGCAACCCAGTGTGCAAAGCTCGAGCTACACACTAATTTTAAAATTAGAAACTTATTCGTATTAATAATTCGAATTGAAATTCAGTTGCAATCCGAATTAAAGGTGTCAATTCGGATATTCGGATCGGGTCTAATGAGGTTGGATGGATCAATTTTTAAAGTCGAGTCATATTTAATTATTATGTCCACGTGAGTCGAAATTTGTATCGTACATTTTTTGAGTCGGTTTCGAATCGGGTAAGGTTGGGGGTGGTTTTGAATACCCTTAATTTTAATGATTCGGTCCGTCAAGAGTTTGGTACAACAGCCCAACAGGCAACAGGTGTGGTTTTTGTTGATTATCAGGGTAACAATTTGGATAGTCATATTACTAAGGCACTCAGGCCCAGCGTTTTCCTCTTCTTGTCCCCCAAACTTATTACTCGAACATGGCAAGAAAATTATGGAGTTTGTACTCGAACATGACAAGAAATCTCACCCTGAATGCTCCACTTTAATACTGGTAAGCTCAATTGAACTTTCCTACTCCTAAATTTACATTAATTTCTTGATTAATTCGTCTATTTAATTAGCAATTAGTAACCAATTTTGCTGAATTTGCTTTTGTTGGTTTTCCCCGATTCCAATTTCTTACGTTTATTATTTGTGTTTGTTGGCAATTTCTGGGTTGAATTGTATTAGCCAGCTTTATGAATAGGAAATGTGGGACAATTTACAATTAGCAGTAGATTTGTTGATATCATCAACTGGTACTCAAATAATCGGGTATTTGGATGATCCGAATTTCCTTCCTTGTGTTGGAAATGACGCTTTTGGCCCTCTTACTCATGGAGACCTTGCTCTCCCCCTTGGAAGGTCCTTCTCTTTCTCTCTCTTCCCATTTTCTAACTTTTTCTTTCATGCAAAGGTTGTACATTCTTTGTTTGTTTGTTTTATGAGTTTTATGGATTTCTATATTGAATCATTGAGGATAAGGTTGCGTACATTTGACCCCTATCTATGTCACGGTCAGGGCCGTTTTTAGAGGTTTTAGGGTTATGTTATACTTCATCCCATAATATAGTTCTTGTTTGTGTTATTTCACCGTTAAATAAATAGGAGGAGAAAGTGGATAAAATACATTAATAAAAGTGAAAAGTACAATAATAAACAAAACTTAGAGAGAGAACATAGAAAAAATTAAAAAAGTACAAGGCAAGTGCAAAATTCAAGAATAAATTAAGTATAATGAATAAAGTTAAAAAAGTGAGGGTATAACGGTCTTCACATACTATCCAAAAATAGAAACAGGAACAACAATTTAGAATAGGAAAACATGAACTATATTCTGGGACGGAGGAAATAGATACCGGAGGAAACATTGAGGAGGGCCTCGGCCCGGGAAGGGGAGAGTGAATGTTATAAAACAGATGGAAAAACATGGTAGTGGGTCCTTATACTAAATAAAGTAGTGTTACAATTGTTTATAAAACAGATGGGGAAAAAAAAAGTGTTGCTATATTATTCTATTAATGGAAGAAACAATTAGTCTTCACCTCTTCCATTTTCATAATCATACAAATTAAGAACCCTTTAATGGCATCAGCACATACAGTCATGTGGACGAAATGGGTAGGCACGCACACGTGGTTTGAAAAAGAAAAAGAAGCTGATCACAGAAAGAAGAAAACTAACCTTTGCAAACTAGAGTGTTAATTGTCCTTTTTTTTAATACTAAATTTAAATCTTAAGAGTTAAAATATAAAGAATTTTTTTTGAAAACACAGAAATTGCTCGGTTAAAATTTAGGGTCATTTTGGCCCTTTATGGATATAATTTGAAGTAAAAATTGGTGATAAACGACAATGTACACCTTGATTTGTGAGCAAGCAATGCCTTGATTTCGCGTTATATTTTTGAGCTGCAAATTTTCCTTGATTAATGTTATATGGGGGTCATTTTGGGCCTTAATAATCTTATTTGAGGTTAAAGTTGGCCAAAAAAAAAAAAAAAAAAAACCCAGCAATTTCGATTCAATGTATGTGCTAGGAATTGCCTTAGTTTGTCTATGCTTCAGTTTCTTAGCCGCGAGAATTCTCTAGTCTCTAGTCAAAAGTGAAAAAAAAGAAAAAAAAAAATTCGAGTCTTGGAAAATAAAGTACACAAACAAAGGCAATTACCTACACGCAAACTATAGTGTGTGTATATATATGACTCAAAACTCTATGACTCAGAACTCAGAAGATCCCAGCTGTGAAGGAGTTGAATTGACAACAAAATACAGAGCTTCTGCGGCCGAGGACTGAGGTTGTTTCTTAAGGTACTCTTCCTTAATCACCATGTGAATTGGAATTGTATGGTACAGTATTAGTCCTTAATTACTGCTCTATCATGTATCACTTTTGATTATCAACATAGTAGGCAAATAGCATAGATTGTGGCATTATGTGAATTGGACTTTAACATTGTTGGGGCATTTTCTTCTAGTACATGTGACTAATCAATGCAATGTTGTATATATATGATTTTACTCTTGCTCCTCAATTAACTTCCTATAACAATAAGGTCCTTTAACTAAATTAAAGTAAAAACCATAGTATATTGATGTTTGTCGAATTCTTCAAACTATGTCGTTTTCATTATTATTTATGTTTAGGTTTGACACTAAACATAGTATAGTACTGTCAATCAACTTGCTCTTAGTGCATGCGACAATTCGAATGTACAAGGTGTTTACTACAAGTTCAGAATTGTCTGTGTTAGATAGTATGCGTAGTTAACATGTAAGCTACTATGAAAGCTACCTTTGCATTTCCTAGCACCTTATTCGTACATCCTCACCCCTTCTTGCCTTATTCGTAGATAAAATTTATGTACTTTATTGTGGAAAAGGCGACAACAAGTGGTTGGAAAGTACTGAAGCGGTTAGAAAGATTGTCAATAATGCGTGGTAAACATATATTATGGTCATTACTCATTACCAATGTATGCTATATAATAGATGTATGTGCTAATCCTACCATTGTAGTAAATTGCCCCTTCCCTCACAATGTCATTTCCATTTGTCTCTTCTGTCCTCTCCTCGACACCATCCTCAGATCTTCCTCGACGTAAGATCCCTGGAAGTTACGGTCTGCCCTTCTTTGGAGCCATTAAAGATCGGTGGGACTTTTTTTACCTCCAAGGTCGAGATCAATTTTTCAGGTCTCGCATGGAGAATTACAAGTCCACAGTTTTTCGAGCTAACATGCCTCCTGGTCCTTGGATATCCCCTGATCCACACGTTATTGTTCTTCTGGATGCCAAAAGCTTTTTAGTTCTATTTGATAATTCCAAGGTTGAAAAACGTAATCTTTTTACTGGAACTTACATGCCGTCCACCTCCTACACTGGGGGTTATCGTGTATGCTCCTATTTGGACCCAAGTGAGCCTGAGCATGGCTCTCTTAAGGCCCTGCTGCTCTCTTTCCTTGCCTCTAAGCATGAGGAGTTCATCCCTCTCTTTCAGAGCTGTATGAAAGGCCTGTTCTCTGGTCTTGAGGATCAGCTGAGAGACAAAGGCCAGGCCGATTTTGAACAACTCAATGATGTATTATCTCTTGAGTTTGTTTTCAAGCTGTTTTGTGATGGCAAGAGCCCTTCAGACACCAAATTAAAGTCCAGTGGGCCGACCATGCTCAAGAAGTGGTTACTTGGCCAAATAGGACCTGTGAGCTCATTGGGATTGCCTAAGTTATTTTATCCAATCGAAGATTTTATAATGCATTCTGTTGGAATACCTTTTCTCTTGGTGAAAGGTGATTATAGAAAGGTGTATGATGCATTTTACTCATCAGCAATATCATTCTTAAACAAAGCAGAAAGTTTTGGTTTAAGTAAAGAGGAGGCATGTCATAACTTAGTTTTCGTTGCTGGATTCAATTCATTTGGGGGGTTTACAAAGGTGTTTCCGTCAATGATGAAATGGGTTGCATCAGCTGGGGAGAGCCTACATCGCGAGCTAGCTAAGGAGATCAGGACTATTGTGAAGTCTGAGGGTGGAGTCACTCTGAATGCCATCAACAAGATGGCCTTGACCAAGTCTGTGGTTTATGAAGCTCTAAGGATTGAACCTCCTGTACCATACCAGTATGGGCGGGCTAAGGATGATTTGGTGATCCAAAGCCATGAGGCTTCATTTAAGATCAAGAAAGGGGAGATGATCTTTGGATTCCAACCGTTTGCTACAAAAAGATCCAAAGATCTTTGATGATCCTGAGAAGTTTGTAGCGAATAGATTCTTAGGGGAGGAAGGAGAAAGACTGCTAAAGTATGTGTTATGGTCAAACGGAAGAGGGATTGATGATCCGACAGTGGACGATAAGCAGTGTGCTGGTAAGTGTGCTGGTAAGAATCTGGTAGAGCTTATGTCTAAAGTTTTCCTGGTGGAATTCTTCTTGCAGTATGATACATTTTCTGTTGATACTTCTAAAACCACTCTGACTTTCTTGTCCTTGAAGAAAGCCACCAGCACTTGATGTTTTAGAAAAACAACAATAATATCTTATAATCATTTTTCTTTTTCAATCATTTATCTTTTTTTTTTTAAAGTTATGCATGGATTATTAGTTTACTGTATTTTGCATAAAAAAGTCCGAATTTGCTAGCAGAGCAAGAAGTAAATAATCATGAAATGTAATTGTGCTTTTTTTCAAATATGTACACTTTTCAAATAAGAATCTGTAACACGAAGTATGTGACAGATTTCCCTTGTCCTTCTCCTCCTCCTCCTCCTCCTCCAAGGGTTTTGATATGCAATTTTGGTTGAGTTAATCCACTAGTGGTCCTTGCACCAGTAGATGTTGTCTAATGGTGAGTATCGATCTATTCTGCTGCTTGAGTTGTGACAGATTTTGTTCAATTTATAGTAATATTTTCCACGTTTTAGTCCATGTTTGAAGTTGATGGTTGATTTAATGATAATATTACAAACTTGAATTTGGAGGACCTAGAGCATGATCGACTTGCACCTCGTTGATTCATTGCGTTTCTTACTTTGTTACCCCCCTCGCTTCGACGTTGTAAAAATTCATCATGTTCTACGGAGTAATAAGGAGAGGTATAACTCAACCACCCAGAACAAAAATATATATCGAGCAAAAATAATACACTTGGTATAACTCAGCCACCCAGAACTACGATTAATTGCATCATTGGAAACCAAATTTATGTGGAATAGAAAATTAAAATAAGGAAATATTGTCCTAAATTACCCGGCTATTTAGACATGTCTCAAACAATGTATTAAGACATGCATTGAACAATGCATTTAGTCATCAATTAATATATGAAGTTATAATGCATAAAGTAATTGTCATTCTAGATAGAAAAAACAACTCCTTTCTCCCTCCTCCTTTCTCTCTCCAAAACCCTAGCCTCCATTGTTGAATTTTGAAGGGGTTTTCATCGATTTTAATCGGTGGAAAGCCTCGGGTTTTTCGACCTCCTTCGAAAGACAAGGTTTATCTCCTCTTTTCGAGGGAGAAATTTCTTAGTTTTGAATCTATGGTAGCAGATCTAATGGATTGTTGTGAAATTATTTCGTTGGTGAAAAAGTTATCAAGTTTTCGAATACGAACAGATGAATCAAAAGGAAAACATCCTCACGGCTACAACGGATCGTTAGATTGTCTCTCCAACAAGGCTGTAATTTTCAGCGATAGCGGGAGATGCTCCGCAGTGCAAGATCTACTCGACGATAGTAGTTTTTATGAAGGAAAATTCTATTTGATTCAATATCTTATGTATTTGTTAACGTCGAATCTCTATTGTAAATGTTGTATGACTTTTAATTAATGAAATATTTTTGCTATTAAAAAAAAAAAAAAAAGTAATTGTCATTCTAATACAAGAGATCAAATCCGAAATCTTATGTAGTAATTAATAACAAATCAGCCACTTTCTTTCTTTCTCTTGATTAGTTGTATTGTATACAACGGAGTACTACCTTAATCATATGTTGTCTAAATCATGACATCTTAACCAAATGACTTTAACTTAACATAACATGAATAATAATCTACTAAATACTCTTGGCCTATTTATAGGCACTGACTACAACCCAGTCAGATAGGATAACTGCCAACTATGCCCACTACACCCACGATCTTGTAACTACCCAACTATGACCTGTCCACGTAGTCAAGGGGGTTATCCACGTTCAACAATTCTCCAACAAGAATAAGTATAATCGTATGTACAATGTACTCTTTTTATTCAAACAAGAAAAAGGATTAAAGATCGTCGCTAACTTGTCAACTTTTATACCAATATATCATCACATTAACTTTTATATCAATCTATCGCAATTGGCTAACTTTATAACACTATGTTCGGGTAACAATTTGGTTAGTTAGGGCCTCAGGCACTTGCGCTATTGCGTATAAAGTTGGTGCCTTGTTTTCTCTCTCGTATACAGACATACAGTATACCCCCAGCGTATTGCTCTTCTTCTTCCCCAAATTTCTTGAAAAAAAAAAAATGGAGTTTGTTGTAGAACAAAGCAAGAAATCTCACTCTCACTGCTCCACTTTTATACTGGTAAGCTCAATTAAACTTAATTACTCTACATTTTCATTAATTTCATGATTATTTGGTCATTTTAATTAGTACTCCGGTAGTTTTAGGCTAACCAATTATGCTTATTTTATTTCGTTTCTTTTGGTAATTTCTGGGTTGAATTGTATTGCCCGGCTTTATTAATAGGAAATGCGGGACAATTAGCAGTAGATTTATTGATATCATCAACTGGTACATAGAAAATCGGGTATTTGGATAATCTGAATATCCCTCATTGTGTTGGTAATGGGTTTAAATTGTTATTATTAAATCATCAAATTAGCAAAAATTAGGCCCTTTTTAGAAGTTTTATGGTAATGTTGTAATCGATGTTATAGATACTAGAATATCAATTTGATGATATACTAGCTTGTTCGGAACTAGTTTGTTATACTTGATCAAATTCGGAACTATATCACGGGTAGGGCCGTTTCCCGGCCTTGCTTTTCTTCCCTTCATAAGGAGTTAGTATCCTAATTTGTTATACTTGATCGAATTCGGAATTATCTAATGATGGTATTCTTGTTTGCAGTGTATGATTCAGTTTCAACTTTCAAGTAAATTGACTTTTTTCGAACAAAGATATCCAGTAGTTAAGGTAAATTATAATTCTTTTACATGCTATACCTTGATTTTGAATGTTATAGTGTGTTTGTGTTGTTAGGGAAGTGGTTGAGCTTCAATTTGATATCTTAAGAAGTTCAAACACGTAATCTAATTAGGGCGATTAGTCTTTTTGAGGACAATCAGTAAGTTTGATTAATTAGGATTTGGGACGATTAGTCTTTTACTAGAGAGTGTGCAAATGAAGTAGTTAATGCAAGAATCTTTATTTCAGTTATGTCCAACATATTACTTTCAGTAATTTTTTTTTGTGGGGGGATGAGTTCTTTCTTGATCTCAACCTGACTCATTCTTGCCCAAATTTGGATCACCTGTTATTTTGTGATTTCAAAGGAGTTAATGTTACAAGATATTCTTTGGCTCTCCAATTACTTTTGGGTATCATGAAATCAAATTGTATCTACCAATAGAATAATGATTGTCAATTGTCCTTGACTCCCAGATTGGCAATTGTCAACTGAACTAAATTATTTTTGCCGAACACAACTTATTCTCAACTTATTTATGCTCAAATGAAATTATTTTTACTGAATTGAAATTATTTTAAGGTGAAGAGAACAAGGTCTTATATTGATAATTTAAGTCTTGTGGGGGATGATGGTTCAAGTTGCCCAAAATTTTGCCGATTTTTCCGTTGCTGCTGGAATGAAGCATGTTATTGTGCTTTCTAACTTGGACTTTTTGCGGTGGAAAAATTTCGATATGTCATTGTATCTTAGCCTTTCTTTTTAGGTTTTTAACTTGTAAAGTTTTAATCAAAGTAAGAGGATATAGGCTCAGCTATCATGAATTGCAATCAAAGTTCCAAACAACTTATAACAACCATGTAGCTTTCTCTGCTTAATTTTTGAGCTAGTGCCTGAATTACTCTTAATAGTTCAGCTGGCCATTTTGCCTTTTGTTATTGATATGAATTTTTTGGAATGCGGGAGCGAGGGGAAGCATGTATCTTGATTTATTTTGGTGATTTTTCAGTGGAATGCCTATACATTACCACTCAAGCACCAATGCAGACGGAACTGATTATGATTGTGAAAAGCTTGGATGGAAATGACTGCAAGAGTACACTTCTTTTCAAGGGTGGTGGCAGTATTTTAGCACAGTTGCTGAGGGGAATGTCGTCGAGGAAAATTCTGTTCCTTTTGATGATGATCTAGAAAAAGAAGATTATCGTGCCAGTTCACCTTTGCTGCACTATTTTCTTTCTTAAAGGTACATTTGTGAATCCTTTTGCCGTTAGGTGAAGGTTATGCAAGATCTTTATGAATTTATATTGCAAGGCTAGCTTTTGGGAATAGTAGTTTGCAGAAGTTCGTAATTCGATGTTGCTCCATAGCTTATATTTATTCTGTGTGTTTTCCTTTGGAACTGTGTATTACACACAAAAAACTTTTATGTTGCAAATATAAACTAGATTTTGTGCTTTTATTTATACAATATACTAAAATATTTTGCTTACTGTGCCATGAGCTACAAGTTGTCTCTTTTTATCTGGTCAGGTTTGAAGGCGACTTGCTAGCTTTGTTACTGTTCTGAAGGAGATAACATATGCCATTTCTGTAATCTCACTGAGGCTGCATGCAAAAATTATTGGGCTGCGCCCTAGTGATTGCCATGGTAAGATGATTCACATTATTATGTAATACTTTGTTAAGTGCTTTCTGTGTATTACCAGAGTAACTAGCGAACATATTAAGCTTGACTGGCAAGCTACTAATTTCTTGGTAAGTTGATAATTGAAGCATATGGCTTTTGTTCTTCTGGAACATCCAATCCTTTCTACTCTGCCCCTTTTTTCATCTTTAGTTTTGCATAGATGCTATTTATATACTCCTAGAATTTATTTTCTCTGCGACTGATTTTCCAAATTGTTGGCGCCAAATCACCAATCAAATGTTCCTTTTAGATAATCATCTTCTTTGGAGTGAGGAGCTCAAGCAGTTATATCTAGACGTAGATATTATCTTTTCGGCCAACTACCCAAACCCTAAAATCCTTCTCTTTCCTGAACTTAGACTGCATAACAATGCAACTAAAGGTATATGCAAAGTTTGCTATTTCGTTGGCAATGAAACATCTATCCGCTGCTTTTGTTCATGTTGCGCAGTCGAAGCCAGTTTGATGGTTCAAATATTTTTGTAGGAAGCTGTACTTGTTCTGTTTAGGTTTGCCCCCTTCCAGTTCTGGATATGAATGGAACTCTTTGTATCAGGTTCCCAACATAAGCTGGAATATAATGCCAGACTAAAGTATTGTTTGCTTTAATCGTCACCTGAATTCTTCTGCCAAATTATTATTTTCAGAATATGAACAGAATTCTGTGTACTAGGTTCGTTGATGATGCCTGGATATAGTGTCAAGAGCAAAGTTCTGTTCCAATCTCCCAGACTTCCTAGTTATTTTTTTTTCCCAATTCTTCAGCCAAATTACTTATTTGTAAATCAAGAGTTCGACTGATAATTTGTACAAAAATGATTGGCATATCATTAAGATCTACCAAGAGGGGTAGTTGGATATTGAATTCCTAATTTTATTGGGAGTGGCATGCACGCCATACAGTCCCTTGGCTATTCAAGAAAATTGTGATTAAGTTTTGTTGGAATGCTCTGATCAATATCTACTCTCTCTCTCGTTCATTGCTGGCTAATTTGGCCTGGCTTGACCCTACATGACATTGCCATTTACACATCACATTTGGCTATGGTAATGTTGAACTTGACCCTTTTTGGTTTTGCTTGCTGAGTGTGGCAGAGAGAGTGAAGGAATATGTATTGTGCTGCTGCTGCTGCTCTATCTGTCATTCTCAATTTCTCGCTTTCCTGTAATTTTTTCAATGGTGGCTAGCTGATGGACGATTGGACGGCGATGGTGATGATAGTGAGATGAGTGCACATATTTGGGTATCATTGATGATGGATGTGGCAGGCTGGCAGCAGTGGCGGAAATGAACTTGTAGAGCTGCCTATGTGATGCTCCTTGTGACATGGCAGTGGGTTTGCTGGTGTCAATGGTCTGTGGCCTAAAAATCATGATTTGTTACTACTCAAGTAGGACTTTTAACCATGGAGTAGGGTTTGCATTTGGGGGAAAGTAGGGTTGGTTAGAAACAGAACTGAAAGATAATATAATAAATCAAATGCCAAATAATAGACTGCCGGTTTTCGTTAAGTTTAAACAAAATGAAGATGAATGCCCTCGTAATATATACTTCCTCCTCTGACTCTCTATTAGCACCATGACATTAATGATCAATGTATTGTTCACCTTGACTATTAGAACCTAAACATATCTACTTGCTATATTTCTCTAAAATAAACCACTAATATTCGTAACTCATTATTGCTAGTTTCCATATGTGGTAAAAATTTAGCTGCAAGTGTTTCAAACCGATCTTTTTGCTATTTTTGACTGGTAAAGGTTATGTTTTTATCGAACCACGTGCTCATTGTTTTTGTAAACCTTACTCTCTATTTGCTGTATACAGCCGGTGAAGATAGCGGATGGATCACTTCATTTTCATGAAAGAGCGTGTATGGACCACCTGCAGATATGTGGATGTTCTAGGCTGATTGAAGTTGGAAAATATAGGACATCAAATACATGTTGAACTCTATGTTCATTAGTTTACAAATCCAAGTACATGAAAACATTAGTCAGAACTCAGAAGATCCCAGCTGTGAAGGAGTTGAATTGACCACAAAATATGAAGCTTCTGCGGCTGAGTTTGTTTCTTTAGGTACTCTTCCTTAATCACCGTTGAACTGGAATTGTATGGTACAGTATTAGTCCTTAATTACAGCTCTGCTTCTGTTTAATTATGTATTGCTTTTGATAAGTAACATAGTATGCATAATTTTTTTTTTGTTTTTCTTATTCCATTAATATACTGTGGGTTGCGGAGTTGATTTAATTTGGTTTATTTAGGTTTCTATTATGATTTGCTTACAAAATCCTGATCATGCATTGATTGTGGCATTATGTGAATACTGGACTTTTAACGTTGTTGGGACTTTGCCTTCTAGTACATGTGACTAATCTATGCATCATTGTACATATGATTATATGGGGAGTTGGGGACCATTTCTAAACATCTTAGACCATGCCGTACTTTGTTACTCTTGCTCCCCAATTAACTTCCTATAAGGTCCTTTAACTAAAATAAAAAGATCGGAAAAATATAAATAACAGTTCATAAATGTTTGTTGAATTCTTCAAACTATGTCGTTTTCAATATTTAATTTTAGGTTTTAAATACTGTCAATATCAACTACAGTAGCTCTTAGAGTCTTGATACATGCGACGGTTTGAAGAAGGCCTTAACTACAAATTTAGACTTTTCTGTGTTAGATAAGTATGCGTAGTTAACATGTTTGCTACTATGAAAGCTACGTTGCATTTGCTAGCAGCTTTTCGGTTCATTCTCACCCATTCTTGGCTTTAATACTTTTCAACTTTATAAAATTTCTGTGCTTTATTGTGGTAAAGGTTACAACAAGTAGTTGGCCAATTTGGAATTACTATCCAGTGAATTAGGTAAACTTATATTATGGTCATCCCCTAGAAAAGTACTGAAGCGGTTAGAAAGATTGTCAATATGCATGGTAAACATATATTATGGTCATCCCCAATGTATGCTATATAATAGATGTGCTATTGCTACAATTGTATCAACTTGTCCATTCCCTCACAATGTCATCTCCATTTGTTTCCCCTACTGCTATCTCATCACCACCATCCTCGGATCTTCCTCAACGTGAGATCCCTGGAAGTTACGGTCCGCCCTTCTTTGGAGCCATAAAAGATCGGTGGGACTTTTTTTACCTCCAAGGGCGAGACCAATTTTTCAGGTCTCGCATGGATAATTACAAGTCCACAGTTTTTCGAGCTAACATGCCTCCTGGTCCTTGGATATCCCCTGATCCACGGGTTATTGTTCTTCTGGATGCCAAAAGCTTTTTAGTTCTCTTTGATAATTCCAAGGTTGAAAAACGGGATGTTTTTACTGGAACTTACATGCCTTCAACCTCCTACACTGGGGGTTATCGTGTATGCCCCTATTTGGACCCAAGTGAGCCTGAGCATGGATCTCTTAAGGCCCTGCTGTTCTCTTTCCTTGCCTCTAAGCATGAGGAGTTCATCCCTCTCTTTCAGAGCTGTATGAAAGGCCTGTTCTCTGGTCTTGAGGATCAGCTGAGAGACACAGGCCGGGCCGAGTTTGAGCAGCTCAATGATGTACTATCTCTTGAGTTTGTTTTCAAGCTGTTTTGTGATGGCAAAAGTCCTTCAGACACCAAATTAGAGTCCAATGGGCCTATTATGCTCAAGAAGTGGCTACTTGGCCAAATAGGACCTGTGGGTTCATTGGGATTGCCCAAGTTATTAGATCCAATCGATGATTTCATAATGCATTCTGTTGGACTACCTTTTCTCTTGGTGAAAGGTGATTATAGAAAGCTGTATGATGCATTTTACTCCTCAGCAATATCATTCTTAAACAAAGCAGAAAGTTTTGGTTTAAGTAGAGAGGAGGCATGTCATAACTTAGTTTTCGTCGCTGGATTCAATTCATTCGGGGGGTTTACAATATGGTTTCCGTCAATGATGAAATGGGTTGCATCAGCTGGGGAGAGCCTACATCGCCAGCTAGCTAAGGAGATCAGGACCATTGTGAAGTCTGAGGGTGGGGTCACTCTGAATGCCATCAACAAGATGGCATTAACCAAGTCTGTGGTTTACGAGGGTCTAAGGATTGAACCGCCTGTACCATACCAGTACGGGCGGGCTAAGGATGATTTGGTGATCCCAAGCCATGACGCTTCATTTAAAGTTAAGAAAGGGGAGATGATCTTTGGGTTCCAGCCGTTTGCTACAAAAGATCCAAAGATCTTTGATGATCCTGAGAAGTTTGTAGCGAATAGATTCGTAGGGGAGGAAGGAGAAAAACTGTTGAAGTATGTGTTATGGTCAAATGGAAAAGGGACTGATAATCCGACGGTAGATGATAAGCAGTGTCCTGGTAAGAATCTGGTGGAGCTTATGTCCAAAGTTTTCCTGGTGGAATTTTTCTTGCAGTATGATACATTTTCCGTTGATACTTTTAAAACCACTCTGACTTTCTTGTCCTTGAAGAAAGCAACCAGCACTTGATATTCGAGAAAAACTAAGATGTCTTATTATACGAGTAGTTTATTTTGTTCTGTCAAATTTATTTTATTTTATTTTATTTATTTATTTATTATGTTCTATTTACGTGAAGTTGTATGGATAGTTTACTACATTTTGCCTATAAAAATCTATGAATTTGTGTGCACAAAAAGTAAAGTAATATTTTATAATTATGAAATAATAATAAAGGGTGCTTTTTCTGTTTGATAATTTTTCTGTTTGTGATTCAGATTTGGTTGAATAATTATGAAATGAAATGAAATGGTACTATTTTCAATTAATATGGAGTTATGTCTATGTGCTAGACTCGTCCTTCCCTTGTCCTTCCTCTCCACTTTTCAAGGGTTTGGTATGAAGTATAGGTGAGTTGATCCACAAGTTGTCCTTGTAGATAGGGATGCTCTCTAATGGTGGATATCAGTTCTGCTTGAGTTGTGGTTGATTTTGTTTGATTTATCATGTAACGTTTCCCGCATTTTGATAGGTGTTTGAAGTTGATGGTTGATTTAATGATGATGTGAGGTTCGTTTTTAGGTACGTCTTCTTAATGTATCTTTATACTAGCTATACACCGTTATAAACTTGAACTTTGAGGATTTAGAGGGTAGCTCATACACAATTACACACTAATCAATTGTAATTCTCTTTTTAGTTTTCCATTCAACATTTTTATTTTTTTATTTTTTATTTTTTTTTATCATAACAAGAAGAATTAATTATTAAACCCTCAATCATACACCTGACTACATCTAGACTTAGATGCACCCATTTATTAAGTTGATAACTTTCTTATAAACAAAATCATACACTTGGATTCACCCAAATTCACAAATTATATTATTCAGCTCGGATTATTTGAAAAGTAAATATAGGTTTAACATTTGAGCAATTACACAATCAGAAACCGAATTCTTCAGGAATTAGGAAACAGGAATTAGGAAACAAATTTATGCTCCCTCGAAATAATTAAAGAGGGTCATGTACTCATGTATGGAGCCTAAACCATGATCAACAAGCACCTGTCACATAATACAACTTAATTAAACACTTGCATTTTCTACATACATAAATGATACTTGTTGAAAACTTTTAATTTTCTTTAAAGGTAGGTAGCAAGTTTCTGATTTTATGTCTTACGGAAACACTCGTCACCTTACACTTCATATAGTTCTTCCTTTAAGCAATGTAATCGTTTTATTGTCCCTTCAATGTGATTTGAACGATATTATGCATTAAGACTATGTATATTGGCAACTAATTAGCTTAAATGTGTTGTATTCTATATTATACTGGAGATGACTATATTTGAACATACCTAGCACCCTCCTCAGCATCTCAACAATGTCTTCTCCTTGTGTTTCCTCATCACATCTAAAAAATAAGAGCGACTACAAGCTCTCATCACCACCATTATTGTCGGACCTTCCTCTTCGTGAAATCCCTGGAAGTTATGGTCTGCCCTTCTTTGGAGCCATTAAGGATCGGTGGGACTACTTTTATGTTCAAGGAGAAGACCAATTCTTTAGGTCTCGAATGGAAAAATACAACTCCACGGTCTTTAGAGTTAACATGCCTCCCGGTCCTTGGATCTCCCATGACTCGCGAGTTATTGTTCTTCTAGATGGCAACAGTTTCCCTGTCCTCTTTGATACCTTTAAGGTTGAAAAACGCGATGTGTTGACAGGAACCTACATGCCTTCCACCTCCTTCACTGGAGGTTACCGCGTGTGTGCCTACTTGGACCCAAGTGAGCCTGCGCATGCCTCTCTTAAGTCCTTATTACTTTCTTTCCTCACCTCAAAGCATGAGGAGATCGTCCCTCTCTATAAAAGTTGTCTAAAAGGCATGTTCGATGAGCTAGAGGATCAATTGAGGGGCAAAGGCCGGGCAGAGTTTGGGCCGCCAAACGATGTTGTATCGCTTGAGTTTGTTTTTAGATTGTTTTGTGATGGCAAGAGCCCTTTGGATACCAAGCTGGAGTCCAAGGGACCTAGCATGTTCAAAAAGTGGTTAATTTGCCAATTAGCACCCTTGAAAACATTGGGCTTATCCAAGTTGTTAATCCCTATTGATGATTTCATACTACATTCTATTAGGTTACCATTTTTCTTGGTGAAAGGTGATTACAAGAGGTTGTATGATGCATTTTACTCCTCGGCGACATCATACTTGGACAAAGCAGAAAGTTTTGGTATAAGTAGAGAAGAAGCATGCCATAACCTGGTTTTCATAGCTGGATTTAATGCATTTGGTGGGTTTTTAAGGTGGTTTCCGTTATTCATCAAATGGGTTGCATCTGGAGGTGAGACCCTACACCGCGAGCTGGCTAAGGAGATCAGAGCCGCTGTAAGATGCGAGGGTGGAGTCACTTTGAATGCCATCAACAAAATGACCTTGACCAAGTCAGTGGTCTATGAGGCTCTAAGGATTGAACCTCCTGTGCTGTACCAATATGGTTTGGCTAAGGATGATTTGATGATTCATAGCCATGATGCTGCGTTCAAGATTAAGAAAGGGGAGATGATCTTTGGATATCAACCCTTTGCTACCAAAGATCCGAAGATATTTCACAACCCCGATAAATTTATAGGGAATAGATTTGTCGGGGAGAAAGGAGAAAAATTGTTGAAGTATGTGTTATGGTCGAATGGGAGGGGAATCGATGATCCGACAATGGATAATAAGCAATGCCCTGGTAAGAATTTAGTGGAGCTCTTGTCTAGGTTTTTTTTAGTGGAATTCTTCTTGCGATATGACACATTTTCAGTTGAAATTGGCACCTTGTTGTCGGACACCACCGTGACTTTCTTGTCCTTGAAGAAAGCCACGACAAGCGCTTGATATTGGGGAGAGTCGATATTGTATTACTTAAACATATTATGGATACATTTTATGGTTTGATAATCGTCAATGTGAAGTTATGTGTGATTCATAGATTACCATGTCATGCAAAATAAGGGCATAACTCATGAGCCAATAAATAATGTAGATCGACATGTAACATGTTTAAATTTAAGAATAAGACTTGCTAAGAGAGCAAGTGAAAAACTAATGTATTCATAAGCTCATAACTACATAATACGTACAATAAAAATAAACTTGCTGAAGATAGTTGATGCTCATTCGACCTATTGAAAAAGGTGTTTGAGAATGGAATCAAGCCTACAAACCCCAACAATAGAATATGTAGTTTTTTTTTTTTTTTTTTCAAAATAATACAGCACCACTCGAAGTCAGGCCCAAAAAATCTAACCCAAACCAGAGCAATTTTTGACTGGGCTGGGCTGCTTATGAGTTATGCTTTTTTTTTTTTTTTTTTTTTTTTTAAGGAGAAAAGGTCATCATAAGAATTTTGATACATCCCTTTTTATAAATGAAAGTTTTATTAGATGCATCACTTTTAATAAGGTAGTTTTTTAATTCCTCGAAAAAAAAGTTATTTTTTATCTCTCTCCCAACATATGAGTCCTCTTTATTTTAGTAAATAAAAACGGATGAAGTAGGAAAATTGTCCCGTGTGTCCATCATAAAAAAATTATAAATTGTACCGTGTAATTTTATTTTTTATTTTTTATTTTTTTTTGTACAATGAACCATATATATTTTGACAAATGATATTTATATACTAAACACTCTTACTGTCAAGTCATTACTTCTCGCTTGATCACACAATCACAGTGCAATACAACCCAACACAAAAAGGCATGTTGTCTTGAGTCTAAGGATGACAGTGGGTCAGGTTAAATGGGATTTGTCTAGTGATTGGACGGAGATGGGTATAAAAAGTGTACCCGTTACGAATGATGGAGTGGGGTATGAATTTTAGAGTAATTCGCCCCATCCCCTATCTCATATCCACGTTATACTTTTTGCAAAGGTTGAAAACTTGAAATAAACTTGGAAGAGTCTAGAATTTAGATACTAAACTAATATATAAAAATAAAATATTAAATTAATTACATTAACGCTATATGAATTTCGCCAAAGTAGATATAAAAAGGGATTTGTTAGAAAAGATAATTCTTCATATTATTGTGATATAATATGGCATTATGGTAGCGGGTTGGAGCAGGTCTAAGGTGGGTATGGATATCTAAATGGGTTGTGGAATGGTCGGGGATGGATATTAGCTTGTACCTGACGGGATGGGTATGGATATGGGTATTGTACAAACCACAGCCCATGGGTGGTGGGGCGAAGATGGGTATAAGATTTTTAGACAGGGATGAATATGGAGGTACCATCTTCCATATTTAACCCGTCCCATTGCAATCTCTAATTAGGTTGTATTTGGATCACCCTTTTGAAAACTTCAATTAGCATGACACGTAGGGGTGTCTATTCAGATTTTCGGATCGAATTTGATAAGATCGAGAAACTTGGGTCATGTCTAATTATTATATCTATACAAATTAAAATCTAAATCGAAAATATTTCGGGCCACAGTGGTCAGTGGCCTATCCAAATTCCAAACACAAGATACGTGGGGTCCAACACGTCCCAGTTCCATCGTCACTGCAAACTCTTCTTAAAGTGATAAACAAAATAAAATATCAATATCAACTTCAAGATACATTGATAAAGATCCATTGAAGAGTGGCTGAGTCATAATTTTAGATACGTGCCTGCAATTCCACAAGACGTAGGACACGTGTCCCAATCAAATTGGTAGAAAGACAATGAAAGTGCTAGAAAGAAATGAATGAGTGTAGGATCACATTGCCAGCAACTCTATTGTCTGTCATTACACCACTTAGCTTGGTATTACTATCACTTATGTCATTGTATATAAATTAATAATCATTCCTTTCTTAATTCTTATCTATTCGTCTAATTAATTATTTGCCATCAAATATTCAAACCTATTTATCAATGCTTAATGTCACCGTATTAAACAAGATACTCGATCACGTTACCATGTCAATCATACTATTATATTGTAATTTGTAAGTCAATTTGTCCAAAAATCCATCCAATTCTTGTGAGACCCAAAGATTGAACAAGATTTTCCGAGATTTTGAAATACTTGTCCTAAAATTATGCAAATTATTCTCACATGCTCATCTCAACTCTTTTTTGAACAGTTTTACTCACGAATTTATCTGTTGTCTCAATTTTTATTTCGTCCTCATCTCATTCACCGACTATAATTATTGAAGCATAGGAAAATCCTTGTATTTGATAATCATCAAATGTGCAAACATCACCAATTATTGATTGAAATACGACATGTAATGGTAAATTTTTGGGCTAGTGTGTGATTTGTAAATTTTGAATGAAGTTGTGAGTCTATTGTTACACACACGAAGAAAAATAGGTCCGAACAATACAAAATCTCAAACTACTCATAATAGACATTAATACAAAAAAAAAAAAAAAAAAAAAAAAAAAAAAAAAGTTACAAATATACGAAGGGCCTGTTCTATTGACTGAAATGAGTTGAACTGTACTAAACTAAACTGAATATTTTACAAAAGAAAGAAATTAAGAGCTAAGCTGAAAATAATCTGATAGGAAAAGGGCTGAAGTACTCTGTCTTTCTCAACTGAATAATCTGACCCGGTCTATCTGACCCGAATCAAACTCGACCGATCTATTTGACATATCACATGCCTACTAGCGAGCAGGTCGGCAGGCTATTCTTATTACTACCGAAAATAGGATTGTTCAATCATACAAACAGAATGCAACAAAATAGAATAAATCTTTTACTACAAGGGTAGTTGGATAATTGGATGATTCATGATTGTGTCCCAGTCCAATTAGAACCATTATTTTTTGTAATAAAAAAAAAAGTGATTAAAAGTTACAGTAAATCTTGTCTTCATGCAGATAAATAGCTTACTATAAAAATTATTTTGGGTAAAATCACATCTATCTATATCTATCCATTCTTCTCTTTTGACTTAACATCAACATAAATTTTCCAACTACAATCAGGTCGGCAACAATTTAAATTCCCCCTTTTTTTTTTTGTACAAAAACTCAAAATTTTAGTAGTTTAAAATTTAATTACCCTAATAATTGTTTTATTCTTTTCCCCCAATTTTTTGGAATTTCAGGAAAAATGAAGCAAATGGATTATTTGAAGATGAAGACAGAGGATGAATTTCCAAGTAATCAATTGAGTTCAGATTTGAAGGAGGTGCATAATGCTGCTAAAAAGCTTGCTTCTGATGTTATCAAGCTTGGTGGTTTGGGTTTTGGCACCTCTTTTCTTCAATGGATTGCTTCCTTTTCTGCCATGTATAACTCTTTCTTTCTCTCTCTAGAATTGTTGCTATTTTTTATGCAAAACTATTGTATTGAATTAATGGGTTTGTTTGAATTGATGAATTTTCAACTGGGTTTTTTTCATTTGATGATTTGAAGTAATCAATTTTGCTCATCTAATTGATCTATTGTTTTTCAAATTGTTGATTTTTTTTTTTTTTTTTTTTTTTTTTGGTTTAAAAAAAAGTATATTGGATTCTTGATTGATGTTAGTGAAAATTATACTCTTAATTTTGGGGTAAATTAGTATTGGGTAATCTTCCATAAATTTGAACCCGTGATCACATTTTTTGGGTGCACAGTGAGAAGCCAAATCTGGATGGATGGTAAAACGTCAAATTTCATGCCTGTGAAATTTTATCATGGCCAAGTTGTTGATATTTTCCCTTTTAGTCCCTTTCAAGTTCATAACCAGTAATTTGATGTTTTACCATCAGAATAGTATATTAGCATTTGAGGGAAAAATTAGCTGCATATACTTGTTTGTCTAGTATTGAGCAATTTATCAACTTTTGCATAGTTTTATTTGAAAGAAAAATGTGAGGCAATTTAGAATTGCACATAATTACATCATTGCTCTTAAGAGGTTAAGGCTTGTATATGAGATTATGAGGTGAAGTTAAGAGTAAGCCAAGTTCAGATGGCATAATCATCCATGATCAATGACAACACAAGAGTAATAGATGCGCTTGATGCGTTCCACAATAGATTTTAATAGCTCTCTGGGTTTTTAAATCAGTCCTGTGGATTGAATTGATTACTATAATCGTGTGACTCTATTGCAAGCAAGTGCTGGTCTTTCTACATATACTTGTTTGTCTGGTATTTGTGAATTGCAATCAAACTAATGCTCGAATTGAAACTACTGTCTGCAATTCGTTTTACTATCCTATATGCAGTTTTTGTCATTCTAGTGTCCATTAGTTGATATTTTCCCTCTATTTCTTGTTGCAGTTATTTGTTGGTTTTGGATCGCACGAACTGGAAGACTGAGATCCTAACCGGACTCTTAGTGCCTTACATTTTCTTCAGCCTCCCTGGGATTTTGTTCAACTTTCTGAGGTAGTTTTATGGACAGTAGCCTAGTTTTAAAAGGCTGTCTCTATCTTTTGATCTCTTTTTCACCAATTTGATTGACAATGCAGGGGAGAGATTGGAATGTGGATTGCTTTCGTCACTGTCATATTGCGTGTTTTCTTTCCACAACGCTTCCCTGGTATGCATCTACTTGACTGTGTTAGTTTGACATCAGATTTTCCTATTTGTTTTGTTGATTAAAAAGATAACTGTTAAGGAGTACCTTCAACCTAAGAATTTATACTATTGAATTCATGGATGGCCGGCAAACTTTTGGCCTTTGTAAAGTCCGCAGATAATCTCAAAAAAAACTTTGGAAAGGTTCCTCAAAGACAGCTACCAAATCATAACAAAGTCCTTACAAGCCATGCTCGTTAGACCTTTATTAAAGTTTGTTGGAAAGTCTCAGCATTGTTAGAAAGAATTTTACTCTTATGTTTACACTACCTCCTTGATACCTGGTGGCCTCAGAGAGTCTACATTGCTTGTTCGGATAAATAATTAGTTTCGGGGAGATGACTAGTATCTAAAATTTGCCTTTCCTCCACATCTCCTTGTAGACATTCACTTGTGTTAGATTTGAGAATATTTTTCTCATTGCATTCGGCTACATGTAGATAGGATCTGAAGTTTATGTTGCTGTATTCTGCATTTCTATTTTCCTACTTGTTTGGCATCTGTTTTAACCTTTTTTGCTAGAGCCATTTTAGAACTGGTAGTTTTTGAAGAGAAATAGAGCGCTCTTCTAGGAAGCAAAACGGACATAGATCAGGATGCAATGTAATCAAGTAGTGGAAAATCGCTAAATCCAAGTAGTTATGTAGGAACTTGATGGTTACTGGCTGAAGATGTTTACTCCCTCGTTAATAAATAGTTTGGCGGTGCTGCTTGTACCATCAGTGTCCTGTTTGTTATTTAGCTTTTAATTGAGCTGATTGAAGCATGAACTGCGAGTTCTACTTTGCTTATGTGGATATCCAACATGATCCCTAGCTAAAACACCTTCACATCTTTGTTGTTGCAGATTGGCTGGAGCTGCCAGGTTCTGTCATTCTCATCATAGTGGTAGCTCCGAGTTTGTTAGCATCCTATGTCCGTGGTGGTTGGATTGGCGCAGGAATATGTTTGGCGATTGGGTGTTACTTGCTGCAAGAACACATTCGAGCATCAGGAGGGTTTAGGAACTCCTTCACAAGGGCTAACGGGGTATCAAACACCGTAGGCATAATCCTTTTGCTGGTCTATCCAGTTTGGTTTCTGATAGTCAACATTCTCTAATCTGCTTGAATTCTTCTGTGGCTTGTACATTTGTTGGCTGTTTTTACATGTACAAGGCTTAGTATCTTATCATTGTTTGTTACTGCATTTAAATTTTTGTGCTGAACATGCTTTAATTTCATTTGTTTGTACCTAATTTTTAAGAGTCAAATAAAATTTATGTGGATTCTTAAGCTTTTGTCACATCAATATATTGCTTTCTTCTTTTGTCAAGCAAAAAACCAACCGACCTACCTAGCATGAAACGATTGCAGATAATTGTGAACAGATTTTGATTGTTTGACTAAAAATGACAAGCAAAATTCCTAAACAAACATTTATCAGTAAAACAAAACTATTTAGACTATGTTTTTATTCATTTTATTTTTAGAACTTATTACTATTCTTAAAAAGTACTTGTAAGACAAAATCAAACTAGAGTTGAAAAACTTCAGATTGGAGTTAATCATATCTGTATAGATCCATCTCCTTGTTTCCAAACATCTTTAATAACTGTAACAATTAAGATTGAAGAATTGCAAAAAAAAAAAATACAAATCAAGAAAAATCAAATAAGAACTTTGTTGGTGATGACAATATCATGTTAAGATATGATTTGATGAGTAATATCTTTAGGCAAAGCTTTTTTGGTGCAGCAGCCCACACCGTGTGACCTGCTGCCAAGTCAGTAAAAATAACGGATTCAGATGCGCGCATAACGGGGTTACTATTCACTAGAGCTCTCAAAAGTTGACCCGACCCGAAATACCGACTCAAACCCCATTATTAACCGACCCATCTGAACCCGAAAAAATGGGGACCTAAACTCGGCTTGACCTGACCTGAAACCAACCCTAGACCCAAGTTGACCCGAGTATATGAGACTCGAACTCGAACATGAACTGACTTAGAGATGACCCGACCCGAATGTAACTCGTAAATTATTGACCTGAACCGAACCCGACTTGAACCGAAATTGACCCAAACCCGTTTTAACCGTCAAAACCCGAATTTAACCCGACTTGTTACTAACCTGACCTGAATTCAACCCTACCCGTTCCTAACCCGACCCGAATTTAACCCAACTTGTTACTAACCCGACCCGAAATCAACTCGACTTGTTATTTACCCGACCCGAATTTTAACAGACCTATTACTAACCCGACCCAAAAATTCAACCCGATTTGTTACTAACCCGACTCAAAATCAACACGACTTGTTATTAACCCAACCTAAATTGTTCCTGGCCCGATTTCAAATCACCTTAAATGCAATTTAGATCAACTTATTATTGTTGATCAAAGCATTTTGTCTAGGGAGACCAAGTCGGTCCAAGCAGCAAAAGAAAGGAGCATCATCCTCAAATTTAAGAGTTAAATATAATATATATATTTGTTGTATGGTCAAAGGAGATAATTATCTTCTTAAATTATAGACTATAGTTCCCTAGTATATTGCCATATATATATTATAGTCAAAGGAAATAATTAGCTTGATAAAAATGGTAATAATCTATTTATAGTAAGTTGAACCCGAATATGACCTGACATGGAAATGATCTGACCTACTTGTAACCTGCAAATTATTGACTTGAACATAACCCGACTTGAATCCGAGAATGACCCGACTTGGAAATGACCTAACCTGATTATAACCCGCAAATTATTGACTTGAACCGAACCCGAGTTGAACCCGAGAATGACCCGACTTGAAAATTACCCGACCTGATTATAACACGCAAATTATTGACTTGAAACGAACCCGACTCAAACCCGAGAATGAACCGACCTGATTCTAACCCGCAAATTATTGACTTAAACCGAACCCAACTCGAACTCGAGAATTACCTTAACCCGTTTTAATCCGTGAAAACTCGAATCAATCCTGACCAATTGTTAACACGACCGAAGGTAACCCGACCTGTTATTAACCCAACCTAAACCCGACCAAAACCCGATAAGAAGTATGACCCGACATGACCCGACACAAGCATGACCTAACCCAAACCTAACTCGCAGAGTTTATGGATTTAATCTGAATTGACCCAACCCGAGTTGACCCGACCCACTCTTACCGACCCAAACCCAACTCGTTTACCCGAATAGACAGCTCTACCCGAAACCTCCAAAATTTCTCAAAAAGCGTGGATATTAGTCTTCAATTTTGGAATTTTTTTGACTTTTTTACACCCGAAAATAAAAAATTACCGAAATGTTTACCATGGTCCCTAATATAATCCAGAAGTCCAATTGGCTGGGTGGAACCATCCAATTGGCCTTTAAACGACTAATTTATCGGTTTACAACTTGCACCAATTTCATTAACTTTAACTTACCACGAACATTTATGACAACACATAATGATCATATATGGATCCAAACAGCATTATATGAACCGAGATGTATCCCCTAAAATCTCAATGCTTTTCAACACCGGGCCCCGAACCATGCGAAATTTCTCAAAAAGCGTGGATATTAGCCTTCAATTTTGGAATTTTTTGACTTTTTTTCGCCCGGATATGAAAATTTTCGAGAGTCCAGTTGGGTGGGTGAAACCATCCAATTTGCCTTTAAACGACCAATTTACCGGTTTACAACTTACACCGATTTCATTAATTCAAGCCTACCAAAAACATTTATGACAACAAATAATGATCATATAAAAACGACATTATATGACCCCGAGATGTATTCCCTAGAATTTAAATACTTTTCGGCATTGGGCCCCAAAGACTCCAAAATTTCTCAAAAAGCGTGGATAATAGCCTTCAATTTTTGAATTTTTTAACTTTTTTCGCCCGAAAATAAAAATTGCCGAAATTTTTACCATGGTCTCTATTACCCTCCGGGAGTCCAATTAGGTGGGTGGAACCAACCAATTTGCCTTTAAACGGTCAATTTACCGGTTTATAACTTACAACGATTTCATTAAATCAAGGCTTCCATGAACATTCATGACAACATATATTGATCATTTATGGTTTCAAACGGCATTATATGACCCCGAGATGTATCCCCTAAAATCTAAAAGCTTTTCGACACCGGGCCCCAAAACCTCAAAAATTTCTCAAAACCTCCAAAATTTCAATTTTGGAATTTTTTTTACTTTTATTCGCCCGCAAATTAAATAAAAATTGTCAAAATATTTACCATGGTCCCTAATATCCTTCGGGAGTCCTATTAAGTGGATGGAACCATCATATTTGCCTTTAAACGACCAATTTACCGTTTTACAAATTGCACCGATTAAAGTAACTCAAGCCTACTACGAACATTTATCACAACATATAATGATCATATATGGTTTCAAACGACATTATATGACCCCGAGATGTATCCTCTTAAATCTCAAAACTTTTTCGACACCGGTCACAAAACATCCCAAATTTCACAAAAAAAAGCGTGGATTTCAATTTTTGGAATTTTTTGACTTTTTTCGCCCAAAAAAAAATTGCCGAAATGTTTACCATGGTCCCTAATATCCCCTGGGAGTCCAATTGGTTAGGTGGAACCAACCAATTTGAAGTTAAAAAGCCAATTTACCGGTTTACAACTTTCAACGATTTCATTAACTCAAGCCTACCACGAACAATGACAACATATAATAATGATCATTTATGGTTCTAAACGGAATTATATGACCCCGAGATATATCCCCTAGAATTTCAAAACTTTTCGACATCGGGATCCAAAACCTCTAAAATTTCTCAAAAAGTGTGGATATTAGCCTTCAATTTTGGATTTTTTTTTGCCCGAAAATAAAATTTGCCGAAATGATTGCCATGATCCCTAATATCCTCTGGGAGTCCAATTGGTTAGGTGGAACCATCCAATTTGCCTATAAACGACCAATTTACCGATTTACACCTTGCACTGATATCATTAATTCAAGCCTACCACAAACATTTATGACAACATATAATGATCATATATGGTTCCAAACGCCATTACATGAGCCTGATATCTATCCCCTAAAATCTCAAAACTTTTCGACACCGGGCCTCGAAACCTCCAAAATTTCTCAAAAAGCGTGGATATTAGCTTTCAATTTTGGAATTTTTTTGACTTTTTTCGCCCAGAAATAAAAATCGCCGAAATTTTTACCATGGTCTCTATTACCCTCTGGGAGTCCAATTGGGTGGGTGGAACCATCCAATTTGCCTTTAAACGTCCAATTTACCGGTTTACAACTTACACGGATTTCATTAAATGAACATTTATGACAACATATAATGATCATTTATGGTTCAATCGGCATTATATGACCCCGAGATCTATACCTAAAATCTAAAGGCTTTTCGATATCGGGCCTCGAAACCTCCAAAATTTCTCAAAAAGCGTGGATATTAGCCTTCAATTTTGGAATTTTTTTACTTTTTTTCGCCCGCAAATAAAAATTGTCAAAATGTTTACCATGGTCCCTAATACCCTCCGGGAGTACAATTGGGTTGGTGGAACCATCCAATTTGCCTTTAAACGGCCAATTTAATTACCGGTTTACAACTTGCACGGATTTCATTAACTCAAGCCTACTATGAACATTTATGACATCATATAATGATCATATATGGTTCCAAACGACATTATATGACCCTCGAGATGTATCTGTTAAAATATTAATACTTTTCTACACCGAGCCTCGAAACCTCCAAATTTCTCAAAAAGCGTGGATATTAGCCTTCAATTTTGAAATTTTTTGATTTTTTAACGCCCGGAAATAAAAATTGCCGAAATGTTTACCATGGTCCTTAATACCCTCCGGGAGTCCAATTGGATTGGTGAAACCATCCAATTTGCCTTTCAAAAACCAATTTACCGGTTTACAACTTGCACCGATTTCATTAATTTAAGCCTGCACGACCATTTATGATAACAAATAATGGTCATATATGGTTCCAAACGGCAATAAATGACCTCGAAATGTATCCCTTAGAATTTCAAGACTTTTCGACACCGGGCTCCAAATCCTCCAAAATTTCTCAATAAACGTGGATATTAGCCTTCAATTTTGAAATTTTTGACTTTTTCTTTCGCATGGAAATGAAAATTTCCGTAATGTTTACCATGGTCCCTAATACCGTCCAGGAGTCATATTGGGTGGATGGAACTATCCAAATTTCCTTTAAACGATCAATTTACCGGTTTACAACTTGCACCGATTTACAGATTTACAACGGCCAATTTAATCAATTTGCACCGAACCCAACTTGAACCGAAATTGACCCAAACCCGTTTTAACCTGTCAAAACCCAAATTTAACCCCTGACCAAACCACCAACACCCTACAAGTAAACCCTAACCAAACTAGTAACACCCTACAATTTTTGACGTAGAATGTTCGATCTAAGATTCCAAGAAGAAAACGAGCTCAAATTTCTTTGGTTCTCATCGATTTCACTACTTCAAATGTTGTTGATGATTTTAAGGATAATTAATTACAATTTTTCACAGCAATTTGACACCCAATTTCTACAATTTTGGCTTTAATTGCAGTAATTTGGCAAAGAGGAGAGAGAAAATGATGGAATAGAGATATGGTTGTTGGTGATATGTGGTTTTTTTTTTTTTTTGAAGAATGGTGATATGTGGTTTGACTTGAAGAAGAAGATAAGAAAAGAGGAGAGAGAAAATGGGTGGAGTAGATATGGTTGTTGGTGATGTGTGGTTTGGCTTAGAGAAGAAGATAAGAAAAGAGGAGAGAGAAAAGTTGTGGTATTTTAAATAATAATAATAATAATAATAATAATAATAATAATTGTGGCTGGCCGTACAACTATTTGTGATCTTTAGGATATTTGGTATCATCTTAATGAACTTATGAGGTGTTAGGATTGTTTCCTAATATATGAGATAGGTTATCTCTTGAATCAATTTAGACTCAACTTTAGAAAATTCATACAAGAATCATATAACTAATATATAAATATAAACTTTTAGCCAGGTCATGAGGTTGCGACACTTGGCGTTCTAACTTTTCGCCAAGTGTTACGCCACGTTGGATAGATTAAATAGACCTCATAAAATAAAAATAGTTAATTTATAATTCTATTTGGATAAAATTTTAGGATAAAATTAGTTTTATTTTCGATAAAATACCAAAATTTCAAATGTACAAATTCAATTATAATTTTATTAAAAAAATTATTAGATTATACTCCGTAATTCTTAAAAATTAATAAATTATTTTTTGTATCATAATATTTTTTGGGCAAAGGAAATAGTTCAAAGCGTAAAACATACATTTATAATATATACTAATCGGTTAAAATAATAATATACTTCACAATCTAACAAATCGTATAAAGATTAAAATTTTATTTTATAATTCAATAAACAACCCAAGCATTGCACGGGGCACAAAACTAGTATTAAAAGACAATTGTAAAAATAATGGTGTATTAAAAGACAAACAGTATTAAAAGACAAACAGTATTGTTGAATGTCAATTTCATAATTTAACTATAATCAATGCAATAATTTTTCAATAACTGGCCAATTAGCTCAGTTGGTTAGAGCGTGGTGCTAATAACGCCAAGGTCGCAGGTTCGACCCCTGCATGGGCCACATTTTAAGTTTTCTATTTTTAATTTTTATTTTGAGGAAACACAGTATGTAATTAGTCATAATATATTTTTTAAACTAACATCATGGCCCATTAGCTCAGCTGGTTAGAGCGTGGTGCTAATAACGCCAAGATGGGCCATCTTTTTTTTTGCAATGCTAAAAAGCAGTCAACTTCTCAGCCAAGCTGCTCATGACAAAGTTATATCAACTACTGCACACAGGCATTGCTTTAGCCACAGCGAGTCATTAGCTTTAGCCACAGCACTCTTTGTCATTTGTGTGATTTCTGAATATAGATGTTAAAAATACTGGAGTACTGGACTCTCTCTACTCTTGCCTTGCATTTTTCTTGTTCAAAGGTTTAAACACGGACTTCATTGCCTCATCAGCCTTCCTCAATCTACAAGGCTTCATTCAACTCACACAATGAGACTAGACGACTGGAGCTCAAATTGCTAGCATAAGCCACTCTAGATCCAAATCGTCCAATACAGGAGCAGAAACAACACTGGAGCAATCAGTAACATAAACTGTAAACCAGATCTTTTCAAGCTCATTTATAATTTCCTGTCAACTAATCGAAAGCTCTTTCAGAATTGTATGCTATCAAAAGAAAGCTGTTTTTCATACATCAAACATGATGCAAAGCTACACAAAGTTTCTCCAAAAGACAAACTAGCAAGAAATCCAAGCTGAAGAAACAACGAACATTAGAACTAAAGTTGATTTCACAATTTTGGTTACAGATTAGAATTTAGTTACTACACTAAGCCATACAAATCTACACATAGCAATTCCAAATCAAAAACCTAACTAAATCAACAACTTCACAACTACCATTTGATAGCATTTTAGTACAAAATGTAATCCCCAAACATACAACTCTAATTCTCAATTCTTCTTGATACTATACTATGCAATTCAAGCACCAAAAAAACGCTCTCCATTTCTCACCAGAGATTAGATTACAATCTAATGAGAATTAGCATCTAACAGGCGAGGCGCCTCCATCGTTGTTCCTGTCATCATCGTCGTCATCATCATCATTGTCAACAATGTGATCAGACATTCCTCTAACAAAAGTGTCAACAATGCTTTGGTGATACTCAAGCATCATCCGAGTTCGATTCATCTCAATCTCCATCCTCGCCTTCTCCGAGTCTCTCATCATCTCCATCTTGGTCATCTCAGTCCTAACATACCCTTCTCCCAACATTCGAATCGCCTCCACCATTGCCATCGCCACATTATCCCCTGCCTCTCGTCTCCCCTCTTTCTTCCCCAACGCACTCCTCTTCTTCTTGATCATCTTCATCACCCCCAATCCATTCCCAGACGAAGACCCACCCAAATACCTCGCTCCAAATTGATTAGGAGGCGACCCAAATTCATTACACCTAGACTGAATTGACGAATTAAATCCAAACCTAGGGTTAGGGTTAGGGTTAGAATTTTCCTGAAATCCTGCATAATTCTTCCTGGAATTGGAATTGGAATTCCCAGCAATTCGAATCTTCAACCCATTTCTCCCATAATTCTTCACCCCCTTCCCAAAAGACCCACCAACCCTATAATCCTCATCATTTACATCATCATCACCATTACCACCATCTTCATCATCTTCTTCATCATTACCACCATTGAATCCACCATTCCCAGAACCAGAAATACCCTTTTCCATGGAATCCATTTTAGAGAAGTAAATCCAAGAAGAAGAGAACCGATGATGAGGAATAGACTTAGCTCTTTGAAGCTCAGAACGATAACGTTTCCTGAGCTTCTCCATTTTATGACGACATTGAACAGAGGTTTTGGGGGGAGAAACATGGGGGCAAAGACGGTGAATAGTGTCGGCAACATCTTGCCAGTGAGCAGCACGGAGGTTACCACGGCGGAGAGAGTACCATTTATCACGGTAAGCGTCGATGAGAGCGGAGGTTTCATCTGGGGTCCAACACGGCGGAGGAAGGCGGCGGGAAGGAGGTGGGGGTGGTGGTGCGGGGAGGAGGAGAGGGATGCCTAGAGGAGGGTCGAGGTAGTCGGAGAAAGGAGGTGGTTGGTGCGGCGGAGAGGAGGAAGCCATGGAGGAGAGAGAAAGTGTAGAGGTGGAGAGAGAAAGAGGGGGGTGGGTTGTGGGTAGGGTTGATTATAAAGGGGAGGATCCGGATGAGGGTGGGGCGGGTTAAAAACGCCCGCCAAGGACGGAGGAAGGAGAGGTGGGGGTGGGTGTTGAGTTTCTGAGTTGAGGTGGTGGGGTCCACCTCATCTCACCCAACCCCTTGAGGAGATGTGTGTTTTACATGATATTTGGTTGGGTTGTGGTGTGAGTGTATGAGTGAGGATTAAGGATTTAAGGTTAAGGTTAAGCTTAAGCTTAAGTTATGGAGGAGAGAGAGTTTTGTTAAGAGGTTGTGTTTATGTTTGTTTGTATCATAAACTTTTGAATGGAATTGATAGATTTAAGGATCTTTTGTCATTGACTGAACTGAATATTTTATAAGAGAATGAAATTAGGAGCTGAATTAAATTGAACTGAGCTTATTAAAGCTGAATTGAACTGAAAATAATCTGATAATAACATAGCCTAAGGGCCTGTTCTCATTGACTTAACTCAGCTGAACTGAACTGAAATAAATACTTTATAAGAGAAGGAAATTAGGAGCTGAACTGAACTGAGCTAAACTGAACTGAACTGAATTTCGGTGTATGAGAACAGGCCCTAAGTACGGAATGAAGTTGTTTTGTTTGGGTTTTTTTTTTAAGTCTTATATCTTGGTTTTTTGAATGAGTTGAGATGAGCTAAATAGTCCTGTGACATATTTTTGGAATCCTCCTAATGTGTAAATTTAAAATATCGACATTTTATTAATTTAAGGCACTTAGTTGATACAATTGCTATAGATGTTTGTTATTGGTTTGACTAGTTGGTTATAGATAGCTGATTGAATAAAAGTATTAGGTATTTGATTTTTAAATGTTAACTATTTTAATGAATTTAATAGCCAAAAGAATAATGTTCAATAAACTAGTTTCAAAAAGCTCTTATAATGAGTTTTTGAGTCCAAAAAGCTCTTTAAAATAAGCTATTTACTAAACACCTAAAATAACTACGAGTATAAAAGAAACATCCAAAAACCTCAAATAGGACACAATAGGCTAAAAGCTCTTCAAAATCTCTTTACCATAAATTTATTAATGAATTAACAAACGTGATTAAAATTCTATTCATTTGGAATGGAGGAAGTACAAATTAAGTCTTGTAATGAAAACAACATCTTAATAAATAGTAAATGTCAACAAGACCATAAATCATTAAATCACAACTGTTCAAGAGGGAGATTAAAAATGTACTGATATTAACAATATCCACTAAAATTCAACACATTTTTCATCTTCTCTTGTGATTTTGTGAATAGCTGTGAATTGTAGTGTTCTCAATTTTTGTGGTGCTTTATCAACTCATTATGGTCGCTATGTTTACATGCTTGGCCTGTTTCGAAACAATCTAACCTGATTATGTTCAACATTATACATATCCAAGTATTATTGTACAGGATCACAGGCCTCGTGGCTTTGTTTAATCGTTACTTTTAGGAAGAATGTACATCAGAAGCCTCCATTGGGTCTTCATGCAAGTCCCAGCAGCCAAAAGAAACGAATTGAAAAACTAACAAGGCTCGATTTGGGATCCCAAATTGTCAAGAGTATCTCAATAATACTTCAAGAAACAATTTTGTGATTAACAAAAATCTAAAGAATGAGATGCAAGGTTACAGCCTCCTAAATGTTTCACTTGATTCAACTATATTTCTAGAGATGGCCTAGAGCTGATGTATCAGGGTGAGTTAACTCCAAAATCCTACGCATTTTGCTCAATGGCTGCCCCTGGCCCGTATATCAATCGGCAACGGTCAGTAAACGAACTGACCAATCGAGAGACAACCTCTCTAAAGAACATTGATGCCACCTATACAGAAGAAGACATCATCATTGTTACGAGGCAAGCAGTACGTATCCAACACAATCAAATATAAGTGTATCATTACTTAGCAAAATTGTAGTCTCCTATACTAACTAAATTGAAAGGATTTTAAAATTCAGCTTCTTGTTGGAGCTAAAGGGGTCCAAAACTAGTTATACATGCAGAATAAAAAATTAAATATTACCTGCCGGTAAAGCGGTGAACGGAACTTGAAATCGACCAAGAAGTAAACATTACAAGTGCCTGGAGTTGGACCTGGCCTGAATTCCCATATGTTGATTAAGTGTTCAAAAAGGTTGCTTTCAGATGCAGTGGTCTGGCATTACCATAAACAAAATTAGCAACATCAGCACATATCAAATTAAGGGGGTTAAAGACTCAAAGACACCATTTTACAATTACTTCCATCTGAATCCAAAAGATTCTAAACATAAAAAGGCATAGATCACTCATAAGGGATACAGAAAGATTTATAGATGAATGAATATATTGATAAATGATCACTCAAGCAGGAACAATGCTTTATTACCATGACAGAAATAACTCAGCAAGGGCTATTTATCTGTACTAATCCCCCTTGATAATTAAGGGCCAAATAAATTTTCTCCCTCCATAAATATTGCTCTTGAAGGTCTGACAAGCAATTTTATCCAAATTATGCGGTTGATCCCTTCTTCTAACAAAAATTAATTAGGTGGATTTACAGCTTCGGGGAAGGGAAAGAGGTGGGGTTCAGACAATAGTTGCGTAAGAAATTAATTATTAGTATATCTCTACAACCCTTCTCCCCATCTATACTCTCCTATAGATCCACAATATTTACTAACTCATGCCTCTGCATATTTGAAATTCTGATCCTTAATTCAAAAGGATTCAGCATCCTTACAGACTCAGCTATCACTAGCGAGGATACTAAAACACTGCTTTTGAATTATGAGAAAAGTCATGACAAAAATTCATACAAGTTAAAGCATTGAAGTGTTCCAAGGACCTAATCTTTGTGGCCTTTAAACTCAACTTTTTGTCATGCATCATCATATTGTCTCATCATAAATAATAAACTCAAATCAATTAGGATTCTATTGCACGCAGGAATAGGAGCGCAAATACAGATCCATAACTAAAAGTCTAAAATTGAGTGTTCTGTGTGCAGTATAATTGCATTTCTACCGTACATCCTCAATCGTATCAAAATCATACTAGAACAAAAATCTAAGAATATCATAAAGGATGACCATGTTCAGTCAGCTACTGTAAGAAAATTTGAACTAGGTGTAATGAAAAATGTACCTTAATGTATTTCGGCTTGTCCAAAACCACATGTGAAACATAGCTCTCAACTAAAAATTTGAAACCAATTTCTAATTCAGCATCAAATGATCCATCAGGGTGATGTCGAATAATTTCTGATCTTTGGCACCAAGGTAAGAAACCTTCATACATATCTACAGCTGCAACGACAGCAAACAGTTGCTCAGGGGAGTACCTGTTTATAAAGATAATCTTTGTTCATTTCATGCTTCATTCCACAAAACATCATAGATAATTAGCTATGCAAAGAAATGATGCAACTTAACTATGATGAGAAAGGCTTTATTATACAGTGATTTGCAAGAATTGCAACTAATCTTCAGTCAGCATTTTACCCTTATAGACAGGCCTTTAGCAAATAACCTTCTTCTGATTGCATTATTTTTTCATACAAAACAATCAGCAATGTATATCATGTTTGCATCACAACACACTAAATTATCATGTTTGCTCAAAACATACTAAATTTATTGCCAAGTACAAGTAACATCGCTACTCTATATTTTACTTCATGATTGTTCCTCAACTTAAATTTCTTCTTCTTCTCATCTAATATCATCATATACAACAGTACAACTCAACCCCATTATTCATCAAAGCTATTGCAACACAACAAAGATCCAACATATTTTACATAATCCAATACAATTAAACTTAACTCAATACATAAACTTAATTCCTGGGAAATAATGGTATCATTGCGATTATTAACCTAATGTATCATTTAATCTAAATTAAGTAAAATTATAAGCAATAATAAGTAAAGAAATGCTCACCCAAGAACAAGTTTTTCCTCATGAACCTTAGATAGAGTTCCTTCTTCACCATCTCCAACCCCTAAAAACCATCTTTTCTGCAAATTATGACTAGAATTTAACAATTCATTCGAATGACGAATCAAATCTCTAGAACAATACCGATCAACTCCAGCAATGCTGCTCAAACATCGAACTGAAACATAATTTCCAATCTCGCCGACATCAATTGTGCGATTCTGATGTCGAGTGAATGGTTTAATGTTGTTTTGTCGCAATATTCTGCTTTTTCCAACTGTTCTCAATACTGAGAAGAAATTCGGCATCTTGATAAAATCAACAAGAAATGGGGAAAAAATCTTGAGAATTAATCGATTTAGTAAGTTGGAAATGCAGAAATAAATCTTCAAATTGAACTGGGGATAATCAATGATTTGATATGATCAAATGTTTTATGAATTCAATTGATGGTAAAAGTTAGAGAGAAAATTTGTTGAAGATTGAGCAAACCCTAACGAGTTTGCTTGAAGCTGGGATGAATGCACACGTTTTTTCTTACGATTTTTCGTTTCTTTATTTATAAAAAATGAAATTATTTGAACCCAAAAAAATAGCAGTTGGTGACGTATAGGTAATCTTCTTAATTTTCACAATTCTCATGTGAATAAATTTCTATTTAGTGGAATTTTCTTTTTTCCATGTGTGTGGATCTTCCAATCAAAATAGTAGGATTTGTCCAATTTACTGAAAATAACTGAATTACACTGTAATAATTGGAGCTGAACTATAACGAATTGTTTACGAGATAGAAAGTAGAAACTGAATTGAAGTGAAATTAAGCTGAATAAGTAGAAGGAAAAAATTGCGAGATAAGCTTTATTAATGCATAAATATTTTATTGGAGACTTTACACGGTTTATTAGAGAAAGATTGAAATATAATCTTGATTATATTTTTCAAACAATGTATCATGATGATAAAGGAGTTAATTTTCAATTTGAACATAATTTAGTCATTGTCAATCTAAGGGCATGTTCTCATTGACTGAACTCAGCTGACCTGAACTGAACTGAACTGAACTGAACTGAACTGAATATTTTATAAGAGAAGGAAATTCGGAGCTGAATTGAACTGAACTGAACTGAGTTGAACTTAACTGAACTGAATTTCAACGTAAGAGAACAGACCCTAATTCTAAATTATGAGATAGAATATTATATAGTATGCTATTTTGAGAGAAAAAAAATGCTCATATATTAAATAATGCTCATATAGTATTTCACCAATTTATCACAAGTTAAAGAGACGAGGCATATAGACGTATAGTAAATGCACACGTGCATTGACACGCCAATTATGTAGCATTTCACATATTGGACACATATCAAATATTCAAATATCATTAGGTGTTGGTCATTCCTTGACATAGCTTAGAGTCTAAGACATGGACAAATGAAGTGACAAACTCCATTGCAAGAATAATTAGCATGCTATAGAATATACGTAGTACTTTGTAATAAAGTACAACTTATTTTTGAGATTTAAGATATTTGTAGTTAGTAGTTAGAAATACTTGCATAAGAAAATTGATGCTTTTGTTTGTAATGTTGATGAGTATCACTCATGGCCTCATGGGAGGTAGGAGGAGATACTTTGATACTAAACGTTTTGTATTGGCATATTTTATTGCCCTTGGACTTGGAAGATTGATGCTCTTGTTTGTGATTTAACAGAATGTGCTTTTCATTTTATAGTGAAAATAGTTTTATGCCGGCTCAAAAACTACTACAGAGTATTTTATTTTATTTTTTTGGGATAGCAAAAATATTTCATTAATTAAAAGTCATACGACATCTACAATAGAGATTCGACGTTAACAAATATATAAGATATTGAATCAAATAGAATTTTCCTTAATAAAAACTACGATCGTCGAGTAGATCTTGCATTGCGGAGCATCTCCCGCTTATATCGCTGAAAATTACAGCCTTGTTGGAGAGACAATCTAACGATCCTTTGTAGCCGTGAGGATGTTTTCCTTCTAATTCATCTGTTCGTATTCGAAAACTTAATAACTTTTTCACCAACGAAATAATTTTACGACAATCCATTAGATCTGCTACTATGGATTCAAAACTAAGAAATTTCTACCTCGTAAAGAGGAGATAAACCTTGTCTTTCGAAGGAGGTTGAAAAACCCTTGTCTTTCGAAGGAGATCGGAAACCCTTTCTTTCGAGGGAGAAAAGTTCCTCTCAAAAGGAGGAAGCATTATTATAAACCTAAAAAAACAATAAAGAAACAAGGATTAGGGTTTTCCACCGATTAAAATCGATGGAAGCCCCTTCAAAATTCAACAATGGAGGCTAGGGTTTTAGAGAGAGAAAGGAGGAGAGAGAGGGTAGTGTTATACAGAGTATTTACTACAGAGTATTTAGTTAAAGTAGGGTTTTTATTTTTTGAAAACATATAAGTACATGCTAAAATCATTAGATAGTAATTGGTTTGTTGAGTAAAACCATGCTTTTTAAAAAATGTGTAAGCTCATTAATGTACTTTTTGGACTATCCAACCTTTAACTTTTTCGACCTAGGTCAAATCATCAAACTAATGATGCTCAACACTAATCTTGGTGTATCATTAGTGTTGATCTTCTTGTTGATTTTTGTAGAATATTTCCCGTTTTATATATTGAGTATGCATTGTATAATTGAAGAGGCCAAATCATTTTGTACATGGATTCCAAATAAATGTATCAAAAATGGATTAAAAGAGCATATTTTCATAATGTAAACTTTTGACAAAACTATGTGCTCTAATCATCAATTTTGGTGCCACAATAACATTACAATGACCACATTGAGACAATATGAGTGTGTTTAATATGATCATACAGAGTCAAGTTCTTGAATAAATTAATTTACCCCTTTTACATCATGATTTGTGGTATACTAAGGGATATTTTTCTTTAAAAAAAAAGAAAAAAAAAAAAAAAAAAGAAAAGGGGGCTATTTAGTGATAAAACACCCTACAAATCTACAGTTAATTAACAAGGACCAAACATTTTTCTATGGAAATGGTAACCTAAACATCTTGTATTGTTGTATTGATGAACACTTGATCTTCTTCTGATGCATATATAAACTAGGTACAAGAGGATAATAACGCGTTAACATAAAGACTATATGATATATTGATATAGTAAAAATACAAAATATATAATATTTGGGTTTGAGGAAGTCCCATATATTGGTATTGGAAATTGTTTTTAACAATCCAAAGCTTGATTTTAGCACTTCTCCGTGTGAGAAGGAACAAATCATAGTCGAGCCAAAATTAACTTTTAGAAGGCTAAAAAATCACTTTCCTTTCATATTTTATGCCTCATTTCTAAACAAAGTTGTTTCCTCATCTCATGCCTTCTTCCCTTTTGCTTCATTGTACATCTCATTGATGGTATCCTGCAATTTCCATACAAAGCCATACATCAGAAAGGCGATGCCATACTCAAATTGAACTTGGTGACAGGTAGTAATATGATCAAACCAAAATTTATAGTCACGTTGATAATGTAACTCAATATAGTACAATGGCAGCTAAATTTGACTGAAAGGGTTCCTGTTTGCTTCAAATTCCCAACCAAAAGCATGACTACCAAAAAGTTCTGTCTTTTGAAGAAATCATCTTCTAAAATTACTTCCTTGCAATTTAGTACTTTTCCGCCTTTTCCAGGGATCATCAAGTCATGACATTACATTAATAAGGTGTGTAAAACATACCTTGTAGTATTTAAGCAGCTGGGGCCTTTTCAATTTGAAGGTTGGAGTCATCAAATCCCTCTCAACATCAAAAGGAATGGGCTCGAGGAAAACTGCTTTTAGCATCTCAAAACCTCGAAGCTGATCAAAATTACAATAATTGAGTAAGCAAAATCAAGGTGCTGCTAGTTAACTGCAGAAAGAATAATAAGGTTCAAGTACATACTTTGTGTTTCTGACCAGTGCTGTTGAGCTCTTCTAAGAAATATTTCCTAGCCTTGGTACTTTTGCAGAGTGTTTCGAAGTCCCCAGTCTCATTATTATTAGCTGCCCAGTTCTCGATTGCCTTTCTCTCAGGAACAACAACAGCCACAAGAAATGACTCGAAACTATTGCCATACACCCAAATCTGAGAAGACAACAGCATATCAACAACCATAATCAAAGCTACATGCACTATTTACGGGAAAACTTACAGATGTTATAAGGTTACACCGCGAGTATATGCTCTCAAGGTTCTCCACCGCTACATATTCACCTTGAGACAACTTAAAGATGTTTTTCTTCCTATCAATGACTTTCATGGATCCATCAGGCTGCCATTCGCCAATGTCACCTAAAGAAATTTAAAGATATAGCATTATACATTCCAGAGAACAAAAATACTAATCAGATCCTCAAAGTGTGGAAACAACACCATTCACACTAACAAAATTCCGCTTTTACACAAGGAATATACCTGTATGGAACCACCCATCTATAAGAACTTCTTGAGTTAAATCTTGCCTTTTGTGATAACCAGAAAACAATATATTTCCCCTCAAACAGATTTCACCACGCGGTGTGGTTGAAAGCGCATCATATTCCATCTCTGGAACAGACTCCAGTCTTGCATCTATGGCAGGCGAGGGGATTCCCACAGTGCCTATCATTGAATACACATTGGCTATTGATGTGAAGCATCCTCCACAGCTTTCAGTGAGACCTATCAATGGAATAAATGTTTTATAAATTGACAAAAGAGGAAAACAAAACACCGGAAGTACTAGGACAACAAATCTTGAAAGCAGGAATGAAATATATTGTCTAAGCTGCAGAGCTGAAAGTTTAGGGCTATAAAACTATGTCTTATGTTGTGGAGTTAACAGTTTAAAATCAGATCAAACAAAGTTGAATGAGCATTCTCACATGTACAAGGGAAAATAATTGTCTGAATCTGAGAATCATAATTTATTTTACCCCACATTTGAATATATATATGCAATTGTCCAAAGATCAGTTGAGATTTCATATTAACATCCACGATAGTTTAACCTAAAATACATCGCTTGAAAAGCTTCATGACTCACCATATCCTTGTACCACCACACAGCAACAAGTAACCCTCAAAAATTCTTCAACATGCCGTGGCAAAGGTGCTCCTCCAGAAATCATAATGCGGACTCTTCCTCCAAAGCTTTGTTTGATCTAGTCCAGGTCAGAGTAATGGAATCAAATCAAAACTACCCCTTACTATCAGGAACTCTAAAAGGACCGAAGGATAAATAATTGGTAATCAAGGAAATGGAAAATCAGAAGGTTTATTTGGACAGAATCCACCAACTTTATTGAAAACAAGCTTGTCCAAAAGAGGTGCGGCTTCATCTTGGCGCAATCCCTTCTCCAAATTCCGCAGTTTACTGTTAGACAATTACAGATCAGCTATATATACTGTTTGAGCAAATAGATTCAAGTTCACAGACCGAAAGAAAATCACAAGGGCCAAAATTTGAACATACTAGCTATAGGCATAGTCAAACAAGCTCTTCCTGAGAGCGCCACTGGATGAAACTTTATCCACAATACCTTCAGACAGAAAATAATTGAGTCATTTTCTAATAATAAGAAAATCATTAAGGATGGGGGGGGGGGGGCAGCTAGGGGGCTACATAAATGCATCAGTATCAGATATATACCATTGTATAAACGTTCAAAAACCCTGGGAACCCCGCAGAACATTGTTGGCTTCAATTCATGGAGATCCTCGATCAGATATCTCACATCCTGTAAGCGAAATGCAGAATAAAGGTGTTGATTGAAGTTCTGAAGGATCAGAAAAAGTGTAAAGAGCACTTTAAGTTGTGGCATATGAACTTACTCCCTGCCAGAAACCAATTGAAGTGCCTTTGGCAATGCAATATGTTTCTACTATCTGATCAAATATATGCGCCAAGGGAAGGAATGAGAAGTATACATCTTCTGTACTTGCCTGTAACAAAGAATTTTCCAGTTTAATTTTACTAGTTCAACAATGATGTGATTCAGAGAATAGAGAAATAATAAAGAACTGGAAGTTAATCTACTGCAAGAATGCCATGTAACTTCTAATGTCTTGCATATCATAGTGATTGTTCTTTGGAAAAATTGTGTCACAAATCCAATACTCAGTTTTATGTGAAAAGTGAACTAGGATAATCACTTTGAAATAGAAAGGGTATAAAGTAGCACAACTTTCATGCCACTAACATAATTTCAGCAGAGAAACTTGATATTTATTTGCTGAACAGCGAATAATGTGAACCTAATACAATTTATATCCAACTAATGGCATCAAGTAGCAAAAACAGCAAGGAAGTGCCTTTTACCGATTTATCTGTCTTCTCGAACAGGTAGTCTACTGAAAAGACCTCTGCTGTAAAAGCTGCATTATTTAAAATCACCCCCTTTGGCTCTCCCGTTGTGCCACTTGTGTACATTACAGTGCAGACATCAGTCTTTTGTTTCAAAGGAATTTCACAATCCATAGTTCCCTAGAACAACGAAAAACCTCAGAGATTAGCCCTCAAGCAGTGTTATCGAATAAGTATTCTGAGATAAGAGTTCTGCAGGCTATGTAAATTTAAATAGCTCTCATGATTCTGCAGGCTAGATCTTGGACTATAATTCATGAAACTTACCAATTGAGAGAATTCATCCCAAGAGAAACAAGACACTCCAGCTTCCTCAGCTTCTTTTCTTTGTGAGCTGGAGATGTTCTCAAAGCTGACAATGGCTGAGGGTCAAAATCGAATGTAACTCAGTAACTGAAAAGAAAACTAAGCAACCAAAATTTAAAAATGTGTTATAAAGATCTTCTCTGTTAACCTACTTTTTAAGTAGTTACACTTTGACAAGCATGCTAGTATCTGCAAAAGCATCAAAATAGCAACATCATTAATTCAGGATCAAAGATTGAACATCTTTAGTTATTTATCCAAGAGAATGTACATCAGCCATGACTCACGCAAAAAATAATTGTTAGAGTTGGCTGATTGAGTACGAGGCATAGAATCAGCTTATCTATGCTATAGTCATAAATCAATGAAACACAAAAATCTTATGATATATTTCCATATAATTTGTTAGACCAGCACATCAAACTTACAGTTTTCACATTAGACCTCTACCTTTTATAAGATTAGAACATTTGGTGCAACAACAAACAACTTACAGCAGGTATCTTTTTCTCTCGAACAAAAACTAAGGAGACTTCAGCATGGTTAATGATGAATTCCACTGCATTGGGGCCTGCATAACATATTACAGCATTATCAGTTAGTCATGAATGTTTGTTCTTGTAGGCTCGTGGCAAATGCCAACCTTACACAGATATTATTAGCTATAAAGGATAGATGTTAAGAATGTGAAGGTAGCGTACCAAGTGTGTCATACAATGGTACATAGGATATGGCTTGACCGTTACAAGCCTGAAAAATCAACATATCTATTCTCAGTCACTATCCCATATGTATAAACTCGGTACTTACAGCTTATACAAATTTACCTATTTGTGAAATGTGAATCATCATGTTATAAAAGAGTAAGCCTAAAAACTCATTATAATTATAATCTCTTATATGTTGAAGTATGTACACGGATATTGAGAGAATTAAACCTAATAACTTGTCAAATTTGATCAAAAAACTAGTTACTATTGTATCAACAAGTACAACATTGATCAACATTGCCAAACATCAAAAACTACTAAAGTACCAACAATCCAAATATCGCGAAAACATACCTGCATAGCGATGATCCACTTGGGACAGTTGGACCCATAAATTCCACATTGACCACCCTAAAATCAAAAATTTGAGCAGAAAAATTTTCATTATCAGTTTAATTGCAGGACATACTAATACAGTATGTAACATAACCTTTACAGCCAATAGGACACATAATTCAGCATTTCAGCTTTAATCCCACAAATTTGTATTGTACTCCCTCCGTCCAAATTCAGTTGTCATATTGCCGGTTCAAATTACACTATCAACGTGACTATTAATTTTGGACTGATCAATCAAACTCAATACATAATGAAATTAAAAATTGAACTTACAGGATTAACTCCACACTTCCTAATAGCAGACCCAATTTGAAGAGCTGAATCATACACCTCTTTATATGTAAGCCATTCATATGGACCCGCCTGTTAAAATTACAGGTACAATTAAATTACACATGAAAATTAATAATCACAAATTATAATTAAAGATTATAGTTTTAAGGAGCAAGAGAGAGAAAAAATAACCTTGCCATCAACGATTTTGCGAGAACCCAGCAAATGATTGGTGGGATATTTCTCCACAGATTTGCTGAAACCATTAAAACCCAGAAATTAACATTTTTTATGAACATAATGTATTGTTGAATGTCGATTTCACAATTTAAGTATAATTAATACATTAATTTTTCAAATAATTGGCCCATTAGCTCAGTTGGTTAGAGCGTGGTGCTAATAACGCCAAGGTCGCAGGTTCGACCCCTGCATGGGCCAATTTTTTTTTTGTCTTCAACACCCAATTTTTTAAGTATGTAATTATGATGAAATATATTTTACTATATAATGCTATTTTATAATGTTTGGACATTAATTTTATAAACCATAACAGTTTCTTTATTCTTGAAAAATTCGAAAATTTTTGTATAATAGCTTATCATGAAATTTCCATAGGGTTACAAATACTCATATTATACTCCGTAATTTATAAACCCTTATTCAAGTCATTTTACTACAACAAAGATTTATATATATGCTCCTCAATTATGGCAAATAGAATGAAAAAAATACAATTCAATCTATTTGATTGATAAAATAAGAACCGAAACCAAATTTTAAAATTATATCTAAATCAACCACTAGTCCACTACAGTACTATACAATTTTCATTCATATTGGTATATCAATTCCCATCAATAAATATTTCCCTTCATATTTAATTGTCACATCACGACTTTCACGAGTCACTGCCTCTACATAATCTAGAGTGATAAATTTTCCATCATATAAAAATTAGTTACTCGATACATACATTTAATTGACATTCCTTAGATCTATTTACTACGTAACTTCAATTCTACTACGTCCAATAGAAAATAAGCATATAGTAAAGTTGATGAAGAAATGAAATATACCTAAAGAGATCCCAAGGAGACTCAATTCCATCAGGTACACCAGTGAGAGCATCCACAGCATAAATGTTACGATACACCGCCCCGGTCGATGGCCTATCTCCTGTTGCTGCCCTTCCCTCCTCTACCTTCTCGGTGTATACCGCCATTTTAACAATTTTTTCCTCCTTTTTTTTAATAATTTACAAATTATCACAATGTTATAATTTTGATGAAAAATGAAATAATATAGACCTTAGAAAATTAAGATAAGAATAGTAGTGGGGAGTATGGAAGATTGAGAGTGAACAAGATTAAATTAGATGAATAAATTCAAAGAGAAAAATGGGAGGGAGGTAGTTGAGTTAAGTGATGGCAATTAATTTAGTAGCACAAAAATATGGTTGGTGTTAATGTTGTGCAACTTTGCCATTTACTAGTACAGTAGTACTGCCTCCTTATCATGTTATTATTTGGGATGTCCCATTAATGTTGCTGTATTTCTGAAGAAAAAAATGGGCCTTTGGTAATAAGAATTTTAGATGTACAAATTATTGTGGAAGAATGCATATAAAGTAGATATATATACTTCGTAAAAGATTTTTATTTTTAATTTTTTGATATAATTAGGAACTGTGGAGAATTTATTATAAAGGTTGAAAAGTAGGTCGACTTAATAAAGGGTTGATTAATTAGCTGGTTATTTTAATATGATTACTTTTTTTTTACGGGTTTAATATGATTACTTTAAATGTGTGTATGTACAATTTATATTGGTTTGTTGATTAGATATCAAACTAGTTTGAGGATCGGGCGATGTCCCGGGTCATTTTTTTGTTTATAAAAAACTATAGTAAATTATTTTAAGAAATAACTTTAATAAATTAAAGTGAAATTTATTGATGGTTTTATAATTTAAAAAAAAATCATTTTTTTAAAATTTTTTTATTGAATATTAACAAAATTCATTATCATATTAGTTTGTTTTATCTGTTAAATGAATGAGCAAAGGAAAGAATGAGGATTAAAAAATAGAATTTATGAACTTTAATTTTTTGTGAGGAAAATTTGATAATTAGTTTTAATATGACATGAATCACATGATCATACATCATTTATCAATTCATGACGACACGTGGCAAAAATGATGACACTTGGCATGATTACAATTCTTGCATTGGGTTTTAATATATATATATATATAGATGTATGATGCTTATGCATAATTATCATTGTAATGAATAGTTAACGTTGATTGGGCTCAATGTGATGGAAAATGGTTGAATTTTCATGTGCAAAGTATCACATCTATACTTTAATTGATCACTAGGCCCCTTGATTAAGTTATTGTATTTAGGGGAAATATACTGCAATAAGCAGATAAATTAATTTAGTTTATGGATTAGAGTTAACTCAGATACATGAATCAAGTAGTAATATAGTTGTAGTAATATATATAAAGTCCTAACCAAGAGGTCAGATTTTATCACATGGTTTGATGGTGGTTGTTTCCTTGTACATAAATAATCTGTTACCAACCTTTTGTTGGGAATTCGTTATTGGTAAACTGGGAGCACTATAAAAACCTTCAAAACTAAAGCACAAGGTGTTAACATCGGGATCATAAATTTTAGGGTCTGTTATCTTTCGTTGAAATTCAATTCATTTCAGTTCAATTCAGTTCAGTTCAGCTCTTAGTTTATGTCTAATGATATTGCTAATGATATAAAGCGAAATTTCATTCTTTTAAGCTCTTATTACAACGACAATAATAATAATAATAATAATAATAATAATATTAACAATAATAATAATAATAATCAATAAGTAATAAATAATAATAATATTAATAATAAAAATCATCAATAAATAATAATAATAACAATAATAATAATAATAATTTGGGGTTAGATACTAGTTAGATACATGTATTAATTAAAACATTAAAGAGAGTGGGTTAGGGTGTTGGACTGTTGGGTCGTTGCCTCTGTTAGCTTTTCGTGTTTTTTTTTTTAATATTTTTTTTGAAAATTTGTTTAAATGGGTTAGATACATGTAAGTGTTTTGTGATCTTTTGTCATAATACTGTTTTATTTTTAAATTAAATAGTATATGTGTTTAAAATGTTTAGAGGTTTCAAGTTTTTAATATATTTTCCATAAATTTTATAATTATATAGTATATTTTTCGTAAATATTTTAATATGTACATTTGTATATACACATATGTATAGTAATAAATAATAAAAAATCACTAATCCGTAGTTAAAAATCACTAATTAATAAGTTCATTTCAGTTCAGTTCAGTTCAGCTCAGTTCAGTTCAGTTCAGCTCAGTTCAGTCAATCAAAACAGGCCCTTACACTTAATAGGATTATAAAAATAGTATAAAGAAAATAACAAAGAAATACGATAAATAGCACACGAAAAATTTATCATGGAAAATCTCATATATGTCAAAGAGACTCAAAACCTATTTGCCCTATGACTTTGATTAGTGTATAGTCATGATAACTATGACAAGACACTCAAGAATCAAGATCTCTCTTTAATCTCACAATCATAAATCTAAACATTGTAGTCTTTTCCTCTCACAATTACACTAACTTAATTAGATTCGCAATAGCATGTACTTCGGACATGAATGCATGCATGTTTTGCCATCATATATATGAATTGGCGTAGGATAAGGTATTGAACTAAGAGAACAGGTTTTGAGTCTATATATTAAGAAGCTTTGTGTGTTGTGAGCTCATCGCATGGACATGCCATATCTTGCACATTTACATGCGTGTCATCGATGTCAAATCACTTATAATTAGGTCTCTTAATTAACTACTACTTCGTCGAAGAACCACTTGCACGAACGTGCTCCATGTTGCATAGATGTGCAACATCTTGCACGCACGACTCTTACGTACGACACTCCTTTTGCTTTATTTCGACACCTTTTCATCTCTTTGTAGCTCTGTTCCTTCTCCACAAGCCATACTCAGGCCTTGGAACTCCACATACCATTAGTTCTAACACTTTATAGACTCATTCACAAATCTCTACAACAAAATCAACTAACAGATTGATTGTGCTTTTCATGTTTTGAAGAAAATTCAATTTGAAAACTCAAACACATCTATTGTTTAGGTGATTGTATAGTGGACAAACATCTAAGTATTCGAAATAAAATTAATTACGATGTTAAGTGAAACTAAGAAACCTACAGTCCGCTCCATGACTCAACAATATTATTAATGTTTTTGCAATGTTGTAGCAAAACATAATTGGCTATATTTTTGTGTAGTTATCACAAGTTAAAGTTTATATGGGTGCAAATCAAAACAGTTCCTCATTTTTGACCCCTTTTTATTTCCATGGTTGGCTAGTCCAAAGTCGACCCATTTTTTAACTTGTTTGACACGTCCATTATAATTCTTTTCTATAGTACAGTACATGAATACAGGATTTTCTCCAAATAATGAATGGGTAGTCTCAAAGTCTAAAGGAGTAAAGGGTAATATCATACGGAGTAGTAAGAAGAGGATGGTCGTTGTCTCCTAATTAATTCTCAGCAGCTAGCCTCTTTGCTTTCACGCTTATATTGCCACCTACATTTTCGGTCTCAATTAAGTTATGTTACATTGTCTCCAAATACTTTAATTTTATAATTTGATCTAATTTAAATTTCACCAAAAATAATCTAAATCGCATTAATCATTTGATAGTAATCTAGGCTAGTCATTTACATTATCTTAATTTATGTTTGCCACATATGAATATACGTAGTATGATAATATTGGATTTGATTATAAATTTTTTGATAGTGAACCATTGAAATATGGAGTACCATGCAACAAAGGTGGATAAAGCATAGAGGTGCCATTTTAAGGACAAATATACTCCACACTACGCAATTTAAGATAATTATCATATTACAAGTTAGGGGTGAATTTGATCGTGTTTTATCTGCTCCGTGCCTCCGTATATTCATACATATGGACTATGGAGTACAATGTAAATATTTCTTGGAAGCAATAAAGTTTTTCCAAACTGAAGTAAAATAAGACAATATTACAGAGTATCAAATAATTTATCATAAATCTGTATACTCTAAAAATTCCTTGTGATTATTGATTCATGCATTCATTGTGATTATTGATTAACGCATATGATGAAGATGGGTAAAGAACATTCAACACCCCCCCCCCCCTCTCATCGAGGAACCTACCATATACGGAGTGGTACTTCCTGGCTCCCAAGTGTCCGCTCAGAGTCATAGGGACACATCGGAGGCACTTACGAGTAGAAGAGGGCCGGCTAGAGGCCTAGCACATCTCCTTAGTTCTCATCATAAGGTAGACCACCATACAATCTCACCCATTCCCCTCCCTTCTTATTTTCAACATCAGAAAGATACATTCAACACATTTAACACAAAATTTCCAACACCAAGTATCCAAAAGACCCACATTTTCCCAACTTCAAACCCCCAATTTCTAGTGTCATAAAAGTCAAATCCCACATTAAGAAGGCCAAAACAAAAGCAACAAAAGAATAGTCCAAAATCGGACCAATACCAATAAATCTCCCGCCAAGTATTACTAGTAATAAATCCATCGTAAACGCAACAAAGAAATTTAAAGCTTGAGAGTTGAGAGTTCCATAAATCAATTTCCTGCATTAAATGATATTACCCTATTTCCTAACCAAGATCAATCCCATCAATTTAAGTTTAACACTCCCTACTACACCTCCACACCTATCTCCTAACCTATACTATTAGACTACGAGTATTATCTTTACAAAAACCGAGATCAAACTCCGTTTACATCATTGCTTTAAAGCTCCGTTTACGCCTAAAAACCAACTTCAGAGACTAGTAGATAGATGGAGAGAGAATCCCCAAAAGTAATCTTAAACAAAAAGTCCCTTAATTAAGTTATATTATCTCTCTCCATCTTTCTAACACTCCCTTAATAATTTTCTCTTTCGTCAATTTCACCCATTTAATGCACTTGACAGTTGACAGTCTTGACACACCCTCCCATTAAATTTTCCAACTACATTTACACCACCCTCACCCCCACCACATTTACACCCCATCATCACCGTTCATTCATTCCACCTTAATCCAACGCTTCATCCACCTCCCACGTGTCATCATCTCCTACCGTCTGTTAAACCTCTCCGGTGAAATCAACGCTTCAGGATCACCCGACCTCATTCGACTCGACGAAAACATCGCCGCTCTTCCAAATAATGGCGACGCCATTGATTTCATTCTTCTAGAAGGTTCATCTGTGCTAGCGTATCGTAAGCTCGCTGAAGACTCTGATAACGGGAAGAACCCTCGTCGCCGGAAAAACGCCGGAGATTTCATCGTTCGCCGGAAAGAGAAGACTCTGGATTTTGCTAATGAGCTAAACGGCGTTGATGATGGTCGTTTTGTCCAGAAGAAGCTCCGCCGTTGACGAAGGTGATACGGCGTCGTTGCCGGCTCCATAACTAACCTTTCCGACGGAAAACTCCGTTCAAAACCAAACGAATACGATCGTTTGAGAAGAAAATCGAGTTCTCTTCTATTACAACGGTGATCTTCTGACTGAATTACCCTTCTTTCCGGCGAGAAAACCTCCTGAATTTCGCCGGAATTTTGCTCGACATCAACTTCCGGTAACGGCTCTAAAAACATGCTTTCGAGGAGAATTCCTTCGTCGAAGCTCGGACGGATTCTCGCCGCCATTACCGGCGACAACAACGGTGATTCCGGCGGCGGTGGAAGGTAAACTCCGGCACGACAAAGCGGACACGTGGCGTGCGATCGAAGCCACATGTCGATACAATCAACGTGGAAAGCGTGACAACAAAGAGGCAGAGTACGAATACATTCTCCCTCCTCAAAATCAAGCAAACAAACAGCACAATCATTGAATCCATCAACTTCGATAAACCCTAATTTCGTCGGAAACCTGTAAATTGTCAACGGAATATTCTTGATAACCGATTCATCGAGGCCGTAAGGTGAGTAAACATAGAATCCGTCGGAGGATTCGTAGGGCGGCGGCGGAGAGCCGATATCGGACGGCGGGAAGAGAATCCGGCGGCGGAGATGACGGCGGAATAAGCGGAGAAATGGCGGGAAGAGGTGGCGGGAAATAAGGCGGGAGTAAGTGATGAAGAGGAAGGCTGCTGCTGCAACGACCACCATGGCGATCAACGGTGGGCTGAAGTCGATAGGGAGTTTGGACGGTGGAGATTGGTGGACGACTATGGCGGAGAGAAAGGAGGTTGGAGGAAGTGTTGGGCCTGGTTGAGGTGGGTGTTGTTGTTCTGGTGGACTGGCAGCCATTTTTAGAGAGAGAAAGTAGGTAGGTAGGAGAGAGAGAGTGTGTGAGTGAGGTAGAAGAAAAAAAATGGGGTTAATATTTTTGATTTATTAAAATGATTTTGGAAATTTAGGATTGCATATCTTCATGACACCTCAGCTTTAGGAGGGGTGTATAAGAAATTTTAATATACATTCGGGTATACCGTGAGCTAGGTGCACTTAAGAATATGTAGTGACTATTGAGTGATCTAACAATTTCACTGTTACTCGAGATTTGGGTATACTGTATTTTTTTGTATTATTATGAGAGTATTCAAATATATTGTACGATTACAGTACGAGTTTGTGATATATGCACTCGGGTGTATCGTGTATATAAAAATGTATCGGGGTGATTAGAGGAATATTAAAAGTAAATGAGGGGAGTTTCCATCTAATGTGGGGGGAACCCCACTTAGCACTAATGCGGCATATGGATTGGTGAAAAGATTTGTTGACTAAGTTTGAAGGGAGATTGACCTAAAAACAGTTGAATGCTAAGGTGTGAAAATGACTTGAATCTTAGAGGGGGTTTTGTTTGTCAGTAGAGTTTGTTTTCCCATTGTTGGATATGGAAAGGTGAGCTTGTGGGGGACGCAACCTAAAGCATTTGTTATCAAAAAAGGGTAGTAATTGGGTACTCCATTATACCCAACTTTAGCTTGATCTAGTGAAAATTAAGTATGGATAGTAATATAGCTTTAGCATAATCATTATGCCCTGACCTTTAGTACAGTAAGGTCATGCAAAGTACTTGTATTTGGTAACTATTAAAGCACTGTAAGTTCAATTCAATTCAGCTCTAATCAGTTCAGTTCAGTTCAATTCAGCTCCAATCAGTTTAGTTCAGTTCAATTCAGCTCCAATCAGTTCAGTTCAGTTCAATTCAGCTCCAATCAGTTCAGTTCAGTTCAGTTAAGCTCTTAATTTCCCTCTCTCGTAAACTATTTATTTCAGCTCAATTCAACTCTAATCAGTTTAGTTCAGTTTATTTCAGCTCCAATCAGTTCAGTTTAGTTCAGCTCAGTTCAGTAAATATGAATAGGCCTTAACTTATAGTATTGATATAACTAATTGTATTAATTGAATTTGATAGCTAGTTATATTAGATGTTTTGAATGACTATTTGGTAATTTATTTTGAACACCAAATTAGTTTATTAGAGTGTACAAAATTGCTTTAACAACTCTAACAAAGAGTTGGGTAGATTTCATTTATAGACCTAGGCCCCTAGCCAAAGTAAATAATGATTTCATTTAATATATTTTAGTACATAGAATTACGATACCACGAGCATAATTCAACGAATAAATTGAATCATATGATCGTACAATACTACGAGTATAACACAACTAATATTACAATTCCAAGATCATAAACAAAACTATTTGATTGAAGGCCAAATCACAATCTTAATAGAATCACATCAAAATCGACAAGATCATGCGTACAAGATCATGTAGAATTGAAGCGGGATCATAAGAATTGTATGATCAAGCTATTTCCTAATAAAATGAGCTCAAAAGCCATTAAAACCTATTTCATAATGCAAAAAATAACAACCCATTTAAAACAATGAAGTTTTATAACTCTATAGTGTAGGATTTGAACTATGTAAGAGTGAAAAATACTTCAACATCTATTTTAAGTTAGAACTGTGAGGATTATGTTAGCAAAATTACATATAATTATCATTCCCATTAATTGAAAATAGTGTATTTAGTGATTTTAGTCCTTTGATAGCATATTAAACCCATTTTCAATTTTTATTATTTTTTTTTACAAAAATAATCATACAATCCAACAATTCGATTCAAACCCATTCATCGGTCCAAACTAGAAACTTGCCCATGTGTAACCTTAGCTGTTATCACTCATATATCTAACCAAATTGATTTTGTTAATATCTTAGGGCCTGAATTGAGCTGAACTGAATATTTTATGAGAGAAGAAAAGTAAGAATTGAATTGAAAATAAGTTGAAAAGAACAATCCCTTAAAGCATGATAAACCTAAAATCAAATCTCAAATATATCACACTCCTAATTATTTTTAAAAAAAGTTAATAAAAGGGTGGCTAGTAGTTTGTGGGCTAATTCTCCCCAAAAAAAAAAAAAAAAAAAAAGAGTTTGTGGGCTAAAAATAAGGCTGGTTACCAAAGCCCAAACCCAATTTCGAAGCATTATCTTATAGCCCAAGAAAGAAAACCGAATAACCTGATCAAGTAATCAGCTTTATATTCAACCAAAGGCTCATAATTTAGGGTTTATCGAAGGTTTTGGGGATAAATTAATAGATCTTGCAATCTAGAGAAAGAGAAGAACAAAATAAAGCAAAGATGTTCGGAGGAATGTTCCAGAAGAAACCAAGCAAGGAAGAAGCTCTGAAGCAGCTTCGCTCCCATGGATTGATGTTCGGAGCATGGGTTGTTGCTATTCGGGTCACTCCTTATGTTCTTCAGTATTTCCAGAAAGAGGAGATCACTTTGGATCTTTGATTCACCCCCACCAAAATTAAGGTATTATTCTTATAATTTTCATGTTATTGACGTTATTTGGTTCTTAATTTTATGTTAATTGGGTGTTTAATTGTGTTTTAGATGTTGGCAAAAAAAAATTAATTTTGCTCAATGTTGATTATTTTCGCATATAGTTAAGAAGAATTACAATTCGAACCTGGTAATTAAGTTTGTTGTGCACAAGATTGCAATTTTTACAATTTATGATTAGGGTTTATAATGAAATAGAGCGATTGTCCATGTTTAATTAGCATTAGCAATAGAAAGGGGAAGTTTATGGTGATACGATTTAATCCCAGAACTTCACAACTTGAGAACAATGAATTGAGATGAATTAAAGGGGTTCTTTTCAGTGAATTTGCGATTTTATTGTGTAAATTCTTCCAATTAAATGATTTGGGAGGTATTAGAGGGGTTCTTTCCCTTTGCGGTATTGACATTATCAAATTGTATTAATGTTATCAAATTTTCCCAATATATGAGTTGGAAGTATTAGAACAGGTATCTTTTCCTTGAAACTAACACGAGCTTCACGATTTGAGAACAATAAATTTTCAATGATATATAAGGATGATGTGTTGTTGGGTGTGACTTTTAATGTAGTTGAACCTGGGAATTGAAATTTAGTGCGACTCGATGCCATTAGTGTTAATGGGGGTGATGTTGAGTCATAGTTTGAGATAGGATTCGAAAACTAAAATAGAGTATGCTTGAAAAAAGTACAACTTATAGTGGAGAATAACATCCACGGTGAATCTTGTACGCATTAGCTTGTTTGATTGATGCAGTTTCTATGATGGTTGAAGGATTCTTGTACACATGAATTTATGATTGGTGCGTTACATAGAATGTGCTGGACAAGAGATGAATTGATTGTAATTAGGAATATCTTGAGTCTAATATAAAGTTAAGGGCCCAAGGCAGGGGCCCATATATGCATGATGTGCATGGGTGTTCATTCTATGTGTGTGTAGTGTGTGATTGTTTGTGGCTTTTCTTGTGATCTATATTACCTTTGCTCAATATCATATGACGCTACCATATTTTCCTGCTAAAAGATATTTGAAGCCTTTTTTTTCAGGATTTGTTTATATTCAATGTAATTTTTGAACTGATTTATTGCTTTTGTAACACATGAGACACATGGTTTCATGTAAAAGGTAACTCGTTTGCACAGTTTATGGCCTCTCTTTCAATGAGAGGGTTGTAATCTACTTTCCATGCCTCTCAGATTGCAAAAGTGGTCTTTTTCACAAAATCTATGCATTGAAGGTTGTTTTGGCCAGTTTTTGTTGTTTAGCTTTCATCAATTAAGCATGTAATATGAACTTTATAAGAATGACTTTTTTTGACTTTGTTTACTTCAAGGAATTCTTATACTAAGTAAAGTGCATGCCTGAGGTAGATCTAGTTGATTAGCTTATTAACCCTGATAAACTGAAGGTTCCAAATCATAAGTGCATTAGAAAGCTTAGCTTAGATTTCTGGTTCTTGTAGCTTTCCTTTGATCAGTGAAACTTAGTTTAATCAAAGAGGCTTCTTTCTATCCCGTCAAAAAAAAAAAAAAAAAAAAAAAAAAAAAAAAAAAAAAGAGGCTTCTTTCTACTCACGTAGCCACTAGTTTCATTGGGCTTAAGACTTTTGTGATCAGTTACTGAGATGGTGTAAATATATCCTGATTCTCTCATAGCACTCTTTTGACATAATATTCTGGAATAGGATCAAAATATAGTCTGAGAGGAACTAAACTACTAAAGGGCAGATGGCCAACCAGTTCTCTGTGATAAATGGCTAATTCACATTCTTGTAGCTTTCTGTCAAACTTGAGAAAAACTCTTGCGATATCTCTCACATATACACACAACTCTGGGAGGAAATAATTACTAGGCTGCTGGCCATTTTAGGTCTTTGTGATAAATGGTTGCTTCCCATCATGTCTCTGTCAAAATGGGGAGGTGCTTGGAAGATATATTTCACTTACAATGACACAAGTACACATGCAAGAGCCTTTGTGAACTTCCAAGTCATTAATTGTTATGTTATTTTGATATTTTTTTTAGTCAAATTTTCAGCAGCTTAATACTTCTTTTGGTTGTTTGCATTGCAGTGACACAAGAGAGAGATTGAAAATGAAGGGAGATATTATTTGTTTAGGTTGCCCAAGTTGTCGACAAAACTTAAGTATTTTGTAGTTGGACAGGATCTGTTCTTAATTTTTTTCACTAGTTATCCGTTAAAATAATTATTGTGCGCTAAATGTTTCTGGTGAATTGTTTCGTACAATTTTAGGCTTGACAAAGGTTTTTCTTTATTTTTTCATTGTGCTATAATGGGAGCTACTTGGCGAAGAATACTGTGTTTTTAACTCTACCTTCTTGCAGTGTTAATTTAGAAATTAAATTTGTATTAATCATGTATGTTGTGGCTAAATTAGCTGTAATACAGGCAAAAACAAAACCAAAGCCAATAATTTTTTTGGCAAAGTTGGTTGGCTTATACAATCCAAAGCAAGTACTAGCCGAAAGCAATTTTCACTATTTGACCTCGGAGTTTTGGTAGTAAAATGAACTGTCCTTTCAACCATATTCTTCTTTCTATTCTAGATATGCTCCTGTAAGTTAACAGGAGCAGTTGCTGAATGGTGGGCTTGAAAGCTTTATATTACAACTCTTACATCACTCTTGAATGTCTTGATTGACGATAAGGACAGAACAGAAGAACTAACATGACTGCTGGAGAAACTTGTACCACTAGACCAGCATCTAAGCAAGTTGATTTTGCTTCATGAATTCATTAAACAAGCCCCTTATAAGTAGCAACATTTCAAAAAAGCTTAACCTGCCACGCTTAAACAGACCACGTAATCAAATATTGCTCCGACCAAGCAGATTTGCCGTAGTAGCAACCTGCTAATATCTGTGAGGCAGTCCACAGAAGTTTCACGTTACTAAATTAGTTGTGACAAAGGACTAGTATGTAACCCAGTAAAAATCAACAACGATAATAAAACCATCAACCATATTTATGCACACAGATAAAAAGTTGATTAGAAGTTACAAAGCTATTAAACGCATTGATGGAGGAAGAAGCAAGTTTTTAAATTTTTTTAACATAATTTCACACCAAGATCAAATCTGCAGCAGGTATGAATACAAGTAATACACATTAATTGGAGAAAGACGTAATTATTTTTTCATTTATTAAAATTGATTTCTCACTAAGATAAAATTTGCAGCAGGTATGAACTCTAATTGGTGTGTCACACAAATGATCAGTTTTGGGCTCTAAAGGCCAAGAACACATTCCTGCAATCAAAAGTATAATAATAAAGCGCCGTGATAATATGTGATGGGGCAGAGTATAAACTTATGTAGGACAGATACTCTCAATGTTTTGATAACCAAGAACTATAAGAAAACGACGGTTGCTATACCTTGAAAAGATGACTGTGGGTGTGAGCATCTACAACACCAAAGGATCATCAAACAGATGTATATCAGCATCCTCCTGGAACCATGCACAGGAAATTCGAATCCTTTGCTTCTAAACGCCACTCAAATTGATACCCCTCTCACCAACAATAATCTTGTCACCAAAAGATAAGATTTTGGGATCCTTCTTCAAGAAACATGCTTCTAAGACTGTCATACTTTCATGATCCATTTCTTTGCCAAGCGATATGTCAACTATCTACACAGCATAAGCCTCGGATCCACTCAGTCTTATAGCTCAGATCCAGAGATCTTTGGTACTTCTCCGAGTATACCAGAGAGTAAGATTGGCTCGCCAAAGCTGAGTACATAGCAAACAACTACCCACATATTAGCAGCAACCTTCGAAATAGATTTAGAAAGTTTTTCCATGAACAGGGTGCAAGCTGCCAAAACTAAGAAATGAAGCAACCCTATCAAGGGAAAGCTTTGTTTGAATCAACTCTTAAATTTCATATAAGATTTACAAACATCATCCTTAAGGATACTAAGGTCCGAGAGGTTTTGTTATAACCTTTAGCGATGGCAGTTTTCAGTCCGACTAGTGTTTTAAGTCCTGATTCTTAACACAGTAAGCTTACATATCCATCATCTCTTTCCTCAGACTTTCTGCTTCATCTGCATTTCCTTGCTTCAAGTAGCCATCAATAAAAGCACCATATACATGTGACTTGGGTCTAAACCCCTTCCCTGCCATTTGTGCCTGAAGTTTCAAGGCTTCCTCTGTCTTTCCCTCATCACATAAACCCTTTATCAGTAACTCATAGCTTGACTCTCTCGCAACAAAATCAGCATTCTTCATAGCAACCTTGAAGAATTCCAAAGCTTCCGAAACTGACCTCTTACAACAAAGTACTCTAACCATTGAATCAACAGTTGAACTATCAGTCTTGAACCCCTTCCTACGCATATCATTATACAACAGCATAACAGAATCAGCATCTCCAGCCAAACAATACCCACCTATAAGATGTTCATAAGTAACACGAGTTCCCTCCACGCCTCGCAATCCCATCTCTCTATAAAGCTCCTCACCCTTCCCAACCTCACCCATTCTACAATACCCACCAATCAATGTATTATAACCAACAACATCAGGATTCAACCCCTTCACTCTCAACTCTTCCCACACCTTTTCAGCCTTCTCCAAACCACCTTCCTCACAATAACCCTCCATCAAAATGCTATAACTATAAGCATTCGGTTCGCAATTCGACTTAACCATCTCAATCCAAACCTCTTCCACCATATCAAGCAATCCATTTCGATGAAACGAAAGCATAAGATCATTAAAAACATGTACATTTGGAACTAATTTACCATTCTCACACCTAAATAGCTCCTTATACAAATCATATCCAAAGAAACAATCCCTAGTTTTCAAGGCACTCGAAATAAACTCATTACAAGTACCAACATTAACTATAATTCCACGATTATGTAACATCCTAACAATATCAATACATGGGTCTAATTTATTCATTTCTAAAAGGGAAACAATCAATGAATCAAACACAAAGGGGGCAGAATCACATACCCTGTAAGATTCAACCAAAGCCCTAAAAACCTTACACTTTTTCGCACAAAATTCTCCAGAATCTTCAACACCCATCAAATCAAACTCCCTAATTGCCGACTTAATAAGCGATTTAGCCCGGCCTTTTTGGCGACCGCGAGCTAAGATGTGAATAATGGTGGCATACGAATGGAGGGAGGAGAGAGAATGGCAGCGGCGCGTGGTGAAGAGGAAAAAGCGGAGGGCGAGATGGGGATTGTTGCGGATTTCGAGGAGGATTTTGGAGGTTTGAGATGGGGTGAACCCGTTGGGGAAGAGAGAGAGAGAAGAGTGGACCACCGGGATTTCCGGCGGTGGCGGGTTAGGATTGATACGGTGGTAGAGACGGCGGAGGTGTCGGGGGTTGGAGAGGAGGAAAAGATGGAGGAGAGTGAGACGGTGGTTGAAGAGGTGGCGCGTGGGGTAAATGCGCGCCGGAGGATTGCAGTTGACATTAGTGATGTTTTAGTGGGAAGTTTAAGAGTGAACAGAGGATTTACATTCTGGTTGGGGGAGTTTTGGACTTTTGGAATAACGGGTGTAAAAGAGCTGAGCCAGACTCGCAAACTACCCGAGCTCGGCTCGGAATTTTTACAAGCTGATAGCTTGATACACAGGCACACAGCTATGTAGGGGTGAAAGTAGTTTGGATAAAAACCGAAAACCGAACCAAACCGAACCGAATAAGCAATTCGGTTCGGTTTTGTTCGGTTTTCGGTTTGGATCGGTTTGAGAAAATGAAAACCGAATTATATCGGTTTGGATTCGGTTTTGGGATTTTAAAAACCGAAAACCGAACACCGAACCGAAATAAGCCCCATTTCTCAGCCCATTTTCCTACGTATATATACTCAAACCCTAAATTTATAAGCCCATTTCTCAGAATCTCTCAATCTCAGCCGTTTCCCTCACTAAAAGTAAAACCCTAGATTTTCCCTCATCTCTCCCTCTCACCACCTCACTCAGTCACTCCGTTCGTCCACCACCACCAATCCACCACCTCACTACTTCCTGCTTTCCTACTTACCACCTGTGGCTGTGTTCCGTTCGAGTGTTCCAACGCCGGCCGCCGCTGACCACCTGTTCGAGTGTTCCGGTATGGCGGTATGCTTTAATTTCAATATTTCATATTTCACTTCTCTTTCGTTTCTGATCTCTTTCCCTCACTAAAACCCTAGATTTTCCCTCATCTCTCCCTCTCACCACCTGTGTTCCGTTCGAGTGTTCCAACGCCGGCCGCCGCTGACCACCTGTTCGAGTGTTCCGGTATGCTTTAATTTCAATATTTCATATTTCACTTCTCTTTTCCTGCTCGAATTGCATGTTTTCTTTGTTATTTTGAATTTCAGATTTCACTTGCACTTCTCTTTTCCTGCTCGAATTGCATGTTTGTTATTTTTGAATTTCAGATTTCACTTGCACTTCTCTTTTCCTGCTCGAATTGCATGTTTTCTTTGTTATTTTCGAACTGGTGATAGATTGTTTTCTTTGAATAGTTATTATGCTCGAATTGTATTATGCTCGAATTGATGATATTCCTTCAGAGTTCAGAATATATGTTGTTCTATTATAGTATTATGCTCGAATTGCATGTTTTCTTTGTCATTTTCGAACTGGTGATAGATTGTTTTCTTTGAATAGTTATTATGCTCGAATTGTATTATGCTCGAATTGATGATATTCCTTCAGAGTTCAGAATATATGTTGTTCTATTATAGTATTATGCTCGAATTGCATGTTTTCTTTGTTATTTTCGAACTGGTGATAGATTGTTTTCTTTGAATAGTTATTATGCTCGAATTGTATTATGCTCGAAATTGTATTATGCTCGAATTGTATTATGCTCGAACTGGTGATAGATTGATTGTTTTTCATAGATTTGCATAAAAATTGTTGGTTATTGAGTGAGTTCTTTTTTCTGTTTTAAATCAGATTATCAGAATGTCCACAAATATGGATAATGTTGAAGGGAATGTCCCTATTGAGGAGCATGAATCTGACAATGAAAAATCCAAACCCAAGAGGAAGAGAATGAAGGATCGTTCCGAGGTTTGGGAGCACTTTATCAAGGAAGAAACACACACTGGAATGGAAGCACGTTGCAAGTACTGTGGTATGAGATACAAGTGTGGTACAAAGAGAAATGGCACTAGTCCATTGTGGGCTCATATAAATAGATGTCGTAAGTACCCCTATAATACTCCTAAAGAATCAAAACAAAGTTTGTTGTCTTTCAAAAGCAATAAAATTGAAAGTGGTTGTACTAGTGGATTGTCTTATGTGAAATATGATCCAACTGTAATTAGAAAAGCTTTATCTGAGATGGTTATAGTTGATGAATTGCCTTTTAAGTTTGTTGAGGGAGTAGGCTTTAAAAAATTTTGTAATGTAATGGAGCCTAGATTTCATGTCCCTTCCAGAATTACTGTGGCTAAAGATTGTTATGAAACTTTTTTAACTCAAAAAAGAAAGCTGAAATTGGTATTAAAAAATTGTAACTCAAGGGTTTCATTAACAACCGATACATGGACATCTATTCAGCAAATTAATTACATGTGCTTGACTGTTCACTTTGTTGATAATGACTGGAATTTGCAAAAACGTATTCTGAATTTTTGTCCTATATCAAGTCATAAGGGGGAGGAAATTGGGAAAGAAATTGAGAAATGTTTGCTTGATTGGGAACTTGAGAAAGTATTTTGCATAACTGTTGATAATGCTAGCTCAAATGATACCGCAATAGGATATATGAGAAGGAAAATAAATGGTTGGAAAGCTGGGGTTCTTAAGGGTCGGTTCCTTCATATGCGTTGTGTTGCTCATATTGTGAATTTGGTTGTGTCTGATGGCTTGAAAATTGTTAATGAGTCTATTACTCGTGTGAGACAAGCTGTAAGATTCATCAAACAATCCCCTTCTAGGTTGGTAAGGTTTAAAAAATGTGTTGTGGAAGAAAAAATCAACTCTAAAAAGTTGTTGTGCCTTGATGTGCCTACTAGGTGGAATTCCACCTTTTTAATGTTGGATGCTGCTTTGGTGTTTGAGTATGCTTTTGAGAGGTACTCTGAGGAGGACCCTCATTATGTGATTGAGTTAAATGAGAGGGAGGGGAAGGGCTGCCCTACTTCTGAGGATTGGGAAACAGTCAGAAGGTTTTCTGAATTTTTACAAGTCTTTTATGATCTTACGTTGCGTGTCTCTGGGTCTTTGCATGTGACTTCCAATTTATTTTTCCATGAATTGGTGAGTGTTGCTGTCCTTTTGAAAGATTTGATGACAAATGATGATGTGGAGATGTGTCTTATGGCTACTAAAATGAAGGAGAAATATGACAAATATTGGGGTGATCCGGAGAAAATAAACATGCTGATTTTTATTGCTGTTGTGCTTGATCCTCGTTATAAGTTAGATTATGTTGAGTGGATGTTAATTGAAATTTATGATTCTAAGCATGCATTTGTTTTGGTGAATAATTTGAAAGAGTCTTTGAATGCATTGTATGAGGAGTATCGTGGTTCTTCTGGTGATGTGATTAGGGAGGAAGTGTCCTCAAGTATGGACAGTTCCCAATTTTCTCCCAAACAAAAGAAGCTTCAGGTATTGAAAAGTAAGTATAAGAAACATAAGTGTGAGAAAGATGGAGAAGCAAAAATTGAGTTAGACAAATATTTAGAAGAGGAAACGGAGGAGGAATGTGAAAATTTTGATATTTTGGGGTGGTGGAAGTTTAATAGTGCTAGGTTTCCAACAATTGGAAGAATGGCCCGTGATATACTTGCTGTCTCTATCTCAACAGTAGCCTCTGAGAGTGCATTCAGCACTGGTGGTAGGGTTCTAGACCCATTTAGGAGCTCCTTAACTCCAAGGGTCGTTGAAGGACTTGTTTGTGCTCAAAATTGGCTACGTTCTTCTCCCTTTCCTAATATAGAAGAGTGTTTACAAGAAGTTGAAGATCTTGAAGAAGGTAACATAAAACAACAATTATCATGTTATTTTTTTTCATTATTTCATATATATTATGTAACTTGTTTATTTTTTTTTAATGTTATTAGACTTGAGGAATATGACAATTGGTGGTCAAAACCCGGACTTGGTTGAGCTTGATTGAGAGTTAGCTGCCAAGAATGAAGCTGCCCTATTGATTGAAGACTTGAAGTTTCTGCCAAGAGCCTAAGAATGAAGCTGCCCTGTTGGTTGAACTAGTTCATTTGTGGACTGTTTGTCTGTTTTATTATCAATTCATCATGTGGACTGTTTTGATAGTTTTAAGACTTGTTAAGTTCTTATGTCTCAATGTGGACAATGTGTAAGTGTATTTAATTACTATGGTCTATGGCAGTATGGCTGGACAATTTAGTTACTATGGCAGTATGGCATATGGTTGTGACTTGTGAAAGTTGTATGTTAAAATTTATGCTTTAATTTTGTTCAGGAACAGGTACAAAATTTAGGCCTTAAAAGGCCCAAAATTATATGCCCAATAAAAAGCCCAGATTTTAAGGCCTAATACAGCAGCCCATAAAAATTCGGTTTGGATTGGATTTAATTCTCAAAACCGAATTATTTCGGTTTGGATTGGATTTAATTCTCAAAACCGAATTATTTCGGTTTGGATTGGATTGGATTGAATCCAAATTCGGTTTGGATTCGGTTTCAAAAATCCGAAACCGAAATAATTCGGTTTGGATTCGGTTTGGGGTGTAATCCAAACCGAATACCGAACTTTCACCCCTACAGCTATGTTCGGCTCGAAAGCTTGCAAACAAGCTTAAAATATTTTTAATTAGTATGAGTATATTTTTTTTTAACATGGTAACCTTAAATATTACTGAGTAGTAGAATATTTAATAAGTCTAAGAAAAATAAATAACCTTACTTATAATACGGAGTATATCTTTAAAATAACATCATATTGTTATGATTTTCGAACCTAAGTCGAGTTTTATTATAACTTAGACTTAATAATTTAAGTTCGAGGTTCGGCTCGAACTCGAGCAATAGTGTAATGAGCCAAGCCTGAGTTACCCAAGCTCAGTCTCGGCTAGGCTCGTTAACACCCCTACTGTTACGTTGGGGGTTTGTTTTGATGTTTTTTTTATTTTTATTTTTTTTTTTAATTAAAAAAACCAACCTTTCTTCTACATCATAAAACTTCAAAAAGAAAAAAGAAAAAATAAAATTTGGGCGGAAATTTTTTTATGAGGCGCTAACACATGTACTCTGATCTAGGGATTATTTTTTTTTGGAAATTAATTTAGTATAATATATTGATAGATAGTTCTCGAGCAACGTTCGGTTTTTTGAAATTATTGATAAATAAATATAGAAGTTTTTAGAAATAAGGATGAAATGTTTCCTTTTCATTAGTGTATAACCTCATATATCCGTTCAAAAAAAAAAAAACACCCTCAAATATGATGTACTCCGTACATTATAATCTCAAATGAGTAAAAGATATATCTAAGGCCTGGTTTAGTTCACTTTATTTTTACTTATTTCTAAAAAAAAATAAGTTTAGATCAAATAAGAGAAAATAAGTTCAGACCAGAAAAAATAAATTCAGATCAGATCATCGTTTTATGTGCTGCTTTTATCGATAAGCAAATGTTTCATATATGGCATCAAATAGATTCATTAGATTTTCTCGACCTAACCTTGAATAATTAAGTTCTTGAATATCTATTATTGATCAATCTGCTTGAAAATGAATATTATTTATTTATTTATTTTTATAATCATAAGGAAAAAAATAGACGTTAGGAAACTCTCCTCACGAAACTTAGGGCCTGTTCATTTGAACTTAATTTCAATCCAATTCAGCTCTAATTAGTTCAGTTCAATTCAGCTTCAACAAATTAAATCCAGTTCAGTTCAGCTCCAATCAGTTCAGTTCAGTTCAGCTCCAACAAATTCAGTTCAGTTCAGCTCTAATCTGTTCAATTCAGTTCATTTCAGCTTCAATCAGTTCAGTTCACTTTAGTTCATCTCAGTTCAGTAAAGACAAACTTGCCCCCTTAAAATTGAATATATGTGGCATAATTTGAGCCATTATACGAAAATATGCTTCAAGAAAGTGAGCACAAGAATAGGATTATTACCTTCTACCTTAAGTATGGAGTGATTATTTTTAAAATCTTATATAAAGTTGGCATCAATTCTTTTTTGTAATATATACTCTGACCTACATTTCCTCCTCAATTATTTGGATAATTATTCAACTTTACTGCGAGACGTTGTGTCCTCCATTCTAAGCAAACCATGTAACATTATTAAAACTTTTTAAGAGAACTTATAATATACTATACAATAATACTTTATTCTTCAAATGTCATATCCTGTGATTCTTGTCTATTACTCCATATATTGTAATACATTTTCCAAAACCTAATTATGGGATCGGATGACTCCTAGTTTGTACTTGTAATAGTTCTCATGAGTCATGATCCATAACTTATGTAATTTAGTGTTGCGTACAAAAATAAATAATAAAATTGTAATTTAGTGAGCACAATGACATCTTGAAAAATATAATTTAGTGAGCACAACATCTTGAAAAATGCCTCATTTTAAAACTTTCGACAAATTAAAGTTTTCTTAGATAAGGTTGATTGCATGTTAAACAAACTTAATTTGTTCATTTGAATGTCTTTTTTTGACAATCAGTTGTTGACTTTTTGCTAACGAACTTACCTGGCCTTATTTGACCAACTAATTTAATAATGCATCAATTGTTAATTTTGGACATTTTAATAACATGGTAACAATTTTTTTTTTTTGACGATAATAACATGGTAACAATACATATACTAGTTGTGAAAAAAATATAAAAAATAATTAGTTTCTTTTTTTTTTTTTTTTTTTTTTTTTTTTTTTTTTTTTTGAAAACCAAGTAATTAGTTTCTTAATACTTAATTATTGATCAAATTATACATGATAAAGAATTTAAGATAAAATGTAATAAATAAAATATTTTTTATATGGATAGTGAATAATTGACTTTGGTACGTGCGATGGAATTAGGAGTAATTTGTAAAATTCGTACAAGAGATAAGAGCTTTTATAATTGAACTAAGCCCATTTCTTGCACTCTACTCCAACACCATGTAATTGGAATCTAGAGCTCAATGTCAAAAAGGGAAAAAAAAAAAAATGAAAATCACATCATAAATAAAGCAAAAAATTTCATATTCTTGTGTACTTTGAAAAAAAAAATCTTATTCTCTATGTCTCCTCTCTAATTCATTCTCTATCCATAGGAATTTTCATGTACATTCTTTAACCCACCCCACATAAATTTGACATTACCATAAAAATTCTTTAATTTTAGATACCTATTAGCTTCAATCTCAAGCTCAATAATTCTACCCAATTTTACAAGTCATCCCATTATTACTATTACTTCATAATAATATCTTAAATTACCTACTACTAGTATAAATATATTTGCTAACTTGTAAGATGTGTATATTTCTAGAGCTAATATAACAAATTAATCTTAACCTAAGGTATGAAATACAATGAGATTTCTCATTATAGTCACCCAAAACACAAGCTCAAACTTGAGTACACAGAAATTCCCTTTAAGTGTGATGGTTGTAAGGAAATAGGCATAGGATCTTGTTATAAGTGCAATATATGTGAATATGATCTTCATATGCATTGTGCTATTCCTACCCCGGTAATCTACCACCCCTTTTATCCTAAATGCTCCTTCATCTTCGTGTCGAGGCCACCAGGGAACGTGCCTCGATATTGCAATGCTTGTGAGAGAGGTATTTCGGGTTTTTCGTATCATTGTAAGTCTTGTGGTTTTGATCTTCATCCTTGTTGTGCCAAGCTTCCTACCGCGATAGATGATGGAGAGATCAACTTGTACCTCTATAGGAAGGTCAGTTTTATCATTCTTAACTCCTATTTCACAATAATAAGCTAAGAATCATGTTTATGTTAAAACCTTTAACTAGATTTCAAATTATTATGTTTGTACTGCTAATACATACTTTTTCTTTTTCTATTTTTCTTAAAGTGAATGTTTTCCTTCCCAATTGTCATGTCCTGGAAAAGAAGTAAAACACATATTTGAGGTAAGAGTTGTATGTATTGACACAGAGATTTATCTATAACAAAGTTACATATGCACAAATCGGTCCATTTAATTTGTACTATACTACTATGGTTTAGTTTTGCCAAATGGACAGTTATTGCGTGATACAACATATGCCGGTACCAGCTATATTAAAAGGACCTTGACCATATAAATATAAAATGAATAAAGTACAAAAATTGAAGGTTGTAGTTTGTAGACTTGTTTAATTTTTGAAGGCTAGTGTCATATTATACGGAGTTTTTTTTTTTTTTCTTTTTTTTTTTTTTTTTTTTTTTTTTTTTTTTTTTTGGTGTGTGCGCGTAAATATGTGTGTAGGCTCCATTTTATTTGAGTCCACTGATTAAACTAGGTGTGTTATGTGAACGTAGGTTAGTGCTTCATGTCAAAGGTGTGGGAAAAAAGGACGAAGTTGGAGCTACCGATCATCAGATAAAAAATACAATCTACACGTAGCTTGTGTCAAGGACATGCTGATTGAGAGCTGGCAAGACTTGTACAATGGGCGCGGCCTAGGTAGTACGATTGCTCGTGGTGGTGGGACGAGCATACGGGATGTTCCGGGCCTGAAAAGGGCCCTGCTACAAACGCATAGTCATAGGTATACTAACACTAAGAGTAAGGGATCAAAGGTACAAAAATGTTGTGAAATGGCTGGAATGACATTGCAGTTCGTTATCTCAGCTGTTCTTGGGGATCCCACTTCTCTTATTGCTGGGGTCATAGGCTCCATGATGTCTAGGTAACAATAGTACTAGCCATACTCCTTTGTCTTAGTACACTTAAATTTGTAACAAGTGTGACATTAACGAGTAAAATAAGTGATCGTCTGATTGACAAGATTGTACAGTTTGAACCTCCAAGAAAATAGATACACCATACACTTATAGATGCTTTTTAAGTGGTGATATCAGACCAAAAGCGCTTGTATAATAAATTCATTTCTCACTAATAATCAAACGACCAATAATTATATTAACTATTGTACCATGCCAAATATTAACTTGGACTCACATAGTCTTGTCTAAAATTAAATGATCTGTCTTATATATCCAATATAGGCATATAGTAGCTTTGTTGATAAAATAAGTGGTGCATAACTACATATATGTAGGTCATGGACAGCTATTAAACCCACTTTATAACATGATAAATTAATATGATAAAGATTCCCATGAAAATTAAGAATTGTCGTAACATTTTTAAAGATGTTTATTGATAAAATAAGTATGTAATGTTATGTGTTCAACAGACAATGCTAGGGTTGAATTGAAGTAATATGGTAATTACGAGGCAAATTATTCAATCTCCATATCTTATCCTCTAGTTAGGTTGCACGGGCCACATATTGACTTCTAGAGCACAATTTCCCAAATATATGATAAAAATTAAAAATTATTGGGAAAAAAGAATAAAACTCTATGAAAATAATGGATTGTAATCCGTATAGTATTGGATGATTTGTATGGTGGCCTCTATAAATATACATCGGTGTATTTACATTAGTGCATTCTTTATAAAATGTACGTGCACAAAGATATTGTTGCGCATTTTATAATTATTGCTCATTTTAAAATCTTAATGTTAACAAAAAATAACGATGCTAAATTATGTTTTAGGAGAATTTAGGGTCTGTTCACATTTACTGAACTGAACTGAGCTGAACTGAATTGAACTGAACTGAATATTTTATGAGAGAGGGAAATTAGGAGCTGAACTGAACTGATTGGAGCTGAACTGAACTGAACTGAACTGAAATGAATATTTTATGAGAGAGGGAAATTAGGAGCTGAACTGAACTGATTGGAGCTGAATTGAACTGAACTGAAATGAAATGAATATTTTATGAGAGAGGGAAATTAGGAGCTGAACTGAACTGATTGGAGCTGAACTGAACTGAACTTAACTGATTGGAGCTGAACTGAACTGAAATTAAGTAAATGTGAACATACCCTTAATTAGTATGTATAAATGGTTTTTATTCAGCGTGCTTGTAGATTATCCAATCTCCAACTAAGTCGAGATCACTTGAGCAATCTTGTCCACTTGAAAAACAAATGTGTAAAGCTATTAAATTTACTTTCTAATAAAGACGACATCAGTTAATGTATGAATTTTATTGGAAATCAAGTTTTCATTGATGAGAATACTATGAAGCAGTAAGTACCCCTTGTGAATCCAATAAGACTTGACTTGTATAAATGTTGGACTCTTATGTACCAAGTATATAGAAAATGTAACATTATTATTAGTTACATTACCTATTATATTAGGAAGTAATAATTTTAATTGATTTCTTAGCTATCTATCCTGTATTACCGACTTTGCACCATCTTAATCACTAATCACATACAATTTTGAATTTTCACTTGCACATAGCTGTGTCACTGTGTGGCAGCTCCCTGATCACAACTTTAACCTGATATATGTAACATCATTGGTGTATGATCAACGATGATACTTCATTTTCAGTTGCAATTACTTCCAGACAGTATTATACTTTGCATATAACAAGTTGACATAGATTGCTATCAACCACTCCCTTAATGTTGACATACTAATAATTGAAATGGAATCCATCTCAATTTACGAATATAGAACCAGTGTTTTTTGGATAATTAATCTCTCTGTGTTGTAACAATATTTTACGTAAGAGGTGTAAGGGTTAATCACGTCATTATTTTAAACTTAACCCTAAAACATAACGTGTGACCACCAGACCTTTGTCATTAGATTTAGACAACTTTATTGTCTATCGAGGTAAGACCATAATCATATTCCGTATTATATAACCAAATTAAAAATTTGAATTCTTAATTAGACATTAATCAATTGAATTATCCCTCATAGGCAAGATTCATAACATTGTATGCCTGAGTTGTTACTCGATACTGTATACAAATTCAATAATCAATTTATGAAAAAGTATTTCAACTAGACTTAGGGCCTGTTCTCATATGTTTATTTTCAGTTCAGTTCAGCTCCTAATTTCCTTCTCTTATAAAATCTTCATTTCAGTTCAGTTCAGCTGATTTCAGTCAATGAGAACAGACCCTTAATTTTAACCTCTGAATTTCAGTTCCATAAATTGGAAGACATGAAGTAAATATATAATACCCCATTTTGTCAGTAGTTGTCATGACATAAAGATGAAGATTTGAAATTTATACGGTATATACTAAATACATGGATAAGGTTTGAAATCTTGAAAAGGAATTTAAGGTGAAAAAGCTGTATATAGGGTGCTTAAACTCGACTGCAGAATTGTCGATATATTCAATTGCCAATTCGTTTAATCAAAACCTTTAACCTTGGCTGGTAGCCTGGCCTGGTAGTACAGTTGCATCACACCCAACTATATAACCATTGTTTCTAATTAGCAAGCTCTCTGGCTTCTATGCGTGAGGCCAAAGACGAATTTCACCAAGCTCATTTGAGGAGGTACTAATAGAACATATTCTTTGACAATTATAAGACTTTAGCCAATAAAAGTTGACTTAAGTGGTAAGCAGCTTGATGTCACTTAAGGGAGGTTTTGAGTTCAAGCTTCACCGACTGCAGAATACTCTTGTTGGGTTGGAAGACTCACCCATCAAAAGCCACGGTATGCAAGTCGGGTCAGATCCGAATGTAGTACGTCGAAGCTAAGCTTGGTGAACCGGGTGGGCCGGTGGGGCAAACTAAAAAAAAGAACCCTAGGCTTCACGTTAGATATGAAAGTACAACTTAAAATTCAATCTTCGACTAGTGTGTGTTTGATTTTAGTGTCATTAATTAATTACCAACCTACCCATTTGAAAAAAATATTCCTAACCAAACTTTTAATTTCCCCCCATTATAGTCCTTGTTTTAAATATAGGACTTGTTTGGTTGAATGGAGGAAGTAGAAATTCCCATAAAAACTCAATGCCCATGAAATTGTAATTCCTAGGAATTGTCAAAATTTGTTTGGTTGAATGTGGGAATTTCTACTTCCCATAGGAAGTTTAACTTACCTAGGGGGGGACTAGGTAAGTTAATTCCTCCATTTTGTGGGAAGTAAAAGTTCTTAGGAAGTCCTACTTCCTGCATAATTGTCAACCAAATAAGTATATAGAAATCTATTTCCTAGGAAAATAAACTTCCCATGAATTTATTAGGCAACCAAACAAGTTCATATACTTCGTAACAATTTAATTTTTTTTTATCATGTACAATCGTTCATAGCATAACAATTATTATATTATCCGGATCAATAACTAGTTGTACTTACATAATAATATGTCGCATCAAAAATAGTAGAAACTTCTTGGTGGTTTGATTTTTCACTCTAGAATTCACCAAGTATCGAATTTACCATGTCAATTGACATAGAAAATACTTCACACTAACATTACGGTCACTGCAAGCTGGCTATCAACCGAAAGCGCAATGTTGCATTTTCTTGCTACATCCTTTTGGTTGTTACATAAAAAGTTATATGTAAACCATATAATTTTCAACAATTTGTGATGTATGTAAGACTATTATTTTGGTATATATCAAGCCTTTTCAAATCATATAGTTTATGATAATTTATCTCCTTTTTATTGTCAATGCCCTTTCTAGGAAAATCATTTTCATTTGTCCTTACAATATAATGGTGGGGCTAACTAGGGCCTAAATCTTCCTCTATAAATCCCAATATATTTGTTTTCCTCTTTATTCATGCATAACATCTTAATCTCTTTTTTTTCTCTTCTTACCAAAAAAGATGGGCATTTGTAGCTCTCAAATGACCAAAAGAAATGGCAACTTTCTCTCTTTGAGACCTACGGTTATGATCATTCATCCAGATGGAAGCTTAGACGAGTTCAACGAGGCGATCACTGCGCATCGTGTACTCTCTCAACACACAAGTTGTTTTCTTGCAAGTTCGGAGTCAATGTATGTTGATTCAATTGCTCCTCAAATTTCATATGATGAAGAACTTGAGCTAGGTCAGATATACTTTCTTTTACCACTTTCTCAAGCTCATAAAGTCCTTTCTCTTGAGGACTTATGTGGGTTAGCTATTAAAGCTAGTATAGCACTTGGGTTCTCTAATATCAAAAGAAGTCACTCTAATGTTGCCAAAATTGTTGCTCAAGCTCGTAGCTCGTGTCGCGTCCTAAGTGGGCTTGATGCTATTGGTGCACTCTACCCACAGGCACGGCGAGGTAGCCGAAGAATTGGGATTTAAATTTTGTTTTGTATTCATTTTTAGTTTGATGAAACTCGAAAAAATGAAAAATGTAAAAAATTTTACGACCATTTTTTTAGAGTGATGGTCGTAATTTTAACTTGTAGTTGTACGCGATGTGACCAAAAGCAACGTGTGTATCTCTAGAGAGTTGCAATGTTGTGAATTGGTGTAAAAATGAACATGTAAAAATGGCCAATTTGGCCGACAATGAATCATTTAAAGGTTCATATATGTGTAACACTAAGTGGGCACATTATGGGCAGCACCAATTAATTGTTGTTATTGGTCTGATTTTATGCAAAAGGCCAAATTTGGGAAAAGAAAAGGTACGAATTGTAACAAGTAACAACCTTCTATATCTTCCATTTCTTTGCTTGTTCAACTTTTGGTTCAATTATTAGCACTATGAGCTGGTTTTTGTACATATAATTAAGTCCAAGGACAAGGATATGGTGTTAGTACATTTGTAATTATGGATTCATTCATGCTTTTAAAGATTTTGCATAACCAATTAGATTTCGGGCCCGATGCATTAACATTGTGCTCTTGCTCTTGTGATCATTAATATGGTGTGTTTTATGCTTGATCAAGTTTAAATCGGATTGTTTAATCGGACCCGTTCCTTCATCATTTTATCAGCTAAGAAAGGAGCCTAGAACAAGATAAGCCCGATAACTTGGTCTTATCCCAACCTATGGTTCTAAGTGGGTTACACTTTCTTTTGTAACATAGTAACTAGTGAGCACATTAGAATTTAATGTTAGAATAAATGTATTTGAAACTTGTCTACAATAAACGTTTTTTATTCACATGTACATACACCGGTAAGGCAATAATTTAAAATAATTTCGCCCCCCACCCCCTGCAAACACACGTGTGCCGGGGGGCAAGAACAGGGTGGCAAGACAATGACGGATTATAAGAAAAGGATCGGACTTCTCTAGTATTAACTATTAAAGGGTTAATGATAAGGGTACTTGTCCATCAAACTTGAATGCATGCATAAATTGAGATTCAAATAGCTGGATGTACCAAACATTTGTACTGTACAAGGGCCCTTAAAATCCAACAAACGAAGAAAAATTAAAATCTCAATAAAGTGATTTGCTTTCTTATTCTTTTTTTCTGTTTGTTATCTAATTCACTGAATCTACATTATTTGAACAGATATTCATTCTTTCATACATTTATTTGGACTAATGCTAGAAATCATCATACATTAATAACTAGTCTAATCTAACAAACTTTGTAACACATTTATTCAAGGCTATCTTACTAAAAAAAAAACATAATATTGTTGTTACATAAGATATTTTTGTCACTAAACAACTTGTGCTGAAGGTTTCATTTGTTGTTTAATAGCAGCAACTAGCTGATTATAAGCTTCTGTCCAAGCTTCCTTCATCTCTGATGACCACATTTCAGGAACTGCTTCTTTAATGGTTTCGAGTAGCGCGAATCTAACAACCTTTATGTGAAAACAAAGATCATATTGTTACAATGTTAATAATACTTGCAAATGACATATAATATGACATTACAATTTGTTTAATCTAATTAATTACCTCAAAATGCTCATCAACCACCCCATATTTGTAGTGCAACTCTCCTAAATCCTTCAAGTTGGAATCTTTCACTGTGGCCTTTCCTGCCTTCCTCAAATTAACAGCTGATTCACAAGTCTAAATTAAGAAGAAAAAAAACAAGATTAGATTTTTAAGTATTGACTTTTTTTCCTCTTTGGTTGACTTCATGACAAAGTTAAGAAATTTTGATGTATTTGAGGTAAAAAAAAATCTAGACACGAATGATAAAAAAGAACAAAAAGGAACGGAAGGAGTAATTACCATAGCGAAGACAGTTAAGGCATGGGCCTTAAGTTTTGGGTTCTTTTCCAAAGGAACATCATTAGAATCATTTAAGAATGAGAACAATTTCTTTGCAGTGGGTGCAATCTCAAAAACCCTGAATTTAAATCCATTCCCAAATTAGTAATTCTAAAATAGAGGAAGATTATAAATATACTAATTAATCAAATTTCTGGGATTTAATTAGATGATTATTTAACCTTAAGAAAAGTTTAAGGCCCAATTCAGAAGCATTCTTTTTCATGGCATTCCAAGATTTAACCACTAGAATTTCCTGCTCTTCACTGAATGCTTTTACAATTAATCCACCATTATTCCTCTTGCTTACACCTAATATAATTAATCACCCAATAAAGTGTTTATTAATTCAGATTATATAATATAATCAATATTAATTTAGAAAATAAATTGAAGGGAGAAGGATTTTACTAGTCATGAATCTGGAATCTTTGCAAAAAAGTCCCTGAAATTGAAAATTTTCCCTTTTGATCCATGACAACTCAGTGAATCCTCTGTTAAAACAGAGGAAATTGGAATTTTTCTGTGGAGAAAAATCACCATGAAATTTCACTGCATTGGAAATGCAAATACCTGCAAAAAAACCCACAACAATAATTAAAAAAATAAAAAAAAAAACATTAATCTTTTTTTGAAAAAAATAAAAACCCAAGTAAATTTGATAATATCTAAAAAATCAAAATGAAAGAATGTAGGAAAATGACATTACCTTTGGAGGCAGGGGGTTTGGTGCAGATAAAATCCATTGGAAAATATGAAGATGGGAATTAAAACTTGGTAAGAGATGTATAAAATATAAATACAACAAAAATTAGATCTTGGTTCTTTAAAACAAAAATAAGTAATCTCAGTACAATGTACTAAACTACTAATGTGACTATGTGAGCAATCTGAGCATGCAGTAGCCTTTCAAGGAAGTGTAGAGTCAACCTACTTTACCTGCTTAGGTAATTGCATGTGTCATGTTGCTAAGATGCTAAGAACTCTCAACTTTGTATATCTATATCTTGTTTTCCTGCCTCTGCTCTCAAATAATCTTCTTGTTAGGTTGTTAAGGTTTGAACATGTACGGTGTATAAGGAATTTAGTAGGGCGACAGAAGGATATAAGACAAAAAGAGTTGAGTGACAAATATTTTCATTAAAACTTTTTCATTTGTTTTAATATAGATACATAGTTTGATCGACACACCTGCTAACCTAATGTATATTTTATACTAATAATATAAAGGATTATTCTTTTCAATTTTTCCTAAATAATAAAACTTTGATATTTGAAACTATTAATCGAGAAGATTGTAACAATGACCCACACTTCAATAATATGTCGAACTCGCAAACATTGATTAAAACGGTGTATGTGAATTATGCAAAAGTTAATTGAAAGTTAAAGGTGTAATAAAGGAGTTCATAATAATAGATATTTTGGCTAGAATGGCACACGTACTTGAAATATTGGTAGACATTAGTAACAGAGTTGTAAAAGCTAGTTTCTTTAGAATTGATTACATTATCCTTTCAAAGAGTGTTAATGTGACTTCAATTCTTAATGGAAGTATATATCATGAAGTCTCATTTAATTTAGCCTTTGTTAATTATGTTCAAAGTTTTTAGTTTGCAGTTGACAAAAGACACATCAATTCCCTTTGAGGCTTTGATAGATGAGTGACGACCTCCCCTCCCCTTTATTTGACAACATTAAGGCCACAACGGGTGCAGTGGGCGGTGAGTCGGTGACAGAGGTTGGAGTATTTTCATGCTTATCAATGCACAATTTTAATAATTATATTAATGTATAGATTATCTTAGGTAAAAAAAAAAAAATTCCGTATAACAAAAATAATCAAAATAAATTCAATAAAATTGTATATGACTATACTTTTTCTTATACAGATATGAAAGTTACGTAATCGTTTTTAAAATCCAACCGATACATGTATATTTAATCGATTAAGTAGAACAAATTTAGTATCCAGCCGGAAGGAAAGGATAACTTTATCAGATGTGACAAAATTCAAATACGTCTTCCTAATTCAATTCGAGAAATGCATGAAAAGCAACTGTGTTCTAAATCAATTTGGCGGCTAACAGGACAGACTATAAATTTGTGGGTTAGCCATTTGGCATATTTCATGAGCTTTATTTGGCTTGTTAGGAGATGGCTACTATGATGTATTGGTACTTTGGAAGGTCTATAGAAAACAGATTTTTTTTTTTAATAATTTATAATAATAATTAAAAAATATGATACTGTATTAAAAATGATATAAAATTCCCCAATAGTAAAGCTTTAACATGGACATAAATTTCTTCATCTAATAATAATCTAATATGTTGAAAACTTGAAGTAGTCTTCACTAGCGTTCCTTCAATGATAATGATTGAATAAACGGAATTTGATAAGAATGGGGAAATATAACATCAAGATCAAGCAAGAATTTATTGAATGAAATGGTAAGGTGCACTTAATGATTGTAGACTTGTAGCAACGTATGTCTTCATGTCATATACATATTCGATCTAATGTTATATGATCCGATAAAGTTTAAGAGATTTACAACAAAAGAAATAATGATGATATTGGTTATTCGAATGTAAGACGGAATATATATTATACAACAATTGTACATTATTGATTATGGAGTATGAAACATTATATTGTGTATAAAAATGAACTTATATAGTGTCAAAAGCAAGTTTATTTTCCAAGTGAACTTAAGCTGTAGATGAAGGCTTCATTTCAGCCTTAATAGCAGCAACCAACTGATTAAAAGCTTCCGTCCAAGCATTCTTCATCTCCGGCGACCACATCTCTGGAACCGCCTCTTTTATTGTTTCCAGCAACGCGAATCTAGTCACCTATACAAGTAATCCACACATCTTCTAAGCTCAAAATGAACATAAACATACCAATCTAGGAGTTTTGAAAGAAAATGCATTATAACTTGAAAAGAGTTTCTAATGAATTACCTCAAAATGTTCATCTACAACTCCATATTTTAGGTGGACTGACCCCATATGCTTCAAGGTAGACTCACCAACAGTTACTTTCCCTGCTTTTCTAAGCTGAGCAGCTGATTTACACGTCTGAGAGATAGAGAAGCAGCGATAAACATGAGAAATTACAAAATATAAAGGTGACATATATGCCATTTTCATAGCAATCCGGCCACTAGGTGTACTAGAAAATTGGAACGGAGACAGTATCTATCATAACTATTTTTGGGAGTCAAAAATTTCATACGTACCATTACAAAAACAGACATAGCATGGGCTTTGAGCTTTGGGTTTTGCTCCAAGGGAACGTTCGAGTCCCTTACAAAAGAGAACATTTTCTTTGCTGTTGGTGCAATCTCAAATATCCTGCACGTAACCAATTTGATTACAATGTAAACAAACAAATTCGAGAAAAAAAAAAAAATACAAATAAAAGGAGGTAATCATGAAGCTAATCCAATTAGTTAATAGAGTTTGTTACCTCAAGAACAACTTGAGACCTAGTTCAGCAGAGTTCTTTTTCATGACATTCCATGATTTAACAACTAGGGCTTCTTGTTCTTCAGTAAACAAAACTGTTACATACCAACAAAAACACATTACGAAAAAAAAAAGAATGAAACATAATAAGCATACGATATATATCATGGTAAATGACATGTTATATTCTATGAAAAATATGGTGAAAGACATAAAAATGTGCCATTTGAGGCAGGACACGTAACGTTTTCGAGACTCATGCTGGTTTGAACAAAATCTGAATTATTTTGGCCTTGGTAAGATAAAAGGTAGTAGTATAAATTTATGTAAATGAAATTCAAATTGTTTAAATAGGAGATTTGATGACCTTTCAATGCTAGGAAGAGTCAATCAAATACAAAGTTTAAATTGTTTTACAAGAATTGTATTTCAATCTAAGATGAAAACTATGGGTTATTGTGTTTGAAAAACCAGGGGCCTTAAATGGGAAAACATATATATATGCTGGTGCATTTGTTCAAATTTGAGTATTTCAACTTGATAAAATTCATTGTACTTCATAATAAAATGGTCAATTGGCTGCTTTCTTCTCCATTAAAAATTATAGGAAACTCCAAGTGGTCAATCATTTATTCTTAATCTATTTCTGGTGTTACCAAATTGATTGGTGTTTCTATAATTAGTAAGTTTAATATGAAATTTCATTCCTTGCTTATGGAAATTGGTATGAAATTTGTTATTCATACAAAATTAGTAAGTTAAGAGTATGATTTTATTTGCCTTGAATTAGTAGAGTTAACAATTTGGCATTGTAGATCCCACAATGAGAGAGACAAATTCATATAAAATGGCATTATAGTCAAAGGATTTACTTTGATAGGATGTCCAACTTCTAAGAGTATTGCTTTTAATAATAAATCTTTTTTTATCTTTTTGATGAGAGTATTGCTATTAATTTACTTTCAATAAGATCTATGAGTATTTTTTTTTGGATACTTAAGTGTGAGAGGAAGTGTTAAACACTATATTTTACATAAGTAAAGAAAATTCAAGTTTTTTTTTTTTTTTTTTTTGGTAAATAAAGAAAATTCAAGTTAATATTCCAGATTATACTCCGTATAAGTTTAAGGTGTTGTTCCAAATATTTATCACCAGTTAATTTGGATGAAGTTTCCTTTAAACTTAACATAAAAAAATAAACAATTGGTTGTTGGTGTAGTGGTGATTGAGACTACACTTGGTAGGGAGAACTCGTGTTCGATCCCCCGCAACAATAATCGGAAGGGAACTGGAACCTAACCACCCAGAACTGATCTCCGAATCCGGATTAGCCCAAAGGATGAAACGGGTGGAACACCAAAAAAACATCAAAAAAAAAAAAAAAAGAAGTAACCTTAAACTTTTAGGTGGTTCAAATTTCTGTTACACTCTGTATTTGATAGCCTAGATTCATTTGAATTTCTATAAAATTTCTACAAATTTACAATACCAACAAGCATAAAGTTTATGTTTACTACAAATCAAAATCCACATTAACTCCACTGCCTTTACCTTCTTTAAATTAAGTCGATGTCTAACATAATTCGCAAAACATCTAATCACACTACTTTTATCAAACCTACTTAAACCATAGTCATGAAGCTCCAATTAATAAGAGCGGAATCCACATAATCATAGTCAAATCGATCATATGAATAGCTAATATTATTGTAGGTCATTATATCTAATAGTATTGATATTGATGTACTCGTTAAGCCCGGTTCTTTTGAGCTGCTAATTGCTATGCTCTGCATTGTTGAAATTTGCTCTGCTCTACTGACACTTGTTATGCACTATTGAAATCTGCTCTGCTCTAATTGTCCAGAAGCTCAAAGGAACAGGGCTGAAATCTGCTTTGTTTTGCTGAAAATATGCTCTGTTTTACAGACACGTGCTTTGCTCTGATGAATCTACTATGGTTTGCTCTGCTGACTCAATTTGATCTGCTCTCGAGCAGAGCATCTTATTTATACTTACTACTTAGTAGAATATTTAACAGAATAAACCAGAACACAACAGCTTAAAAAATACAAAGTTTCATATGTGGCTGGCCACACGGTGTGGCCAGCCACAATTTTTTTTTAAAAAAAGAAAAAAAATTCTTTCTCTCTCCTTCTTAAAAAAATTCTTTCTCTCTCCTCTTTTCTTCTTCTTCAAGCCAGAACATTCATCTCATTTTCTTAGAGAACGTAACACAAATTTCGCAATCGTCATCAATAGTCGTCTTCATGGTTCGTTCGTCGGAAGTAGTGGTTTCACTGGGAGGGTAGTGGTGGTTTGGTGACTCCGTCGTCGGAAAACAAGTTCAAAGTTTTTAAGGCCAAATTCGGCCATGAAAACTCTAGATCTAGAGTTTTCATGGTCGAATTTGGCCTTTTTAGCCATATTTGAAGTGATATTCGAAACCATTGTTAACATTTTAAGGCATTTGTTTGATTTGATTTTTTTTAAAAATGGTTTGGTTGGATTGGGGTTTGTTTGTGGGTTAGGGGCTAGTGGCAAGGCGTTTAGGTTGGTAGTGGTTCGTTGGTGGTGGGTAAGGGGTTACTAGATCCGGGGTTACTAGGTGGTCTGGTTAGGGGTTACTAGGTCATCGGTCAGGGGTTACTAGGTCGTCGGTCAGGGGTTACTTAGGGTTACTAGGTCGTCGGTCAGGGGTTACTTGGGGTTACTAGGTCGGTCGGGGGTTACTTCGGGTTACTAGGTCGGCGGCCAGGGGTTACTTGGGGTTGCTAAGCTAGGTCGGGGGTTACTAGGTCGGTTAGGGGTTACTTGGGGTTACTAGGTCGGGGGTTACTAGGTCGGTTAGGGGTTACTAGGTCGGGGGTTACCAGGTCGGTTAGGGGTTACTAGGTCAGTCAGGGTTACTTGGTCAAGGGTTACTAAGTCAGTCAGGGGTTACTTTTGTCTTGGGGTTTACTTTGTCTGGGGGTTACTTTTGTCATTTGTTGAATTGACAACTTGCCGCATGGTGCGGCCAGCCGCACCAGAAACCCACTACTTAGAAAAATAGGGCCTATATATTTGATTTACTTTTTTTTTTTTCTTTTTTGATACATTAGGAATTTCCCTACGTATGACTTTCTAATATTTATTTTTCTCACCTTTAAAAATAAAAATAAAAGTTATAGACTTTCTAGTTTCTAAGGAAAGAATTTAAAAAATAAAATAAAAATGTAAGCCTCATTGGCTAAAGGAAAAGCCTAAAACCCAGAACCCAACTGGGCTAAAACTCAAAACCCAACGCCATCTCCTCTTCTTCTCGCCATTTTTGCTCAGAAGATTTGCTCTGATTCTTGGGTGCTGTCTATTCTCGATGGAGTGCTGACATTGTTGGGTAAGTTATTTGTAACTCTTCACACTGTTGAATTTCTTTTAGATTCAATATCATTATTTTTTAAGATTCTTGTAACTCAATTGGATTGATATCCATCATTTGATGTTTTACTTAAATTTGTTATATTCAGAACTAATTTGCGGAATGTGAAATTCAAGATTTGATTTTTCTGGAGAAATGGGTTTAAAACCCAATTTACAGTAATTAATTTCTCAGAAATAAATGTCTAGTTATTCAGATCAATGTTAGTGAGTTTCCCATCAATTTAATTGGGAAACTTTGAGTGATTAACTTAAGTTAGAAAAAACCCAGATTATCAATAGTTTACTGATTTAGTTACTCTTTATTTCCTTTGACAAGGTGAACCCTTTAATTTTGCTGCTTTACTGGACATATTTGGGGAGAAGTTTGATAGGGTTTAAGGAAAGGTGTGAAAATGAGAGGAAGAATTGGGTTGTTTATGAACCCTAGTGGATTAGGAAGTACAACAATTGGGCGGACAAGTAAACTTGTTTCTTGTTCTGCCTTTTCCTCCTCTGCTGGGGATGGCTCAGGAGGAGGTAGAGGCCGAGGCCGGGTGTCTCCGGTTCGCCTCTTTATAATTTTGTGGCTGGTATAGCTGACTCGAATGAGTGATCGGAGGATTCCGATAAATCATTACCTCCTGCAGGACGTGGGCATGGAAGTGGAATACCCCTACCTTCCTCCCCATTTCTTCATTCATATAATTCCTTTGTTGCATCAAACCCACCACCACGGCAACCAGGATTAAGTCAGGGTAGAGGCGGTCCAGTTCAACAGTCTTTTGAGGGAGGAATTGAACTGGGATCACAACATAAAGCACCTGTATTTCTTAAGAAAGATGAATTTACGGGCACTAGAGCTGAAGCTGAATCAGTTGAGTCTGTACCTCGCCAGCCTATTGGAGAAAAGAATCTTCCTGAAAATATTTTGAATGTATTGTCAGGAACAGGGAGGGGAATCCCTGATAGAAAACCGGTATTTGAAAATAGGGTTAAAGAAGAGAATAGGCATATTAGGCCAAAGCAAGTTGGTGCTCCTGTCATTGGAGCTGGAAGAGGGGGAGATAGAGCTGAGAAAAGTGAGAAGGGCTCTGCAGGTGCAAAGACTAAAATAAGCAGAGAGGAGGCTATAAAGAAGGCAGTTGGCATCTTGTCTAGGGGTGATGATAGAAGGGAAGATGGAGGTGCTGAGAGAGGAGGTGGTCGTAGGCGAAGGGGTGGTAGATCGAAAGACGACTCTGATGATGAAGTGGAGGATGAAGACGAAGGAGACAAACTTGTCATGGGTGATGATGCAGATGGTGAAAAGTTAGCCATGGAGCTTGGGCCCAGCATGATGGCTGGACTGACTGAGGCGTTTGAAGAAATGGCTACTGATGTCTTGCCTGATCCAGAGGAGGATGAGTATCTCGAGGCATATGATACAAATCTTAAGGTAGTATCTGTTCTTCAATCTTTTCTCTTGTACTTGTTGTATGAGCTATTTCATGTGGTGATTTCACTTTTGGGTTGTAGATTGAATTGGAGCCTGAATATTTGATGGGAGATTTTGAGACAAATCCTGATATTTACGAGAATCCCCCTGTTCCTCTTCGTGAAGCTCTTGAGAAGATGAAGCCATTCTTGATGGCTTATGAGGGAATAGAGAATCAAGAGGAGTGGGAGGTAAGCATTGTCCTGCTATGTTGCATTTTCTGCTAATTAGCTTGTTTTTCTACTTTGCTTTAACATGAATTTATCGAAACTGTTTGTTAAAAATGGTTTCGCAATTTGTTTCTTGTATCTTTGAATTCTTATTCATTCTCTTGTATTGTAATCAGTGCTAATTCCTCTCCATTTCCCTTCCAACGTTATTTGACCTTTCACATCATTCCACCTTAATTAAGAAGACTGATAATTTGGTTTAAAGAGCTATTAAGTTTAGGATTAAAACACACACATGTATACATGTACACATATAATAATATAGGGATCAGATCACGTGTGTATGTGTTTGTGCCTTGGTAGTTACGTGCTTCTGTGTTGATGAAATTGTAGCTAGTTTGTCCTTTTAAGGGTGAAAAGCTGTTTATTTGGCTTCAATGGAACTTGAGTGTGAGCACACGCAATGACAGACAACGAATGAGTAGGTTTATGTGTTTGTGAAGAAATAATATTGGTTTCTCAGTTATTACCTTACTGCTGACATTTTTCAGTAAGTTATAGAGATGCATAGCTCTTTTGGGACGCTTGTTCATATGGCTTATAGTTTACATGATTTATCATTTGTCTAAGACAACATTCATTCTAATAATTATGTGGCATTTGCTAGGAAATTCTAAATGAGACAATGGAGAAAGTTTCACTTTTGAAAGAGATTGTCGATCACTATTGTGGGCCTGATATAGCAACTGCAAAGCAGCAACATGAAGAATTGGAAAGAGTTGCCAAAACTATTCCTGCTAATGTACCTAATTCTGTGAAGAACTTTACTGACCGTGCTGTTCTCTCACTCCAGGTTGGTCTTTCCTACCTTGCTATCCCTTTTTTAGGGTATAATATTTTAAGGTGCAAGGGTGTAATGCCATAATATCTTAGATTTCTGCTCATAGCAGCAGAGCATAAAGCTTTGAAGCAAAGCATTCAAGATTCAATTTTGTTGCCATTGCTCTTATAAGTGAAGCTTTAGTTTGCATCCAACTCTTCCTCTGTCCTGATACAAGAACAGATAGAGATTTTGATACCTTCAGCCTTTTTTGCTGTTGTACCCAGATATCTGTGGATGAGTGGGAACAACAAAATAATGTATGATATGACAGTAAAGAATATAGGATGATCAGTTATTCTATGTTAAGATTATCTACCAGTAAATGGATGAATATTTGTAACACAAGTATGGAAATCTTTTTATAATCATTAATCCTTTTGATAGAGATAGTTGGTTATATTCTATTTTCTCTATCCCAAAATAATTCCTACCAGCCATTTTTGGGTTGTTCCAAAATAATCTGTGTTACTTTTCATGTGCATTTCCTTTCCTTCATATTTCCACCATTTTCTTTTACTATCAACATTTTATTCGAACTTAATATGTAAATGCCTTCGCTACTGTTTACTGTATATTTTTATGTCCATGCTGAAGCCTAGTTGGAAGAATCATTTAGGACAGACCAACAGAGGGAGTGCCAAATTAGTGTGAAGTTTTGCAAGAACCTACAGGAAGGCAACACATCCTATATAGGGGAGTAATATGGACTTTTATTATCTAGTTGCTTTAATTTATGTATAGAAGTCATTGCGATTGATTGGTTAGTGCCTTTCGGCTTTGAACAAAATTGGGAAAACCACTGCCTTTCTAAGATAGCTCTTATGAAGGGTCATCCCACCCTGCTTGAGCTCTCTAGGAATCATATTTTTCTCCTTAGTAGCTATAATCTTTAGCTGCTTCACCTGCTTGTGTATGTTGACATAAACTCACTCTTAATACTCATGCTTAAAAAAGGATCTGACGGTATGTTGATAAGTTTCATGATATAGTCCGTTAATTCTGATCGGACAATCTACTGTCTGAATTTCCTTACTAAAAATGCGATTACAAACTATAATAGCAATATTGTTTAACTTTATGATGCAGAGCAATCCAGGCTGGGGATTTCATCGAAAATGGCAGTTTATGGATAAGCTGGCACTCGAGGTTTCTAAATCCTGCAAGTGAGCAGATTATTGAGGCTTAGTCCGGTTTGCATTCTTCAACAAAGACCATGTTCTGGGTATACAAATTTTTTTTCCAAAAAGGAAGATTAGTTTTTCAATAAACCTCTGTCCATTGACAGGCATATCAGCTAGAGGATTCCCCCCTAAATTGTTACAAGTATATTGAAATTTTGCATGCTTAAATAGTTAAATCGATCTTTCGAGCTGTTTGTAGTTGTGTTGCTGCTCTAATTGGCAAAATTGTAACTGATATGTAGTTTGTAGTCGAATATATAGAACTATAGAATTGGAAGACACTGTAATTTGTACTCCATAGATTTTGAGATTTGAAGTAGTCACAGTAAACAATATCTTTTTTTTTTTTGAAAAATTAGTAAACAGTGTCTTTATTCATTCTTCTGTTTAAAAAATTATGATCCTGCAAATGTATTAGGAAAACTATATGCAATAATTTGTACAGCGTTACTTAACCTAGGTAGTGTTTTTTTTTTTTAATTATTCTTTTTTTCGAATAGATGAAAATATGAAATATCCATAATTTTTTTTTTTTGAAAGGAAATAGATAAAATATCCAATTTTACTAGTACGTAAACATATGCACTGATTTTTAATTGATAGGGTGATAAGGTGATTGTTTACCAATAATCCAATTTTGTTGACTCAACATCTTTGATGCCTTATTTGGAATTGTAATATTCATTTGATGTTTTGAATGATAATCATCCCTTACATGGAGTAGAAATTAAACGAAACCCAAACTGAAGAGATAACATTAAAAGTTTTATTTATTTATTTATAAAATTAATATATTTGCAAAATATCTTATTTGAACATTGAAACTTTTTTTTTTTAAAAGATAAAGTATGCGTATAATTTGTTAGTTTGTTATAACTTTTGGTTTGGTTTGGTTTAAAATCTTGTAAATTCTAATTTAAGATTTATTCAAACTAAATCGTCACAGTAAAATTGTAAACCAAAACAATTGAAAAACAATTTTATTTGCGATTTTGTGCGATTTAGACTCAATCAAGGATTATATGAGTAACCCTATCTCCATGTGTTTAATCATACCCCGTTACTATTAACAAGTTTATCACATCCCACGTTCCTAGCACATTATAAAAATCAAAATTTACAGAGTAAATAATAAAATCTAAAAAGTAGGAGTAGATGTAGTTGCAGGAACATGTAGTAGTGTAGAACCGAATTATAGTTGAATGGCACGTACTATGGTACGTGTCACATTGGACACGCGTCCTTTGTTGTTGGAAGGCATGCAAATTTTATAAATACTTGGTATTGGATATACACAAATCCAATTAAACTCATCTATCATTATTTCTTCATTTTACTTTGTTTAAAAACAGTATTTTTAAGCTTCTGTTATTCAAAAGACTGAAAAATGGCATCTCAAGTTCAAAGCTACAATGTTGAGGTAATTTTGCTACACTTGTACTATTTTTTTTCGTATAATCACTCTATTCATAACTATTTTTGGATTTGCAATTTTGTTGATCTCGTTAAATTAATTTTAAAGTAAATTTGGACTATTTTAGTATTTATTTGTGTGAAAAAGAAGATATTAATGGCTTAAGTATATTGTTCAATATCTTATAATGTTTATTTACTTTAAAAAAAAAAAAAGAAGAAGAAATTAAGTTTGTGTTACAATGTTTCATCATCTAAGCTTTTCCAATCTTATAAACTTAAATGGGATGTAATCAAATTTAATAGTGTGATATTACTATGTATGATTATCATTATAAAGGAAATACTTTTGGAAATGTGATACATAATATTCCACAACTAATTAATTTGAACCAACTAATCTGGACCGGAAAGAGTTTTGGTATGACTTGGACGTATTTTTATGCTAACCTTAGTCGGTCTTTTGAAACAAAACATTGTTAGTTGATAAAATTTTCAATTTGTAGTCACGAGGTCATTACAAATTACAAATAAAAAAGGATACGACCTAATAATTTATCATAATAAACTATAAACATATGTTTACCCTTTCCTTTGATGGACTACCGTAATATAATCAACTACTACGTTTTGCAGGGGAAAACTAATCAGCTAAAAAAAAGAACAGGGCACACCCAGGACAAGAAAAAGGAGAAGACCCAAGTCATCAAGGATGACGCATCTGAGGCAGCCCAAGCAACCATGGATGACGCGTATTATGCAGCCCAAGCAACCAAGGATGCAGTCCAAGCGGCCAAGGATGCGGCATCTGAGGTAGCCCAAACAGCCGAGGATGATGCGTTTGATGCTGTTGATAAGTATATTAGGTGACTCGTACTTCGTAGCTTTGTCCGCCCGATCGGGCGGACATTGCCCGGTCTGACCGGGCGGAAGAAGAAGAGGTGCCTGGCAAATTCGTTGAAGAAGCTGCTCTCGCGCCCGACCGGGCGAGCCTTCGCCCGACCGGGCGAGCCTTCGCCCGATCGGGCAGACCTTGCCCGGTCTGACCGGGCGGTGGGGGTTGGATACGTTGAAGCATTCGTATGGAGTTTTCTTCTCGCGCCCGATCGGGCAGACCTTGCCCGGTCTGACCGGGCGGAGAAGGAAAAATGCGGAGACGCGGATTTTACGATTTAAAGTTATCTTTTATGTTATCTTTTTGCCCAAGTATCTTTTATTTTAGGGATTAATATAAAACCTCCCTAATATTAGTATAAGGGTTAAGAGAGAGAGAGGGAGAGCCGTTCTTGAGAAATACAAGAATCATCTTTGTAATCTTTGCAGTTTATAGTGAAATCATTCGATCTCGGTGCCCGTGGACGTAGCTATCACATCGATAGTGAACCACGTAAATTCTTGGTGTTGTTCTTATTGTTTGCATTGAATTTCTTTATTGTTTTCTTGTTTGTTTTCGACCTTTGCTTCCGCTGTCGCACAACAATTGGTATCAAGAGCTCAGGTTCAATCCTTGGAGAGTTTCTTGAAGATAACAATGGCAGGAGATTCAACAATAAGAATTGAGAAGTTTACCGGGAAAAATAGTTTCGGGCTATGGCAAATTAAGATGAAGGCTCTGTTAAAACAACAGCAGATATGGCGTCCGTTGGCTCCAAAGAGTACTACTTCGGAGTCAGGAGACGGACCGACTGACTCGCAGTTAGAAGTTATGGAAGAGAAGGCACACTCTACCATATTACTTAGTCTTGATGATCAAATCATCACGGAGGTTGCTGATCAGGAAACGGCGGCTGGATTGTGGCTGAAGCTGGAGTCATTGTATATGACTAAGTCGTTGACCAACAAATTATTACTGAAACAGCGGTTGTTTAGCCTCCGGATGCAGTCAGGTACTTCCTTACGGGAACATCTAGAAAAACTTAACTCTATTTTGCTTGATTTACGTAATTTAGATGTTAAAATTGATGATGAGGATGCTGCGTTGATTTTACTTGTATCTCTACCGTCTAGCTTTGAGAATTTTGTAGAGTCTTTTGTTGTTGGTAAGGATTCTATAACCTTAGAAGAAGTGAAGGCAGCACTTCATACTAGGGAACTCAGAATGAAAGCTACGAGTGATAATGGGGATAATGGTAGTGGGTTATTTGTTAAGTCCGGAAAGTCTAAAAAGAATAAGGGGTTTAACAAGGGGAACAATGCTGGGTCGGGTGCTGGAAACGGCAAGGATGGATCTAGTAAAACTACTACTAAAACATGTTATTACTGTAAAGAACCGGGTCACTTTAGGAATAATTGTCCGGTGAGGAAAAACAAGTCCCAGGCTGCTGTAGTTGAAGAGAAACCGAATGAGAGCTATAATTCAGAGGAAGATTTAGCATTAGTCAGTTCTGCTAGGTCTGATGATTTATCTGATAACTGGGTTCTAGATTCGGGGTGTTCGTTCCATATGTGTCCACGTCGAGATTGGTTTGATACATATGAACCTCGCAATGGGGGTATGGTTATAGTCGGTAACAATGCTCCATGTAAGGTCACAGGTATTGGTTCCATGAGGTTGAGGACTGTTGATGGGCGGAGGTTAACTTTGACTAATGTACGGCATGTTCCTGCTTTAGGAAAGAATCTGATTTCATTGGGTACCCTGGATGAATTGGGGTACAATGGTGTGTTTTCAGATGGGGAGTTGTGTATTTTCAGAGGTTCTGAGTTGGTACTTAAGGGTATCAAAAGGAACACCCTCTATGTTTTTGAGGGTGTTACACTGCCTAGTTCTGCGGTTTGCGCATCTGTATCTCACCAGGAGATGACTAAGATTTGGCACATGAGGCTTGGTCATATGGGGGAGAAGGGGATGCAGCTATTGTCCAAGAGGGGTCTTCTATCCGGGGTCAAGGTTGCCAATCTTGAATTTTGTGAGCATTGTGTGTTTGGTAAGAAACACAGGTCAAAGTTCAGCAAGGGTGCTCACATTACTGATGCAGTGCTCGATTACATCCATTCAGATTGCTGGGGTCCATCTAGAGTTGAAGGTATGGGAGGTTACCACTATTTTGTGTCATTTGTTGATGACAAGTCCCGATACACATGGCTTAGGTTGCTTAAGTCAAAGGATGAGGCCTTCAAAGTTTTCAAGCAATGGAAAGCTTTGGTGGAAAATCGACAAGGAAGGAAGATCAAGAAGCTACGAACGGACAATGGGCTAGAGTTTTGCAAAGACGAGTTTAATCAGTTCTGTGCAGATGAGGGTATAGGTCGGCATCATACTGTCAGGAAGACACCACAGCAGAACGGTGTAGCAGAACGGGTTAATCAGACACTGCTAGAGAGAGTTCGATGCATGCTCTCTAATGCAGGGCTTGGGAGGAGGTACTGGAGTGAAGCTGTGTTAACAGCTTGTTATGTCATTAATAGGGGTCCTCATTCTGGAATTGATTCCAAGATTCCGTTTGAGATCTGGAGTGGTAAGTTGCCTAATTTTTCGAATTTGAAGATTTTTGGTTGTGTTGCTTATTATCATGTTATTGAGGGTAAGCTGGATCCACGAGCCAAGAAGGGGTGTTTTGTTGGGTACGGGGATGGTGTGAAGGGGTTTAGAATTTTTTCACCTTCGGAGGGTCGGGTCATTCTTAGTAGGGATGTTACTTTCGATGAAAACACCATGTATTCAATTAAAAATGCAGAGATTTCAGATTTGAGAAGGGAAGGAGACAATTTATTACAGACAGATGGGGTACTTGAGGTACATCAGTCTACCATTGCTGATTTACCTCGGGTACAATATATTGATGATGATGCTGATGTTCCAGTGCCGGGTACTCCTGAACCTGAGATTACTCCTACTCATTCTAACTCTGGGGATGAGGTGGAGCAATCTAATCAGGGGTCATCTAGTCAACCTGACACCATTCTTGAGATGCCTAAACGAGTTATCAAGAAGCCTGTTAGATTGATTGAAGAGATGGAGGGAAGAAATTGCTGTGTTGATGCGATGACAGGTTATGCATTGAGTGTAGCTGATGATGTAGAGTCATTTGAACCTGCCACATATAAACAAGCAATTAGTTGTAGTGAGTCTGCGCAATGGCTTGCCGCAATGGGTGAAGAGATGCAGTCCCTTTACAAGAACAGAGTGTGGGAACTGGTAAAGGTACCGGAAGGGAGGAAGCTTGTGGGTTGTAAATGGATTTACAAGAAGAAAGAAGGGTTGTCGGAAACTGAGCAAATACGTTTTAAGGCTAGGCTAGTTGCTAAGGGGTTCAGTCAGGTAGAAGGGGTTGATTTTGTTGAGATATTCTCACCTGTGGTTCGACATACTTCTATCCGTGTGTTATTGTCAATTGTAGCACATTTTGATCTTGAGCTGGAGCAGTTGGATGTTAAAACGGCTTTCCTTCATGGCGATTTGGAGGAGGAGATTCTGATGAAGCAGCCCGAAGGATTCGAAGCTCCTGGAAAGGAACACTATGCCTGCAGATTGCTAAAGTCATTGTATGGACTTAAGCAATCCCCCCGACAGTGGTACAAAAGGTTTGATTCTTTTATGGTTTCACAAGGTTTTGACAGGAATTCATATGATTGCTGTGTGTATCATAGTAAGCTGGATAATGGTTCCATGATTTATCTTTTGTTATATGTTGATGACATGTTGGTTGCCACAAAGAATAAATCTGATATTGCTAGATTAAAGGAGATGCTTAACTCGGAGTTTGACATGAAAGACTTGGGTGCAGCTAGGAAGATTTTGGGTATGGAGATCTACAGGGATCGGGCTACAGGTAAGCTTTTCTTGACTCAGAAAAGCTACATTGAAAAGATTTTGTCTCGTTTTGGGATGGAAAAATCGAAGCCTATAAGTACGCCAACTACTGTTAGTTGTAAGTTGTCTTTGTCTATGTCACCTCAATCAGAGGAGGAGTTGTCTTATATGTCTAGAGTTCCATATGCAAACGCGGTTGGTTGTTTGATGTATGCTATGGTCTGTACTAGGCCGGATATTGCGCATGCTGTTAGTGTTGTAAGCAGGTTTATGGCTCGACCTGGGAGGGAACACTGGCAAGGGGTGAAAAGGATTTTTCGCTACCTGAGAGGGACAACTGATATTGGTCTTGTGTACGGGAATGGTAGGGAATGCTTGGTCACTGGGTACAGTGATTCTGATTATGCAGCTGATGTGGATACCAGGAGGTCTGTGACTGGTTATGTGTTCACTTTGGGTGGTTCTGTGGTTAGTTGGAAGTCTACATTGCAGTCATCAGTTACGTTGTCAACTACTGAAGCTGAGTATATGGCTTTAACTTCTGCAGCTAAGGAGTCTATTTGGCTCAAAGGCCTAGTAGGTGAACTGGGTATTGCACAGGATTTTGCTACAGTGTATTGTGATAGTCTAAGTGCGATTTGCTTAGCTAAAGATCAAGTACACCATGATCGGACGAAGCACATTGATGTCAGGTATCATTTCTTGCGTACTGACAAGAGGATTAAGGTGAAGAAGATTGGGACTGCTGACAACCCGGCTGATTTCTTCACTAAGCCTGTTCCGTTTAGCAAGTTTAAACATTGCTTAGACTTGCTAAATATTGATTACTACGTGATGTAGTAGGCCCTGAGGGGCGAAGTTGGGGAGCTCCTGGTGTAGGTGTGTTGGCCTTAAGGTGGAGCTTGCCCGGGGCTTGTGATGCAGGTGGAGCATTATGAGTTGTTATACTTGGAGACGAGTATGTGATGGGTCTTGGTTGAAGACTTATCGGGATGTATGGCTTATGCATGAGTCCTGCATCGGGTTTGGCTTGAGATGTTTTTTCACTATGTCTTGATGGGGTCGTTTGCTGACTACGAGTTCTCGTCAAGGTGGAGATTGTTGATAAGTATATTAGGTGACTCGTACTTCGTAGCTTTGTCCGCCCGATCGGGCGGACATTGCCCGGTCTGACCGGGCGGAAGAAGAAGAGGTGCCTGGCAAATTCGTTGAAGAAGCTGCTCTCGCGCCCGACCGGGCGAGCCTTCGCCCGACCGGGCGAGCCTTCGCCCGATCGGGCAGACCTTGCCCGGTCTGACCGGGCGGTGGGGGTTGGATACGTTGAAGCATTCGTATGGAGTTTTCTTCTCGCGCCCGATCGGGCAGACCTTGCTCGGTCTGACCGGGCGGAGAAGGAAAAATGCGGAGACGCGGATTTTACGATTTAAAGTTATCTTTTATGTTATCTTTTTGCCCAAGTATCTTTTATTTTAGGGATTAATATAAAACCTCCCTAATATTAGTATAAGGGTTAAGAGAGAGAGAGGGAGAGCCGTTCTTGAGAAATACAAGAATCATCTTTGTAATCTTTGCAGTTTATAGTGAAATCATTCGATCTCGGTGCCCGTGGACGTAGCTATCACATCGATAGTGAACCACGTAAATTCTTGGTGTTGTTCTTATTGTTTGCATTGAATTTCTTTATTGTTTTCTTGTTTGTTTTCGACCTTTGCTTCCGCTGTCGCACAACAGATGCAGCCCAAGCAACCAAGGTCGCAGTCCAAGCAGCCAAGGATGCAGCATCTGAGGTAGCTCAAAAAGGCAAGGATGACGCGTTTGTTGCTTCCCAAGCAACCAAAGTCGCTGTCCAAGCAGCCAATGATGCGGCATTTGATGTAGCGCAGAAAGGCAAGGATGATGCGTTTGATGCAGCCCAAGTAACCAAGGATGACGCGTTTGATGCAGCCCAAGCAACCAAGGATGATGCGTTCTGTGCAGCCCTAGCTACTGATGATGACGCGTTTTATGCAGCCCAAGTGACTGAAGATGATGCGTTTAATGCAGCCCAAGCAACTGAGGATGATGCATATAACGCAGCCCAAGCAACCAAGGACAAGGCATCTGAAGCAGCCCAAACAACCAAGGATAACGCATGTAATGCAGCCAAAGGAACCAAGAAGAAGGCAGGCTCGGAGATGGCAGAAATGGGTCGAGTCAAAGTAAGAAAAGTTCTGTAGATGAGATTATCATCAGTCGACTTTTGTAAACGTAGCCTAAAACAACCTTTTTACTAGTTTTAGGTCTTGTTAAACCTTAGCCTAAAACAATATTTTGCAAGGTTTTGGGTCTTGCTAAAGTTCCCAAAAACTGTTTTACCATGTTTTAGGGGTAGCTGTTTGTTAATCACTATGTTTTGGTAATATATTATCAATGAAAACTTAATTATTACTTTGTTATTTCGTAAATGTTCATATTTCAATTGGAAAGTAATAAAAAATGAGAATATTTGTACAAGAAATAAAAATTTGCAAAGATTTTAAGAATGTCCAAGACTCCCAAGTCATTAGTAAAAGATCTCGAATTTATAATTTTTGGGTCATCAATGTGCCATAGAAAACTACCAATCAAGCTTTGCCCAACCTAACTACGATGGGCCATTTACAAGCTGATGGCAGCCAACTAGCCATGCCTGCATAGTGACAACTTGAAAAATGTGAAAAAAAAAAAAATTAAAAAAAATCTTGCCTCCGATGGCTCTCAGGTCATGGGCAGAGTACTGACTCTGGCTAGACCCGAAAATATCTTGCCTCTGATGGTTCTCAGATTAGGTCATTGGCAACATTTCCTACTTGCTCTATCAAGATCCAATTCAACTTGAAACAAAACCCGAACTTAAACAAATTGAGAAAAATATGTTGGACAAATATATCTCTAAGCTCTAGCTTTGTAAGTGCATATTAAGCTGTCCATGCCCCTAGATTGCCCAGAAAAAGTCCTAGAAAATCAGGTCACTTAGCAATGTACAAATATTATTGAAGATGAGCCTTCCTATATCTGATTTTGGCTTCATTTTTCTCCACAATATGGAGATCAGCCAGTAAGAAAGCAAACTAAATTAACAATGGAGAAATAAACAATCTCATTTCAAAATTTGAAGGAAAAGAAATCAACTTTACTTGTCATGATGGCAGGATATACAAAAAAGTTGACAACATAGGCAGTTATTAACCGCAACCATAATGCACATCAGGATTATCGGCAACATGATCAAATGGAATTTCAACTCTCTCCTTCACAATGCAACGGATTTCGCCATCCTCCATCACCGCTGTTTTACCAGGGGGGCAACGTGCACCAAGTGCCCTGCCTTGGTCATTGGGTTGTTGAAACAATGACAGGACATTTAATTTGGTACCTTTTTTCTGAAGCTTAGGTTCAAAACCAGCCAAGCTAAGCAGAGAGATAACGCCAACAAGGGTAAGCATGGTCTTGGCAGTGGAATGAACAAGAAATCTAAATCCTCCCCATAGCTTGCTGGGTTTACTTTGAGTTTGGCTTTCCTTTGACTCGTTGCCCCCATTAAGACCATTTTGTGCAAGCTTACGTGAATATGGAGCACGTGAGGGATAATTCTTGTCTAGCACCAAAGAATTGGGAGAATGGGTTTGATATGGAGGAAGTAGCAGTTCATTGTCGTGCTCCACCTTCATACTTGCAAAAGCTTCTGCCTCTTGTATCACATCAGAGTGCTCCCCTTTATACTCACTGAGCTTCTTAAGCAACATCTTACGGCTGTACTCAATTTCTCCAATCACAGCTTCTCTTTCGTATTGCTGCTGTTGTCGTAAAGACTGATCCAAAACATGTAACAGTTAATACACATCACAGCAAGCCACCATCTGATAGACATGTCCTAAATTGAACACCTCTTAGCTACACACTAATCTTTACGCAAAATCAGTAATTGGACAAGCATTATATCATATTATTTACTCCCCCTCTTAGCTACACACTACAAGCTTTATGCAAAATCAGTAATTGGACAAGCATTAAATCATATTATTTACTTCCCCTGACTACTCCGCCTTACATATCTTCATTCTACAAGCCAAAGTACACTAAATTTTTATGAACCAAACATGATGCAGTGGTATTACCACTGCCTTCCACAACCCCGTCACAGGGCGATGCTTACACCATATGAAAGAATTGTAAACTAGATTCACAGACTTTTTTCTTCTTCTAATTGACTCATAAAGACACCAGCTTCCGGCTTCCCTGACCATCTTACATGTCACATTTCAATGACTAAATAGCAGAAGTGAAGAACCCTCCGATGTCTCCCTAGTAAATGATTGAGGCTGCACAGCAGCGAAACACAATTCTTTGTTCTTTCTTAGTTTTAGGTTGGGTAATTTCGCATACCAGCTATACATGAACTAGACCAATCCTTCCACAATTGGGTAGTTCAACTCATGCAAAAGATAAGCTTCATTTCAAGATGAAAAATTAAATCAAGGCACCCAATTCCAACCTTTTACAAATCACTGAAAGGATAGTTCTTATTCATAAAGGTATAGATTTAGGATTACGGGACCAGCTAACCGCGAATCGAAAATGAAGCAAGTAAGCAACTTTGCTCCAATAAGCACCTTATCAAAGCACACTATACTGGTAAGATAAAGAGTACACAAATACATAATGGGTACAAACATTAGCCATATGATTACTTAATCAGTTACTAAACAAAATGTGTTACAATTACCATTTCTTTTCCCCTAATAAATAATTAAAAACAAATAGAATTACTCGTAATCTCCTAGCAAAATTGGCAAAATAGCATACCACCAATTTCTGAAAATCCCAAAATATTGTTATAAACAGCAAACACTCCTAAATTCTGCAACAAATCTTCGAATAATACACCAAATTCAACCAAAATTAACAAATTCTTCAAATTAACAACAACCCAGAAACAGGATCACAAAACCCTAAAAACCCAAATGAAAAAAAATCAAAGATGAAACCAGAAATAAAGAAAAGGGATGCATAGAATTACTTGCAAAGAAGCTAGCTGATTCTCAAGGGCATCAAAAGAGTAGCAAATGTTCAAAAGGGCATCAGTTTCTTCATCAGCTTCGTCACCATTTTGTGCAGAAGAAGAAGAATCGCCATTGTTTTGAGAAGCTTCAAGGTGAGATTGAAGTGGGTTTGTTGATTTACGAATGCAATTTGCGATTTTGGAGCGTAATTCAGATGCTCGAACTAACACCATTCCTATCCTCTCTTCTTCCATTTCCATCTTTTTGGCTCTTGTTCTCGTTCTCTCTCCACTTCACTGAAAACAAGTAAACCGCCAAAAATGCTCTATTGCGGGGGTAGAGTTTTGGAATTTAGGGTTTTATTTTATTTTATTTTTTTTGGGAAAGATATTTAGCACCGTGATTAAGAGAAATAAAGAAAATGATTTAGACGAGAATTAAATTCCAATTTTAGATATATTCCCAAAAAAATAAAATAAAAAAATAAAAAATCAACATAGATATGGCTTTATGCTGGTATTAATGCCTTTTAAAGAAGTGTCTTAATTTATTTAAATCTTGTTTAGAGTAAAAATTCACCCTTTTAAAGCTAGTTAACCTTATTAGCTTATCACAAACTACCCATAATCTATTCGTTTTAGGAAATTAATTCATGTACTAATACTTATGGTATATTCTAAGGTTATGTTGTGATTGACTGAATTGAGCTAACTGAACTTAACTTAACTTATCTCAACTTATTGGAGTTGAAATGAACTAAATTGAACTGGATATTTCATGAGTGAAGGAAATTAAGAACTTAACTTAACTAAACTGAAAATAATCAGAAGAGAACAGACCTTAAATCAAATTAAACTTGGTTTAGTGGAAAAGATTACACTAAGGTTAGAGTCTAAATGTTCAATTCCTACAAGAGATACTTTGAGGGTAGGAATCCCTTCCCCTTACCCTTCCCTCCTAACTAGCTTAGGTTTACTTCCATTGTTTAGGATTTTAGCCTCAATATTCTCAATTTATTTATTTGATATTCATCAACTAGAAAATGCAAATTTGTGTGACTATTAATAGCAAAATGCTCATGTTGGCTTATATCACCTGTAAAATATGTTCTTCTGCATCATTTTTTTTTCCCCAATATTTCATTATCAAAAATATATTAAGCAACAATTCTCCAAGAAATTGACAAAACTAATCTTTCTTGAGTAATACTTTACCACTATATAGGAGACCGACCAAATCACACATGCCAAAAATGCAACCAAGCAAAAGCCAAATTCCATTCCCTTAGCTTATCTTCTCATATTTAGAGGTTCAACTTGAACCACAAACTAAGCAATTTCATCAAGATAATAATGATCAAATAAGCTCAAGTCCAATTACATTGAAACATTATCAACTTTGTTGTCTTGTTCATGCATAATTGAGTGACATCCTCGCGACACCAATAGACATAACAAGACCTTGAGCCAGTTTGATCAGCACCTCTTTCGCGCTATGTTTGTGTATCAACCATCTACTCAGTTTTTTCAGCTCATAAGTGGGTGTATGATCACTGCAAGAGATCCTTGGGGAACTGATAGCGGAAGGAAAAGTCGTGGGGAATCCATTCAATGCCTTTCCATCCTTTCTTATGTCGAAAGTTGTAACTAGAAGTAGTCCTGTTTCTCTGAAGATCTGCAGGAAGAATCTGCTCCAGAATCTTCATGAATTCAGGTGGGTGTAAGCTGGATTCTTTGGCATAACTCTCTACAATCTTTGGCAGTAGTATCTTGTTCTGTTCTTTATGAACTCGATAATTGCTTAAGATGTACTGGTCTCTTGCAGCAATCAGGTCTTGGAACACTCTCTGAGGCGTGTATATACGAATCTATGTACACACATAAAGCACAAGATTGTTACACATAATGTATAAAACTTTCAGTAAGACCTTCAAATAAACAGTGATGTTTTGTTGTAAGGTTATTACTTGTGGATCGGAATGGCTTCCACAGCAAAGGGAAAAGTAACATAGAGGTTCACAGTGATCAATCGCGAACATTCTTCTTCTGTCTCCAGTCCTGAATTTTTTCTTAAGATGGAGTAGTTTATGAAACCACTGCAAGAAGATGGATACATACACATTCAAATTGTTTCATGACATAAAAGATTTAAAAGTAATTATAATTACTTAAAAGTTAAAGAAGATATACTTGTCCCGGGTGAGGCAATTGGTTCCCAAGAATGTAGTCCTGTATCATGCTCACACTGATAGTATGACTCCCAATACTATATGCAGCCTGTGTAACACGAGCAGCTTATAAACAACGATTTCAAAACATATACACCATACTCCCTCCGTCCCAAAAACTAAGTTTTAACATATTCAATTTGGATGGTTTTCCCTGCATTTTTTTTTTAACTTGTGACTCGTGGGTAAAATCCCACCCATCCACTTTTTATTCTCCACCTCTTCCTGCTATAATCTCTGCTTTATAATGCAGTATAAACTTAACTCTGGGACAAAGCGAGTATTTTTTGGAGATGAATTAAACAATGAGTAAATTCTGAACCTTTAATATCAAGGACACTCGTTTAAGCTTGTTTTGTGGCACTCCATACTCCAGAAATGCCTGTATTTCGCGTCACCAATAAAAAGACTTCAGCGTTATACAGCAAAGCTTGTAAGAGAAGTTGATACAATGCTCAAATTTGTTATTGGTAATAGCATTCTTACATGCATCACAAGAGCATTGTGCACATTAATCCAAAATGCCAACTTCTCTTTGTGGTTCAATTTGCTTGGTTTTACTCCATCCAATTTGTTAACAAGTAACCTGCAGACAAAAAATGAACCTCACTGCAAGATCAAAAACTGAAACAAACATTTAATACGATGAGTAATGAGTCGATGATAGAATTACCTATATTTATGAAGCATGGGCTCAATATCTCTGAATTTAGTACTGTCCCTATGAATCTGAAGGACCTCAACCATTTGACAGTAAGGTCCACTAAACTCGAAATGTCCTCCTGCTTGGTAAGGTGCATCTGAATGTAAGTCCTGAAAAGATTTTATCCTAAGAGGACTCCACAAATTAGATTCATGAGTTTGTGGTGATCCACTTATCGACGATGGAATTGATACAGCAGGTGATGAGAAATTGTTGCTGATCACAGAATTTCCTGCCAGTTTACAGTAAATTGCTGAAATGCACCTGATCATCTCCTCTGAAAGCCAATTTGCTGTCTCTTTAACATCACTGAAGTTATAGGTGGCTACATTGTTTGAAACTTCACAAGCTTCTGGCTGATGAGATAAAATAATTTATCCAATTCAGCATCAAGAGTTAAATTCTTTAGCAAAAATAAGTTCAGCTAAGGGCCGATATGATAAGTTCAGATAAGGAAAAGTAAGTTCAGATACGGGTTTTCATTCAGGTGAAACCGTGAAACGATCAAAGCCATGTTCTTTACTATCAGCTGTTTTCAGATTACTTTATTGCAGAGTTCATTCAGGTGTATTACAGTACTAAACAGAAACTTGAGGATTTATATGCATTCATGTAGCAAAATTATAATGATAATGTTACTAGTAGAAGTTTTGCATGAAAAAAAATACATTTATTTACCTCTAGCATAGTAAGAGGCAAGGAATGATAAGAGTTCACAGCTTCTGCAACCTTTCCTGCTAGAGGAGATAATCGACTTGCATAGACTGTCGATTGATGAGATAACGAAGAGTGACTCCGGTGAATGCTACTACCAAGCACATCTTCTTGTTCCTTAGCTTCATTATTGTGTTCTTCTAAGCAAATGTTGTTAATGACAGGTTGATCTGCAGGAATCTGAAAACGATCAGAACAGACCTTTTGTTCTGATAAAACATTGTTGCTGTCTTTTGACAGTGAGGCTAGTCGGCGATCAAGCGCTTTCTGATACAGGGAAACAAGATACTTCTCCAACTCCAGTACTTCCATCTCTAACATCGCGATTTCTCTAAGAAGTTCTGTGACAGACTGAAGCAAGAGGAAACGTTACTGCGCCGTTTATATCAGCAAGAACTTTCAAATTAGCATTAATAATGCATTGGTATAAAAAGTGTTACCTTTGGCTTTGAAGATATCTGAAGTTGAGAAACAGGTTTCTCCATGTTTACAGCTTCACAAGTGTTGGACAATAATCAGCCTTTTCGGAGTGTCGATCTGAAAGAATGAGCTTTAATAAAGTTTGGTGGTAAACCAACTGATGAAGGTAGAAGTTGCTAAGTGAGCTTCTTCCATAGAAATTGGATGTACATAAAGTGAAACTAACTGATGTTTCTATTGTTATTTGAAGACTTGGGTTTTTCTAAGGACTCGAATACTTCTGAGCTGAAATAGTTACACTAGTTACTAAAGTAATAGGACGCAAAATAATACTGATGGTTTTAAATATAAACCTCTATTGTGTACGATGTCTTCCTTTTTATTACGCCTCTATCGTTGCTACATTATCCTAATCTCTCATAAGTCATTAATTATAAAGAATAAAGAATACATCATAAAATAGTTTAAAATTATACTTCGTATGATACTAATATTAATCATGATGTAGGGAGTAATTTTTATTTATAATATAACTAAAAGAGCAATCTTTTTAATTAACTAGTGGCTTCCTCTTTTTAAAGGTTAGTTTACTTTTAAAATACTTTGTATTTTTTTTTTTTTGAAGCAAAAATACTTTGTATTATTATTCCACTTTCAATTTAGTTCACATGTTTCCATAATCTCTGTTTATTACTTCACATCCAAAATGACAAAACTATCTACTCGCTCAATACAACTCTTTTTTCTTCTTTTTCTTTTAAGATTGCTCAATATAATTCTTTATACCACGTAAGTAAATAAAATATGTTTCGTGCCATCTATTGTCTCAGGAGTATAAACCAGTGATTCTAACATTCACAAGCAAGTTCAAACTTTGGAGTATAGTAGACTATTCAGATTGACTTCAGAGCTGAGAATGGTCCTAAAATTGACAAAACACTATATTGGTAATAGTTCTTTAAGCTTATATAATCCATAAATGAAAGAATTTAACACACAAAAGGAAATTGAAGAAGATGGCCAAAAATTCCCCTTTTATTTGCCATCTTTTTACCAAAAATTCTCACAAAAATCGGTCAGTAAAATAAGATGGGGAGCATATTTATTATCATAGACATACATATATTTTTAACATTCTAAACATTGTCATTTTGACATAGGTGCATTGTCAAGCCTAATAAAAAAGTTGTATTCAAGAATTCAACAAAATTTCAACGCAAGAGGCTCTTATAATCATTCCCATAATCTAACTTTTTGCCTAATAATCACTAACAGTACCCTCAATCAATGCCTTTATTTTTTTGGGAAAGGAGAAAGACATGATCTGAAGTTATTCAATAATTAGAATAACTAAATCACCCTTAGCTTCAATCAATATGTTACTATAGCTATGAACGC